CACAAGCTGTGTGCGGAGTGCACAAAAAGCAGGTTAATTGATTCCCTTATGCCTGAGCGAGATGGTAGCTGCAGAATGGGAGGTGCGTTATCACGGGGCTCCACCGGCCGCCGTGTCAGTTCTCTTCACAAAGTTTTCCTCACCAGTCTTTTCCCAGGCACCAGCCCTCCCTGCTGCCACCTCTACCCAGAGATCAAGGAGGGAGGCTGCCACTGCAACTTTTGCGTTGGCCCTTTAAATGTCTCTCTGCATCCCCAGCCACCTGTCTCTGGCAGAGAGCACCCCTAAGCTTTTCGGGGTTGCGTTTTGTCTGTATTTTCCTAGTTTTAGCTGCTGTAGTTTAGAGGTCCCTGTTTATGATTCAGACCCCGTTCTTCTCGGGGGGAGCTAACTGGCCATTTCAATGTCCCTCTGGTGCTAGTGCCTGTGGGCTCCCAGCCCACCCTCTCGAGCCTCCATCACACTTCTTACCCATTGGGATGTGTGAGAGTTGAATCCACTGTCTGTCCGTGGCTCCAAGGCTCCTCTCCCACTATAGTTCCATTGTTTTCCAGGTGATTATTCCACCATTTAGTCGCAATTCCAGTTTGGTCTTGGGAGAAGGAGGTCAGCTTGACCCCCATTCACTCCTCCGCCATCTTTTCCTCCCAGAAAAAAAAACCGGAGGTAATATTTCATTTGAGCCATTTAAATGATAAGTAGTTGAAGTTCACCATGGGATGACTATAAGGAATAAAATTCTATGCAGAAAGAATAATACACTGTCTGAAAGATTATTGTTATTTTTAATATGTTTATTGATTTTAGAGAGAGAGGAAGGTGGCAGAGGGAGAGAGAAACATCTACGTGAGAAACATATAGGATGATGCTCCAACCTACTGAGCCCAGGGCTGGAGAGACAACTTAATGTTTGGGCAAGTGGCACATAGATTGGAGAGAGGGAGTGAGTGATGGAAATGAAGCAAACAAGGTGCTTAAAGCCAGACTGCTCTTTGTACATATATGAGAAATTTCTTTCTTGTATAGAGTGGGAAGTTAATAGGGGCTTTTAATAGAGAACAACAGCATGGTCTGACATGGTTAAGAAAGATTGCTCTGATACTAATGTGGCAAATAAAAAGTTAGAATAAGGACCGGGAGAAGAGCATTAGATTCCTTCTGTGACAGGACAAGTAGTCAGGATGGAGACTAGTTGGGGAAAAATTAGTCAAAGAGGAAGGGATAAATGCCAACAGCTCTTTGGGTGGCAGAATCAAGAGGACTCTAACTAAATAAGAAAATCAAGGGAGTCTAAGGAAGCAAGGATGACCAGCTTTGCATGTTTGGTAAACTGAGTGAATGGTGATACCTTTGGAGAAGATAGGATATGCACAAAAAAAAGAAAAAAGAGAGAAGATTTTGAGAGAGATATGAATACATTCTTGAGGTATAGGTAAAATACTCAGATTGACATTTCTCTTAAGTCACTAGAAATGTGGGTTTGGAACGAGTTGTCAGACTGAGAAAGTAGATTTTAAACAACCATGTATTTGTATGACTTGGGATGGTGTGGGAGAAATATCCGAAGTAAAATATGTTGAGTGATGAGATGATGGAAACTTTGAGAACACCAATATTTAGGGCTCCATTGAGAAAAGAGAATCAATCAAAGAGATTGAGAAGAAATAGGTATAGATGGCAGAGTAGGACCCAGAGTGAGTGGTGCAGTGGATGGGGGGGAGAGTTTTACAGAACTGCAGGAAAGAGATGGAGATTGAACCTGTCATGCCTATTTGACACTAAAATTAAAATATAAATGAGAACACATCTTTTGAAAGTATAATTTCTCCGTCTTAAAGGTCTAAAGTTTGTCTTTCAAGTTATCTCTACCTCAGTTAAGGTTATTTTCTACTTTCTTACAAAAGTTTCTCTAGAGTGAACTTGAGGCTCTACATTTTCATTTTTCTGTGTACCTTTTATGGAACTAAGTCCGATTTTATTCCTTCTTTTCAATCCAAAATTATTTACTATAAGTAGGGTCAAGCATCTGACTAAACTATGTCTTCAAATGTAGTCATCATTGAGCACTTATTACTTGTTCTTTTTACTTATCCTACCTGTTACCCTATACATAGGGTACTATATTACTTTTTATTTACTCTCTATGTTGGCATATATGTATGTAATAATTATTTATAAGCTCTATGGTAATATAAACAAACATACATCATACCTCCGAGATATTGCAGGTTTGTTTCTAGATGACTACAGTAGAGTGAATGCTGCTATAAAGTGAACCACACAAATTTTTTGGTTTTCTTATGCAAAGAAAAGTTATTTTCACACTACACTGGATTCTAGCAAAGGTGCAATAGCATTATATCTAAAAAAAAAATGTACATACCTTAATTAAAAGAAATATGGGAAACAAAAAGCTAACCATCCTCTGAGCAGTCAGATAGTTGTAATCTCTTTGCTGGTAGAGGGTCTCACTTTGATGTTGATGGCTTCAGACTAATCAGAGTTGTTGTTGCTGAAGGCTGGGGTGGATGTGTCAATTTGTAAAAATAAGACAACAATGAATTTCCAGCATCAATCAAGGCTTCTTTTCAAAAACAATTTTTATGTAGCCTGCAAATGGTGTTTGATAGCACTTTACCCACAAAAGACTTCTTTAAAATTGGAGTCAATCCTCTCAAACTGCTGCTACTTTGCCAACTAATTTGACATCATATTCTAAATCCTTTGTTGTCATTTCAACAATCTTCACCAGGAGTAGATTCCATCTCAAGAAACCACTTTCTTTCCTCCTCCATAAGAAGCAACTCCTCATGTATTAAAGTTTTATCATGATTGTAGCAAATCAGTCACCTCTTCAGGCTCTACTTCTCATCTAGTTCCCATTCTATTTCCATCACATTTTAATTATTTCTTCAGTCACCTCTTCAGGCTCCACTTCTCATTTAGTTCCCATTCTATTTCCATCACATTTTAATTATTTCTTCCACTATGTCTTGAACCCCCTCAAACTCATCAATGAGGGTTCTTCCAATCTCCTGTAAATGCTGATATTTTGACCTCTATCCATGAATCACAAATGGTTCTTAATGACATCTAAAATGGTGAATCTGTTCCAGAAACTCTTCAGTTTACTTTGACCAGATCTGTCAGAGGAATGCGGCAGCTATAGACTTACGAAATGTGTTAAATAATAACACTTAGAAGTCGAAGTTACTCCTTGATTCATGGGCTAGAAAATGGGTGTTGTGTTAGTGGGCATGAAAATAGCATTAATCCCACTGTACGTCTTCATCAAGGCTCCAGTCACCAGGAGTTGTTGTCAATAAGTAGTAGTATTTTCAAAGGGATTGTTTTTGGGGGGTAGTAAGTCCAACAATTGGCTTTAAATACTCAGTTACCTATGTCGGAAGCAGATGTGCTGTGATTTAGGATTTGTTTTTCTATTTATCAAGTGGATTTAGCACAATTCTCAAGGACCCTAGGATTTTTTGGAATTGTATAAGGGCATTGGCTTCGACTTAAGTTCACCAGCTGCATTAGTCCCTCACAAGAGTCAGCCTGTTCTTTGAAGATTTGGAGCCAGGCATTGACTTCTATCTAGCTATGAAAGTCCTAGATGGCATCTTCTTCCAATACAAGGCAGTTCATCTACACTGAAAATCTGTTGTTTAGTGAAGCCCTCTTCATTAACAATCTTAGTGAGGTCTCGATGCCTTGTTACAGCTTCTACATTAACACTTGCTGCTTCTCCCTGCACTTTGCTGTTATGGAAATGGCTCCTTTCCTTCAACCTTATGAACCAGCTTCTGTGAGCTTCAACCTTTACTTCTGCAGCTTCCTCAGTTCTCTCATTCTTCAGAGAATTGAGGAGTTTGGGCCTTGCTCTAGAACAGGTTTGGCTTAAGGGAATGCTGTGGCTGGTATGATCTATCGAGAGCACTAAAACTTCCTTCATAATAGCAATAAGTCCATTTCTCTTTCTTATCATTGATGCATTTACTAGAGTAGTACTTTTAAATACTTCAGACACATTTCCTGCGCATTCACTATTTGGCTGTTTGGAACAAGAGTCCTGCCTAGCTTTTGGCCTGTTTTGGCTTTCACCAGGCCTTCCTCACAAGGCTTAATCATTACTATCTTTAGAATTAAGGTGAGATATGTTCAACCCTTGAGGTGATTATAGTAGTTTTAATATGCCAATTTCAATGTTATTATATCTCAAGGAATAAGGAGCCCCAAGGTGAGTGGGAGACATTGGGGAGCAGCCAGTTGGTGGAGCAGTCAGACACGACAACATTCATAGAATAAGTTTACTGTCTTATATGGTCATGATTCGTGGTGCTCCTAACAATTGCAATAGTAATGTCAAAAACTACGTATCACTGATCACCATAAGAGATATAATAATAGTGGAAAATGTGAAATATTGCTAGAATCACCCAAATGTGATGACACAAAGACATGAAATGAGCAAACAAACATTGTTGGAAAAATTCTGATAGAGTCATTTGACTGAGGGTTGCGATATTCTTTAATTTATAAAAATAAAAAAAGTGGTAGCTGCACAGCCCCCAAAAATGATGTATGACTGTATATAAATATATATATTTATATTTAATCATTTTCTCAATGTCTGTGTGTAGTTAGGTTTTGGTATATTTTATTATTTCAAGATAGCCTAGGGGTCACAAACATTTTTTATAAACTGGATGTTGAATTTTCATCATTCATAATGATTATTAAAATTTTTCTGCCTAAGATAAATACATACAACAAGGCTATTATAATATATTGATAAATGTAAAACACAATGGTAGAAACTTTTATAAGTAATGAGATCGTTGAAATTTGTAAACTCTCAGAATGATCTAAATCTTGAAAGAGAAGTCAAGCGGGTGCAGGGAGGAAGTAGCGCTGATATGAAGATACATAACAGGGAAAGAGGAAGGAATCAGTTCTCTGTATAGATACCGTGTTAACCACAGCATTTGTATTCCCAGGCAGAAAACTCTCTTCCCAATGTAATGGAGTCAGCATTTTATTTTGAACAAGCTGGAGTTGGTTTGGGCACAGATGAGACTTATCGCATATTTCTTGCCCTCAAGCAGCTTACTGACACTCACCCAATCCAAAGATGCCGTTTTTGGGGCAAGATCTTGGGCCTGGAAATGAATTACATTGTGGCTGAAGTGGAATTTCGTGAGGGGGAAGATGATGAAGAGGTGGAAGAGGAAGATGTAACTGAAGAGAGAGACACTGGAGAGAGTGAAGCTGAGGAAGATGATGAACTGCCAAGATCCTTTTACAAGGCTCCACAGGCTATACCAAAAGAAGAAAGCAGAACAGGTGCCAACAAATATGTCTATTTTGTTTGCAATGAGCCAGGCAGTCCATGGGTGAAGTTACCGTCAGTCACACCCACACAAATTGTCATCGCAAGACAAATCAAGAAGTTTTTCACTGGGCGATTGGAAACTCCCATCATAAGCTACCCACCTTTCCCAGGAAACGAGAGTAATTACTTACGAGCACAAATTGCCCGAATTTCAGCAGGGACCCACGTCAGCCCTCTGGGTTTCTATCAGTTCAGTGAAGAGGAAGGAGAGGAGGAAGAAGCCGCAGAAGCTGGGCGGGATAGTTTTGAAGAAAACCCTGATTTTGAAGGCCTCCAAGTGACTGAACTGGTGGAATCGCTGTCTAGTTGGGTCCATCATGCACAACATATTCTTCCTCAGGTAGGGTTTTGCAGCTCTCAACCTGTCAGCCAAGCAGCACATATTTATTAAGTTCAATCTACTATATATACGTATGGTCCAGTGCAAATAATGCCCTTTTTATTACAAAATCTTTTATTATGAAAACATAAGCATGTAATTCTGTAACATAACAATATCACATTCAAGCACACCATATGACATTTTAGGTGAAATGTTTAAATTAAAGCTAAGAATTATTATACCCATATGATCACCCTACCAACCACACTCAAGCAGATGCTACCTCTGCTAGACTCTGTATATTTAGATTCTAGGCAGAGAAAGAGACCATTAAAAAAGTCAAGTAAAAACACAGACTTCTATATAATTGCCAAGTAGTATAGACCTGGGATCTCCAAGCAGACTTTTATTTCCAAACAGAAATAAGATAATTATTTCCATGAAGTATTTGACAAGTTATATAAGGATTTCAATTTATGTGTGTCATGAAATTATATATTATCTGTTAAATATAGATGGGGCACTAATTTGGGGAACATTTCTTTTATTCAATTTCTGTACTACATGGAGATTTTATGCCAAGAACAATAAAATATTACAATAAAAACAAAAACAAAAACAACCAAAGAGTGCTATTAGCAGTTATAGAGCATACATTCTGCTAGGCGCTCTTAAGAGCACTTTCTATGCATTACTTCATTGACTAGTCACAGCTGTATGAGAACTCATATAACCCTTGGTTTACAGATGAGGAAAAGGAGGCAGAGCTTAGGAAGTGCAGAAAGGGTAATATGGCAGCAGGGTCGGGCGAGAGCAGGCAGAACGGCTCAAGCGTCCGCCTGCTTAGTCACTGCTGTACTGCCGCACATGTAGGCAGAAAATCTTCACTAGACTTTGACCTGCATACAAGGTATTCTTTTATCTTTAGGTCAGAGTTAATGAGATCAGAAATGATAACCCCAAATCTCCATACCTATCTGATCACATTTTAATCTTAATAATAATAGTATCTTATCTGTCTTATAAATTGTTTATTACAAATTAGTAAAATGCATTATTACTTTTTTTACCAAGCACTGTTAAGAATATGAATGTTCTGCAACTTTAAGAAATTGACAAATTCTGGAAATAAATAGTATAATCTTTTGCTTAAAAAAACCTAGATCATAATAGCACTTGGTAAATTTATGAGGAATGAATGAATGAGTGAATGATTAAATTCTCACAGAGCAGAACCTTGTGCAGATAATTGCTCCAATCTGTGTGAAACCTCTGATATTTTAAGGTCCTCATCTTGCAATATTCATACTCAGGGTCGCTGTAATTGGTTCGACCCCACCCGTAAAAGTGAAGAGGAGGAAGAAGAAGATGAAGAAAAAGAAGAAGAAGAAAAAGAAGAGCCTGACTACATAGAACAGGAAGTGGGGCCTCCTCTGTTGACACCAATCTCTGAAGATTTAGGTAATTCTCACAAAGTTTATAGATAACATGCAATGAATATATAGTATTAAATACACAGAGTATATGTAATGAACTATATTTTATAGAGCATAAATGTATATACTCTGTATATACTCTATGTGTATATACTATATCTATATATCTACACACACACACACACACACACACACTATAGCATATGGTGGGGAATAAAGAATATAGCTGGCTAAACCACCAACTTTCTCCAAGGGAAGCTAAAGAAGTGCCAAGTGGGGCAGGGGGGAATGTCAGTTGGCTGTAGCTTTTACTGAAATGCTGACCATTATCTTGTATATGCCTTGCATTCTGCAGACCAGAAACAGATGACCAGAAACACATGACATTGTGCTATAGTGTGTAAATATCCAAGTTTCGTTCTTCCAGAATGTTCACAAAGTTCCCTCCAAATTTTATGTTAAGCTGCTGTTTGAAGCTTTCTCTGTCTAGCATGTGTGCTTTATGGTTTACAAAAATAGCTTCTTTGTTACACAGTATATCCTTGTCCATTTAGTAGTTAAGCTTTTGAATTTTTCACTGATTTACAGAGATCCAGAATATACCGCCTTGGACAACACGACTGTGTTCAAGTCTCGTTCCTCAATATGCTGTTGCTGTCCTCAGGTCCAACCTTTGGCCTGGAGCGTATGCGTTTTGCAATGGCAAGTAAGTATCTGACAACTTTCAAAGGTATTTTTGTGATCATTTCAGTTCTGGAAAGCATAACTTATCCTTGGAATCTTGTTACTATTGTTTTAACTCATTTTTAGCAAGGTCTTTCCAAACATCTGTATTATATAGTAAAGCATCAAATTGAAAATATTGGAGTAATTTAGACTTCTGCCTTTTCATCTGAATTGTTCAACTAATGGTTTTCCTTCTGTAATTATCTGAATAACTGACTTACTCATTTAAAGGGAGTAATTCTGTGCAGTGTTTAGTTTGTCTCCCATTATTTTTTGTTGGACATCTTGATACAAGATAATTAAAAGTATGTATTAGGTAGGCTATCACTTTCAAGAGAGTTAGTGTCAAGAAGTCAGTAATTGTCCTTTGAACCCCTCACTCCCTTCTGTCCCTTGCCTCCATTTCTTGTCTAATAACCAATGTCAAAAGAGCAGCTGAGCCGAAGAGGGAGCTGAGCTGCTAAGTGTCAGAGTAGCCATTAAAGCAACAAGCCAAAAAATTTTTAAAAAGCACCAATTCCCTCTGCCCTGCCTCGTTTTACTTTTTCTCCAGGGAGTGGCATACCAGTGGGAGGTCTGGTGGATCAGCATAGATGTGGGGGCCATCTCACTGATAAGAAAGTCCCCAACATAAGGCTCTTGCAGTTTATGGACAGGGGGCGAAGAGGGCAAAGGAAGAGGGGGTGTGCTTGGGAAACTGAGAGCGGGGAGAGCGTCTTCAGGGTTTCTGCCTCTCCCTGGGTTTCTGCCTCTCCCTCGACTGCCATAAGGAGGCCTTGGCAGAGGGACCCGGGAGGCCTCTGCTGAAGGTCTGAGAGCCCTAGGCGTGAAGGCTCCAGAGCTGAGAGCAGAAATATGTGAAGGCTGTGGCAGGCCAGAGGGCCAGAGCCTTTGACGGCCACTCCCCTCAGAGACTGCAGGGCGTTGACTGCAAGGCCAAACCTGGGGTGGAGAGGGCAGTTTTCCCCTGAGGCATGCCAGGGATGAATAAATAGCCTTTGTCATTGCCCACGTTGGGCCTGACAATTCACTCCTCGGTCTTTAACCACAAGCCCACTCATCACCGACACCCCAGACACGCATTTGCTAGTTAAACTTTTTAACTTTCTCTAACTCTAGTGAAGGTTGTAACTTTTTAATTTAGTGCCCTTCTCCCCCTGACCTCCACCGTGGTAAATAATTAAAAGGTCAGAGGTTGTGGTTTGGGTGGAGTACATTGTGACAGGGTGTGGCCTGTGGGTTTCTTAACCGGCTTAAGCAGTTTGGATCATAGAACTTTCCTGTGCTAGCAGAATCATTTAGCAATATTTCATCTCTACTGCATTTTAAATGGTTTTAAAATTATGGGACTATGATACTTGAAGTACGTTATCATTACAGAAGAGAAAGCTCAACTTTTCTTACTGAAAAACAATAAAATGATCATCTACATTTTTCTTTTAAACTTCTAGAAAGTTTGAAAATCTCTACATAGGCTGGGGTCATAAATACAGTCCAGACAGCTATACACCCCCAGTTCCACCAGCAGTTTGTGAAGAATACCCCAGTGGACCTGAAATTACAGAAACGGATGACCCCAGTGTGGAAGAGGAGCAGGCTCTCAAGGCTGCCCAAGAAGCAGCGGTAGCTCCAGCTGAGGAAAACGAAGAAACTGATGAAGATGATTATGACTCATAAAAAGAAAACTGGGTGCTTACTTCAGCAGCATATATAATAAAATACAACTGACCCAATTTTTGGATATACATACTCCTTATGTGAGTCTAATTGTATATGACATATATACATATAATTGGCAACTATTCGTGTACCAAATGTCATTCCCTGAAAATATCAAACTTGGAATTTCATATTTGGAACTAGTACTATGTATTTATAGAAAAAACGCTCAATGAATTTAGAGGCTAAATGTGTCCCAGAACACTGTTCTGGTAAGTACAATTAGTGAAATATGTGCTCTTGTATTTTTTTTAAATCTCAGGTTTAATTTCTATTACAGCAAACATCAAACTCTGTAAGCCACAAAGCTTCTTGGTGAATTCAATGTCTTTTCAGTGTCCAGTGGTTACTGAGGCCAAAAATATTGACAAGGGATTTATGATTCCATCACCTGCTCAAAGACTTCAGGAACACTACAAATTTTATCCTTTTTACCTGTTAGTCCTTAAAGAACTTTCCCAAGGACATCTTTTACCTGGTTGAAATTGGTTTGCTGTTTAGGGAAAAACGGTTTGCACAGAGGCGGCTTGCTGGGACACCCAGACACTTCAGACTAATACTTCCTAGCACTGCTTCTCTAAAACTATTTTCATTTTACTGACAAGGTATTTTTAAGCCCTGTGTGGGGCAGGCATTCTGAGGCTACTGACTGGCAGTTAGCAGATCACTGACCTGCAAACATTTGCTTGTCAAACACTTAGAAGGTGCCCTTACTCAGGCTTGAGCAGTTCAGCAATCACTTCTCAGGGGTGGAGAACTAAAGGTAGAGAGATCGTAGGCAGCACCAACTGTATTTTGGCAAAGGACTTTGGGCTAAAAGGAGTGGAATTTTGAGTGGTGAGAGAAGAGCCTGGAGAGGTAAGCAGGGCCCAGACTGAGTGGATGTCCAGACTCTGTCCATGGACAAGGAAGACGACTCAACTAGGAAGTGACAAACCAAAATTCTAACGAATGTTTTGGCTTCAAGGTAGAAGATGGCCCAACAGAGGACTCGGATGGGGAGACCAGCTGGAGCCTAGCACGTTATCTAGGGAAAGGACGGTGATGGCAGGTAAAAGGGTTACTGCCTGGGAGATGAAGGGGACGCCCGCTGGGTAGTCTAAAGGACAAGGTATTAGGTTGATTTCCGTCATTTCCCACTTAGCGATACTATTCATCTTGGAATGCACCTTTCAGTATTTGATGGAGCAGTTAATATTTATACTTCATTCGAGTACACTTTGTTCACTTTTGATGGTACAATAGAAAACGGGCTGCTTTTCTTTTTTGATGTTTCATATCCATGTCCTCATCTACATCGACTCCCTTTTGAGGAACTGCCTATCCACGGTGTACCTCATGGGGTCAGAAGGGCCTTCTCTGGAATCTCAATTGTGAGCAGAGACATTCTGCCCAGGCTCCTACCCCGATTCCTCTTAGAAGGTAGACCACAGTGTAGCCTTTCCAGTTGCCTTGGTTCCTGCACAATGCCTTTGTTCCTGCGGGCTCTGTGAGCTTCTCTAATCTTTCCATGAATTCCATTCCGCTTAAATTGGCCAGAGTAGGATTCTTTCTTGCAACCTTTCATGGCACATCCAACATAAATTCTGAAAGTTTCTTTCCTATAGGACACATTAAATACAAGACTCTTGCCCTGGCTGGTGTGGCTCAGCAGACTGAGCACCAGCCTGCAAACCTAAAGGTCACTGATTCAGGACCCAGTTGGGGCACATGGTTGGGTTGCAGGGCAGGTCCCAGATAGGTGGCGTGCAAGAGGCCACTACACAGTGATTTTTCTCTCTCTCTTTCCCCTTCCTTTCCCCCCTCTCTAAAAATAAATAAATAGAATTAAAAAAAAATAAATACCGGACTCTAAATCACAGTGGTGTAGGTAAGATTGTGAATATTTAACAAAAGCTAACCCTTCTTTTCAGAGATATACCTGTTAGTTTCTAAGGTTATTCCTAAGTGGTGAGGAGGGAATTTCAGTATATATGTTTCACAAAAGAGGAAAGCAGAATGTTTTATTGGTAAGAATTTGGAAGTGAGACGGCCTGGTTTCACACTCTGGATTATGATCAATTTTTCCAGGCAAATTATTAATTTGCAGAACTTCAGCTTCCTCACACAGCTAATAATACCACTTGTCTCACAGAAATACTTTGAAGATTAAACTAATTAATAGATGGAAAACACTAAGAATACCTAACACCAGTAAGGACACAATAAATATTACATGTGACTATAATACAAAACCAGTTCATGGAACATGGGTAAGAAATATAAAACCCACAATGAAAACAAGGTAGATATTTTCTGAAATAATTTCTAAACAAAGAATCACTTAAGATAAAACCTGGAAACTTTAAAAACAAAAAGCAGAGTATTCAGAAAATTCACAGACTTGTGAGTTGTTTTTAGGACTTTAATATCTGAATTTGTAAAATAAAATTCCAGTCACTGAGATGCTTAATTCTTCAAGGAATCTTCTCAGCTGTAAAGACCTGAGATGCTTGTCTCCTGGCCTTGAAAAGAAATTAAAAAAACTGTTAATTGTAAGCAAGAAAGCAATTAATTAGACTATATATCATTTTAATATTAAAAAATAAAATTTGGGAATGTTTTCAAGATAATGAAAATTTCTTAAGAAAAGTTACAATTGTGCATTTAAGAAGAATACACATGCTTCAATCCAAGCCCTACAAAATTAGGTAATATTTCAGAGAGAGACAATGCTGGCTCACACTCAGAGAAAGAATTGAAAATAGAGAGAAGGGGAAATAGAGAGGGCTCTGAACAGAGAAACTTTAAGAAAACGATCTTACACATTATGGCCTTAAAAATGCCACTTAGAAAACTTCAGTATCAGTGCTATTTCTACAGCTTGAGTCAGAAATGAAAGAATATTAAACGAAGCTAAAACAAAGTTTAATCAAGTTAAGAGTACATGGGTTACACAATGGAAGCAGTGATGTAACTTAACCAGAACATATCAAAATGTGAAAAGAATGGAAGAATATAGCTACTAAGTATGTTTGTATTCATTATTTGACTGAACTTCATTAGGGGATATTTTTTAAAATAAAAAATAAGAGCTGCAACATCCAGAACAAAATTTGTAGCTGATACTCAAAATATGTTTGTGGCCAAAATATGAAATTATGAGAGAGTTGCCAGGATAAAAAAATGTTTTTGAAAAACCCATTTACTCCTTGAGTAACAGCCACATAATTATTAAAAGATAATAAAAGTAAGTCCAAATATGAAGAACAAAACATAAAACGCTGTTATCCAAGTATCTACATTTTGAGATACTTTAAATAGTAATCTTGTTCTGAAATTCCTACAATTTAAAACTGTAATTTCCACTACAGAGAAAAAAGATATTTTAAAAGTGAGCTGTAAAAACACACATAAAAGTAAAACATTATTTCATCTGAGTTTAAAGCTGCATATTTCTATCTGAAGATATGTAGATAAGTTACTACATCAATATTCGCTGAATTAATGTATAAAAGCACTGTTAAAAAAGGGCAGAATAACGATAAGACAGATGGTAAAAAGAAATTCAATCACAGGTTTTAAAGCAACATGTGAAAGCAATGTTATGTTAAATTGGTAAGATTTTCTTCATTTTTCAAAATATCCTATCTTTTCAGCAATAAATGTGAAATTCTTCACATAAAAGCTTAGCAAACATAACACTGAGACTTTGTATCCTCACAGAAGTAATATAGGACAGGGCTCTGTGAACTGCCTGAACTGGAATCCTCACTCCCTTACTGAGTAACCATGTGGCTTTAGGTATAGAACAACTTCTCTGAGAATAGGCATCCTCATCTGTAAAATAAAAACAGTGCCTACCTTACAGGGCAGTTATGTGGATTAAATTAGTTAACAGATGTGAAGTGCATAGGATAGCACCTAGTAAAAAGTAAGCATTCTACTAATGTTACTTTTATTAATACAGTAAGTCCTCACTTAATGTCTATGAACTCTGGAATTTTAAGTGAAATGATGCATTATCAAAACATTTTTACATAGGCTTATTGACATAAACAAGAATTAAGTTCCCACAGCACGTCATCAATGTCATAATGAAACAACATTGAAGAAACTGATGTTATTTGAGGACCTGCTATATTACAATTATAACCATATTATAATTATTATCTTGTTGGGAACTGTCCTGCCTGGTTTCAGGGACCAGAGCCTTGTGGACAGGCAAAAAGGCCCCAAGGCTGGAGCTGAGCAAGGAGGCCTTGGGAAAATAGGCCACTGAGGAGACAAAACCTGTCCCCCTGGCAGGGGCACAGCTGCTGCCTCCCTCACATCACCCTGCTTGGCCCTGGGGGATGGCTGGTTAGATAATGGCGGGTAAGACCCCTTGATGGCAGGGGCAACCGAAGACAGGCACAGCTGCATAGGGCCACCAGGGAAGGGCTTGGGGGACACAGAGAAGGGGCAAAAGACCCTCACCCCTCAGGTTTGTCACGGCCAGAGTCCTCATTCTATCTGAAAGAAGTTTCCTTCTCTCTTGGCTGTTCTGCTGGTGCCTGACTGGGTCAGTGAAATAAATACTAAAGGCAGGTATAGCCATAAACTGGATCAGGTGGTTCCCCGGGACAATTAGGCCTGGAAAAGGAATGCATTAAATCGTAGGAAACTTACTTTGCTAAGAATTCCCTCAAGTGGATGAGTACTGATGTTTGGGGTCCAAGATAGAAATGTGATCGGTTTCTAAGGATTCAGGGTTGAATGGGTGCTACCCTGTCTACCAGAACCTGACCTGAGGCAAATCTCTGTGTTCCTTCAATTGTTATCTATGATTTCTGTTTTCTGTAAACATAGTCTTTTGACACTGATTGAGGAGCTTTGCATCTATGAGGTATACCCCAGTGCGTATTGTTCTCAATAAAAGCCACTTTAAGAGAACGGCTCCTGGCATTCTGCACTAGAGGCAATCGCCACTCCCTTTTCCTGGCAGACCGAGAAGTGTCTGGACAGACTTATTTTTCTCCAGCGGGGAATCTGCGCAGGACGCAGCACTGCCCCATCATTATCCCATCTCTATCAGGCAGCACTGTACACTGTCAGCCAAGTTTTGATTCTCATGGCTAAAGATACAGCTACTCTCCATGGTCTCTCCGCCAATATAAGATCAGTAACAAATGTACATTCTTAGTATTCTACACTATCAAGGACTCAGTTTTTAAACCAGAAAAATGATAGTTAACTAAACTGTTCAGTTAGACTCCATGATAATGTTTAACCTCATCTACGCTCTCAAAAGTTACCTATATCCTGGTGAACAAGCATGTTGGTATTGTATAATTAAAATTAACCTATAATTTTATCCAACCAAATTAATAACAGGAATGTAATTTTGCATTTAGGTCATAGAAAAGAATCTTAATTAAACAAATCTTGCCTTTATATCTCACATTGTTAGGGTAAGAGTATTACCCTGGCTCTAGCTCTCATTTCAAACATTTTTAGTCTTTTCCCCTATGACCCTGTTATTCTTCCTATATGTTCCTCTTTAGTCCTGTATCTTCTCTCTTTAAAAGGAAACAAATCAATATGAAGTACTCTGAGGGTACATTTCTTTCTCTAAATTTCTGACAACTATATATTTCCTAGATTTGGTATGCTACCACATAGCTTCTTTATACCAAGTAGAGGGTTTGCAACTCCTAATTTGTTTTTTCTATTGTGTACCACTCACCACTTAACTGCAAGAGATAAAGAGGCGACGGTACTGAAGTTAAATTCTAGAGCTGGGTATATCCACTATGATCAAGTGCATAACATGGAGCCTCACAAATCACAAGAATCACATTTAATAAACAATAACTGCAAGGTCAACAGTTAGGTTTTCTTGGATTAAATTAGGTCTTCTTACCGTATATCATATATATATAGACATTTTTCATCACTCACCTGACATTAAAAATTAAAGTATTCAATATAAAATTAAGTATTTTTATGAAGCTCTGAGTAAAGTATTTGGAAGTAATTAGGTATCATTTGAAATTTAAAGATGTCCACTGCAAAAATCAAATGACATAAAAAGAAAATATCTTTGACAACTTAATGATATAGAATGTATCAGGAAATGCAAAGGGCTAATAATATTGATTTTAACTGAAAATTTTAAACTCTGAAGTTCAGCTTAAGTCTCACATAACAAATATTTAGATACTTACAATTTTCTCTTCTGCAGTAAGAACACCCTCTGCTGCCACTATCTGGTATTGTTTATGTTTTAAATTTCCCACACATTTCCGAAGTTGTTTGAGACTGCTAGCCTCCATGTCTTGCTTTAGTAGTTTCTGCATTTCTCGAGAAGGACATCCAGGATCAAATATTAGTAAACATAATGTTCGGTTTTTTCTCTCTTCGATTCCAATAACTGTTCGACTATGACCTGTCAAAAATAAAATAACACACATATATATATGTATCTGTCTATAACTATTCATACAGATAGAAATAACTCTGTATACACACACTATATACTCTCTGTGTATACCGTGTTTATAGGAATGTGTGTTTAGAATATAAATATAGTTAGTCCCTCTGACACGGAGGCATCTGGGCTCTCACTCCTGAGACATAGAGTTTTAGTTCTACTTCCTATCAGTTTTCCCTTGTTCAATTTTAGTTTTCTAAAGCCTTCCTTATAAAAGTTCTCCACCATGACACACATTTTAGTTTTCCCTCCTAATCTCTTGATCTTTCCTATCCAAAGCATCTAAATGAAAGGATTTGAAAATTAACTACCATAAAACAAAACTCTAATGGTTCTAAGGTAAACAAAAGTAAATTTTATAGAAGGAGGGGCAAAAGATGGTGTACAATTGTAAGTATGTGAAACACAGAGTGTATTCGTGTATTATAATTTACTAATTATTGTATTATTTTCCATGTGAACAACTGTAAACCTAGGTTTGCTCCACACTGTCAATATTGGGGTGGCCAAAAAGTTCACTTTTTTTTCCTGTAAGATGGCTCTAGTAGAGCTTAGTTGTCATAACTTCATTCAAAACAATTTTGTTAGATTGTATTGTGACAGCTGTCATATCAGAATGCATTTTAAAAAAACATCAAAACTGGTCCATTTCTGTGTAGCCATTTTAATATTGACCATGGAAGAAGCTATGCAACATTTTCTGCATATTATGCTTTATTATTTGAAGGTAGAAACACAAAAAATATATATGCAGTGAATGGAGAAGGTGTTATGATGGACCAAACGTGTCAAAAATGGAATGTCTCATTGGACGATGCTCCATGGTCAGGTAGACCAGTTGAAGTTGATAGCGATCAAATCAAGACATTAATTGAGAACAATCAAGGTTCTCTCACGCGGGAGATAGCCAACATACTCAAAATATTGAAACCAATAAAGTTATTGGTGAAAGTGAAAAATGTGTCTTTCATTTTATGGAAAAAACTAAATGAAATTCTTGGCCAACCCAATATTTTGACTTTCCTTTTACAGAAATAAATAGCCCAGTGACAATTTTCCCCCAAACAAGGGGGAATTCTACTCTCTTAGGTAAATTCAATCTTCTCCTGAGAAATACAAAATACGCTGTCAACTTTAAAACAGAAATTTCTCATAATTCCCTGCCCCCCAATCAGCCATCAATTTGAAAAGTACTTGGGTCCTGTTTCACATGGAGCACACTGTTATATTTAGAAAAGGAATTATGAAGTGAAAGGCATTGGTAGTACTTAGGAGCAATGTATAGTTTTATAATAGACATAATTCTAATGTAATGCTAGACACAAATAATTTTAAGTGAAAAATATATTAACATTTTATATCCTGCAATGAATACTAATAGTTACCTATATTTTACATAATCAATGCAAGGCACTGACAGGTTACATGACTTCCCCAGCTAGTGAGTCAGGACTGAGATTCAAACCCAAACTTGTGAAGCAACCCTCAGCTTCGCCTGTCTAAAGACAGCTAAGAATGCCAGGGAAGAAACACTAAGAAGAGCCTGGCTCTGTACAAAACCTACAGAAGTCAAAAGACTTGGGCTTTAGAACTTACAAAACTAAGTTTTTACTCCTTTAGTCAATGTAGCTCAAACTGATATTCTCCTGGTAATCCCTAATTGTCAAATGAGTTTTGGCAACTGAGAAATATTCAGATCATTTCATCCAGCATGACGATAGACAGAGAAATGGTTTTCCAAAGATGTCCACATCTTAGTCCCGGAAACCTGTGAATGTAGTATGTTACAGGGCAAAAGGAACTTGGCAGATACGATTAAGACGACAGACCAGGAGATGTGGAGATTTTCACGGATCATCCTGACCTACAGAATCTAATCACCCGAACCCTTAACACTGGAGAACTTTTCAGGGCTGTGTCAGAAAAATGGAATGTGAGGACTCAATTGGCCATTACCGGCTTTGAAGATGGAGGAAGGGGCCATGAGTCAAGGAATGTGGTGGCATCTGGAACCAGGGAACAGCCATCATCTGACGGCCAGTGAGGAAGCAGGATATCAGTCCTACAACCTCAAGAACAGACTGCAGCCAACAGCTGAATGGGCAGGAAAGGACTATCCCTTAGAGCCCTGAGAACTTCCAGCCTGCTGACCTCTTAATTTTAGTCTTGTGAGACCCAAAGCAGACTTCTGACCTAAAACACTGTGAGATAATAAAATTGTGTTGTTTTAAACCACAGAGTTTGTGGTAGTTTTTTATGTTAGCAATATAAAGCTAATATAAGCACCCAGAGCCAACAGTTCTAAGTGTCCACAGGACTTCATCTCCACCATTTAGGAACTAGGAAATTAGCTAACATTTTTGCCTTAATTAAAGAATGTTAAAGAGCTATCACTTTATCTCCACATGGGATCATCCTGTTATATGTCTAAGGTAAAGACACAGACACTGGGCACACATATGCTCGTACTTAAAAGTATTGTCAACGAAATACTAGAACTTCAATATGAAGGGCCTTAACGTTTATAGTTTGTATTCCTTAATGATGACATGCCCACCATTTACTTTCCCCTATTCCTGTCAATGAAGATCGTCCATTCAACAAAATTTATCAAATTTTTATTGTGCCAGGCACTGTTATACGCAGTTAATGATACAGGAGCAAAGAAAACAAACATTCCTGCCTTCATGGAGCTTAACTTGTAATAGGAAGAAATACTGCATAAATAAGATAAATATGTATTATGCTACATATAAAAAAAATAAAGCAGGGAGGAAGAATGAGAAATGCCAGTTGTGGGAGGTGGGAATGAGATGAAATTTTAAATAAGGTGGGTAGGGAAGGTCTCACTGAAGTGATATATGGGTAAAGACCTGGGGGCGGGGTGGAGGGGGGAACAATAAAGGAAAAGTGAACCAGGCAGCCCAGGAGATGCCTGGAGATGCCTGGAGATACCAGGGATATCATCTTTGACTACCCAGGAATGAACTGTAATGAAAATGTAAATGAAAATCAGACAGACTATTGTCATAACACTCCCCTCCTCTTTATTATCAGAACCTTATCCTGTCTTAAAGCAAAAACCAATTCATTGTCTTACACAGATATTGTCTTATAAATTACAACTGTTATTTATGAGATTTACTAACCTTGATGCTGAAGATAGATAGGAGGTTTAGATGTACCTACTACTTTTGGACCCCCTTCCCTCTCTGAAGAATAATAGTTTAATATCCATTCAAATAAGCGAGGGTGTGTACCCAAAGGACCTGTTGACTTGTGAAAATCCACAATACGGCACCTATAGAAAATGGACAGAAGAGATTATTTAGAGACTATGTTTAAAATTATTTTCATCAGTGTAGTAATCAAATACAAAGAATTCTTAGTTTAGAATGAATTCTATCTTATTATTTTCTTAAAAAGAAAAAATATGCAAATTTTATTATTTACATGAAAAACTCATTTATGAGGAAATGATTACTTAACTAACTTCCTAATTAGGTTGATGACTAATGTAAAAGTTACAAAGATTTTGATGTATAAAATCTCCATGAATAGTAAATGAGGATCATACTTGATCTTTCAAAGTCATCCACATATAACCTGAAACACAGCTTTTATTCTAAAGCCTCTAAACCTGATAATCAATGAGAAGCAGATTCTAATTTTAATTCTTCAGTAGCCATTCACATGTATCAAAAAACACCTTGAATACTTTTGTTGTGAGCTCTCCAAAATACTAATAAACAGGAAAAGAATATCTGTAAAAATCATAGAAAAACTTGTATGTACCTCTATCTATACAGCTGTCCATTATCCATCCATCTATCTATCCATCCATCCTCTATTTCTCACCAGACCCTGGTGGTGGTATTGTTTCCTCAAGAAGTCAATCTTGGAGTAACAAAGTCATTTTAACGAAAAAAAAACTGTTTATACTCTCCAACAACTATTTCAATACTGTCTGATATAAACAAAAGCAATTAAATCCTTCATTTTCACTTTAAAGTACAGCACAGATATTCTGTCCTTGTCTCCCTTGGCAATAAACCACATCTCCAAACACAGCGAAATTGTAATAGTTGTTATCTTTAACTAGTAAGATTAATGTTGATGACTTTCAAACTGATTACTACTGAGTTTTAAAAGTTGAAATGAAGTTTTGTGTAATTGTTAAAAAGCAGAAACAGTGCTTGGGTTAGCAGTTGACTGCACGTTTATATTTAGAATGTGAAGAGTACGCAATAGAGTATAATTCACAGTATGCAAAAAGGAGACATTTAAATAACTAGTACTGAAATTCAGGATTTAGTAATTTTAGAAGGAAGGCTAAAGTATTTCATGTACCAAGAAAGGAGATGGATATAACAGGTATTTTAGATGAGTATTTTCCTTTCCTTAAAACTTATTTAAAAGCCCAAATATGGTACAGTATATATAATACAAATGTATGAACATATGGGCAAAAAGAAAAAAAAGGAAAAAAATTTAGAGGGCATAAAAATAGTCCTTAAAATTTAAATAATCCAAGAAAGTCATTATACACATAGTAGCTTTTTTATTTAAAATTTTAAAAAGTTTCACCTCTAAATCTGATCAGTTAATATGGTATAAGTGATGTAAAACACTGACTAAATTATCTACAATGAAACATAAAAGAAAACGCCAAGTTGTGAAGCTTAAGGCAACTTTTCCATTCATGATCATCACAAGCATCTACCTCTGATCGCTCCTGAGAGCCCAAAACATACTAATGAAGAGAAAGTGATTTAAACTCCCAGGGACAAGGAGAATGAGGGGAGATAAGAAACTGCCACACAATTCTGAAAAAAGGAAAACTACATTTAACTGAATGTAAATACACAAAGACAGTTGTCTTCAAACCCCAGAGAGCCTGAAAGCTTAGACGCACACGGTTTTGGGGAGAGTACTAGTGGGAATAAAAATTTGACTTTGATGGTAAGTTTACATAAAGAAGGCAAATCACCCCTCACCCCCTCATTCCTTCCACCCCGCACCACACACACAAAGGCAGGAGCTGTAGCAGAGGAGTGGAGAACTCTCCTCTGAATGGCTTCTGAGGAAAGATCACCCTCCATACTCATGTCTGGGTCAAAGAGCAAGTTTCCACCTAAGACTCTGAAATGAAATCTGCTAATCTGCAAGCTCCACGCAATCCTACAGGACCTCCAAGCAGCTTTTTAGCGCCTCATTCCTCATTCTAGGAAAAGACAATTAAAGATTTCCAAAGTTAGAAGGCCTTCAAAATGGAAAAGACTACAGTACATAGACATGAAAACAAATTAACACAGAGAGAACAGAAAATGCAAGGAATAGGAAGATACAAAATATTGGAGAAAAATGTTACAAACTTAAAAGACTATGACGCTATAAAATTGAGCTTTAGAATTAAAGACATGATTGCTAAAATAAGCATTTCAATAGAGTAGTTGGGAAATAGAGTTGAGTGAATCTAGACAGTGAAACAGAAAGCAAATATAAAAAATGAGACATGACCAAGAAAATTACAACAGTTAAACTGTGGGCTCTTACTACATTCCAGTCTGTTCCAAGCATTTATTATCTCACTTAATTATCACTATTACTCCAGGAGGCAGTACCTATTTATATGCTCTTTTATCAAGGGTGGAACTAGGTAGAAATACTCTATAAACAAGATAAATAAGGGTTAAGTCACAGAGCAGGTAGGTAGGTAGGAAAGCCTGAAGCAATTGCTGGCAGCCTGACTCCAACGTCCAGCTTTGAAACACTATACTGAGATCTTACAACTCACCGTTTCAGATTTGGAAGGAAAATGAATGCCCAACACAATATGTCAAAGCCCCAGATTCCAGGGTGAAATTTCGTACTAGCAGGGCTAAGAAAAGATGCAAAAAACTTCCAAAGAAAATAAACAGGTTATACATTCATGAATGAAAATCGTGTGGCATCTTATCTTTTCAGTAGTAATACTGATCACTGGAAGTCAACAGAGTAAAAACTGAATATTACCTGAAAATGATTTTGAGTTTAGAATAATATAGTCTCATTTAAGTAATAGGAACTAGGCACCCTTTTTTGAAAGTTAATGAAGGAAGTGCTTAAGCAAGAGAGAGTAATCCAGAAAGAGAAAGACATGAAACTTAGAGAAAACCCAGTCTTCAGTTCAAGGAAAAAGTGGTGTCCAGGAATAGAAGTGTCGCATATTACATGACAGTGGTGTGTTCAGAAAAACTTACGACCATGATATAGTCAAATGGTAAAAGGGAAAAGGAAATGCAATTTTGAATTCGGGGAACAAATTTTAGAACCCTTAGGAAAGAAAATAAAATCAGTAATGAATAATATTTACACAGTCATAATGTAAACTCTAACTTAATGAGCACTGAGATTTATCCATGTTAGAAGGATGGTGAGTGAACAAGAGGGAGATATAAGGGGAACACAACAGACAATGTCTAAAACTGATAAACAAACAAACAGAAAAGAAGAAACAAAAAGAAGCCATGAAAGCATGTTATTTAACAACAATGGAAGCTACAGCTGCCTCTTAGGAATAGGACTTGCAAATAGAGAAACATGAGATTGAGAAGACTGGGAATGAATTCCTGGTTTCATTGTAAACCTTTTAGTGCTACTTATATTTTATTTTTTAACTACATCTTTGATAGAAAAACAAACAAAAAGAAACAATACACCCTGCCATGTATGACAATAACAGTAACCTGGCTTTTTAGGTACGTACTTCACCCTCAGGGAGGTTAGAAGTGTATATATTTCACATGCTCCGATCCAGGCCTTGGTTCCCTGTAACCTGTTATTGAGTTGACAGGCACCCTGAGGATCAAAACCTTCCCTCCAGGCATCTTCAATCATCGACTGAATTTTTGGAATACAAGGAACTGACATACCTAAAATCATATAAGCAAACAGTTACTAAAGTGCGGAGTAATTTTATTTAGCAGTATATACCATTTAGTCTAGGAAATCTAAAACGCAGTTTTTAAGACAGTTATTCCTGACATCTTCTGTTGTATCAGTCTCTCTTCCTCCAACCAGAATCAGGTTTTTAATATAAGTATCCACGAATGTATTTCTCCATCAAAACCATTAACTGTCCCTACTAGTTATTAATTCATGTACAGCATTTACTCTAGAGGAACCTAAAACAGTTTCTCAGTTATTTCTGACATTTTTCTGTTGTACCAGTTTCTCTTCCTCCAACCAGAATACAGGTTATCAATGTAAATATCCAGCAAAATACTTCTTCATTAAAGGTTATAATTGTGCCCACTATGTTAATTCACTCCATGTCTTAGGTACTTTATCAGACGACAAGTTCGAAGTATCGTACTTCACATACCTTTCAGGCAATCATCATAAGCATCATTTTGTAATAATGATGAGAGTAGCATTTGGAAATTTCTGTAACCACAGCCCCAGCCTTTGTCACCAAAAGATGAATGAAAGTGATCTACCACTGTAGAAAGCCACACACGCCTCACGTCTGTGGCGGCATTCTGGTAATACCTATGAAGTGCTTCAATAATTCCTAAAGTAGGAAAGAGATTTAGAAGAATTAGTTATCTTTCTATGGCTAATATTTTTCTAATATCAATCTGTTCTTCAAGCACCAATCTAAAGCATGTCAATTTTTTTTTTTTTTTTTTTTTAAGGGAGACAGAGACGGAAGGGAGAGGGAGAGAAACAGATGTGAGAGAGAAACACTGATTGGCTGCCTTCCTTCCATATGTGCCCTGACTGGGGACCGAACCTGCACCTGACTGGGAATTGAACTGACAACCTTTTCGTGTTTGCGACAACACCCAACCAGCTGAACCACACTGACTGGGGCTTCTTTATCTTTTTACTGATATGACTTTAGTTCATATTATGCTTTGCCATTAAATCAATCCTTCTAAATTTTAAGGCAGATAATCGAAAGGACATATTATATACTGCCATGTTCTGAAATCTTTTACATTTATATTTAAAGTTATATATAAACTAGTGGTTCTATACTAAATCTAAAATATATGCGGAGCACTGGCTGGTGTGGTTTGGTGGACTGAATACCAGCCTGCAAAATAAAGTCTCATCAGTTCAATTCCCAGTCAGGCAGGGTACGTGCCTGGGTTGTGGGTCAGGTCCTCCAACTGGCAGCATGTGTGAAACAACTGATTGGTATATCTCTCACACATTGATGTTTCTCTCTCTCTCTTTCTCCCTCCCTTCCTCGTCTCTAAAAGTAAATAAAATCTTAAAATGTATGCACAAATCTAAATTAAGAATGACACAAATTAAAACCAAATAAGAGTTCTAATATTTTCTCCCTGTATACCCCAATGTATCATATTGCACATTTCCCAGGATCTGCTTTTCCACGTAGAAGCTTTTTATGGGAAGACCCTCAGAGAAGTATAAATAGAGAAAAGTACAGATTCACTAAGTTGGTACTGAGAAAAATAAGCAATAAGAACTTTAAGTATTGTTATAAATGAAGGGAAAATATTTGATCCATATCTTCTCTTTCTCTCCCTCCCTCTTTCGGTCTCACACATATGTACAAACAAATTCTGGGCAGATTAAAGTCTAAATATGAAAATGAAAGTATGAATATGTAAAGAAAATATTAAGAAATATGTTTGTGATCTCGAAGATGGGGGAGTTTCTTAAACAGGATACAAAAAAAGGGAAAGACTGTGAAATCTGATTATGTTCAAATTTAAAACTCTGCATAAGACATCATGTACAAAAAATTAAAAATGGAACTGTCTTATGATCCAACGATTCTACTTCTGGGTATGTATCTGAAGAAATCCAAAACACTTATTCAAAAGAATATATGGCACCCAAGTGCCCATCATTACATGACTAGATAAAAAAGCTGTGGTACATATATACAATGGAGTATTACTTAGCCCTATGAAAGAATGAAATCTGACCACATGTAGATCTGACCAGCATGGATGTGCCTAGAGGGTATTATGCTAGGTGAAGTAAGCCAGTCAGAGAAAGACAGATACAGTATGATGTCTCTTGTATGTGGAATCTAAAGAGCAAAATAAATGAACAAACAAAATTGACACAGACTCATAGATACAGAGCATAGACTGATGACAGCCAGAGAGGAGGGCAGTTAGGGGACTAGGTGAAAAAGACAAAGGGATCAAGAAGTACAAATTGGTAGTTACAAAACAGTCACGGGGATGTAAAGTACATCATAGAGAACATAGTCAATAATATTGTAATAACCATGTATGGTGCCAGGTGGGTACTTGAAATATTGTGGATACCACTATGTAAAGTATGATTGTCTAACCAGTATGCTATACACCTAAAACTAATAAAAAATAACACTGAATATAAACTGTAATTGAAAATTAAAAAATACATACCACATACAAAATATAATGGCAAATATTATAGACTTGAAGATATTTACACCTCATAAAATCAACAAAGAATTAGAATCCTTAATACTTAAAGGATTCCCGCAAATTAATACAAAAAACAATGCAACGGAGAAAGGACACGTGAATGGGATAGGTTATTTAGTGAAGAAACTCCTGCCTCAGGAGTAATCAAGGAAATGCAAATTAGGATATATATCATCTCATGCCCTATTCAATAGCCAAAATTACAGAGAGTCACCGTACAAAGTATGAGTGAGAATACACTGATGCAAATGTAGATCATGACCACTTTGGAAAACAATGTCAAAAAAGAACTTAACAAAATTAACGATGCACATGCCCTTTAACTTAGTACTGTATTTCTAGTTCTGGATGCAATATGAGAGGAACTCTTGAAGGAGACCTATGTATAACCTATAAGACTGAAAAACTGACAACAACCTAAATGTCAACATGAAAACAGTTAAATAAGATGTGTGTAATTTGTACAAGGAAGTACAATATAGCAGTCAAAATAAATGAAGTACAGCTGTAAGAATCAATATACTTGAGCAAATCAGAGTATAGGCATTGCGTGCCAACTGTAAGTAGTTTAAACACAGAAGCTATCACATACTGTTTATGAAAATGTACACATATGGTAAAGTATTAAAACATATATGGCACCGATAACTACCAAATTCAGTGTAATGGTTCCCTTTGTGGAGTAGGAGGGATTAAAATCAGAAAGGGTTACACAAGAGGTTTACTATACATACGAAATGTTTTACAGCTTTAAAGCACTGAGATTCAAAATGGTGGGTGGCAGGAGTAAATTTTGTCCATATAATATTTTCACTACATTAATAGATGTATTAAATATGTTAAAATATTTGGAAAAATGCATTTTTTTGGAGCAAGACAAATCTGATTGTAAATGCTACTGGGCGAATAACTAGCTATGTACATATCTTACCTTGGGAAAATAACTTCTCCATGCCACAATTATCTCATCAAGCAAAATGTAACACTACCCAAGAGAATGTTTGGTTTGAGAGTTAAATGATACCTTATTAAAGTACTGTATATAAAGTTCTTAGTGACTAAAACTGTATTGAACAATATAGTAGTAGCCATTATCTGCATATGGGTACTGAGCACTCAAAACGTGGCTTGCCCCTTGGAGGTGTTCTGTCCAGGATAAAATACACATTAGATTCTAAAGAATGTACAAGGACTGCAAAATATCTCATTAATAGTTTTTAATATTGATTAGGTGTTAAAATATGAGGAACCTAATGAACCTAAAATATTAAAAATAATTTTTCATGGTCCTTTTTACTTTATCTAATGTTGACTACTGAAAATTTAAAATGATATATGTGGCCCATTTACATTTCTACTAGACAACACAGATCTAGAACACAGTAAGTACTTAATAAAAACTTTTTTAAATGGTTCAGTTTCAAATACAAAATAAATGAACACAAAATAAAAGTGACTTATTTACTATAAAAGGTTCAGAAGTTTGAAAAGAGCTTTTTAAAAAATTATCGGAACAGTCTCACCTAAAACTATATATACTGTGGATTATGAAAATTAGGCAAAATTCAAGTGATTCCAGTGATTACTTCAGTAATGTATACATAAAATATTAAAAACCATGGTTTTGGTGCTTAAGTACTCACCAGAAGTTCTTGTTTTTCCATCATCAATACCAATAGCTAGTGCTTCCATCATATCAGCTCTTCTTCTGTGAAATTCAGATGGATGCATCCTTCCACTGTTTACTTCTCTCTCCATGCTCTGGAGCTGCTGCTGTTTGTACCCTCCAGAATCATCTAAACCATATTGTCTCTATTGAACATAAAAACAAACAACCATTTTTATGTCTCTCTACCTCAGTGAGGAAGGAAACTTACCACAATTTTATTTATCTGAAAGTGCATTTTGAACCATTCTGGATAACAGACTTTTATAAAAGTCAACTTAAAGATTTTTATGAAAAATAAATCATATGCATACAGAATCCCTGAGTAATAGCCTTTTTCTATAAATAACCATCATGGCAAGAGACTTGCTTTCCTTGTAGTAGGGAAAGTAGAGAATCCTGTCTTCCTACTAAAAGAATGGTGGACGGTAGATGAGGTCTGAACATATTGCTGATTTTTTCAACAAAATCCGTCAGTACGTGTTATTTCGTTCCCAGGATAGCCTACAAGAGCCTACTTAATTTATAACTCATTCAGACATTCATTCTATATAATATATGAACTGTTTTTGCATATTGAACAGACAATCTTAAGTATGTGTAAAACAGCCTTCTTAGAAAAAGTTTTTGAGATCTAAACTACTTTGCAAAGTTAGGTAGCAAATTCCCTTTTATATTGGAAACTTTTTGTATTTATAATGTTCAAAAAGTATATTAGGCAAGAAGACTTGGGAAAAGCCAGCTTTTCTCTTCTGAACCCTGGTGGAAATGTATTTTGCAAGTAAAATAATCACTAATGAGAAAAAGAGCCAAACTTAGATATTCCAAAGTGGAAATTAAATTTTCTCACACTGCCATGTGAAATGCCTGAGAAAAAAGAGGTTAAATAAGTTTTGGAAAATTATGGTATGTATAATGTACATTAGTATATAAGTTGATAAGTCCTAAGGTATACAATCTGTTACTTTGTTTTTCATTTACAGTTTACATTCACTATTATTCTGTATTAGTTTCAAGTATACAGTATAGTAATTAGACAATCATTTACAAAGTATTCCCTCTGATATTTCATGTACCCACCTGCCACCATACAGTTATTATATTATTATTAACTATATCCCCCATCATGTACTTTATATCCCTCTGATTATTTTGTAACTACCAATTTGTACTCCTTCATCCTTTCACCTTTTCACCCAGTCCCCCAATTGCCATCCCCCATAGCTCTGTTTGTTCTGCATATCTAGGAGTCTGGTTATTTTGTTTGTTCGTTTATTCTGTTTTTTAGATTCCACATAGAAGGAAAATCATACGGTATTTGTCTTTCTCTGACTTATTTCACTTAGCATAATTCCCTCGAGGCTCATCCATGCGGTAGCAAAGGTAAGATTTCTTCTTTTTTATGGCTGAGTAGTATTCCACCGTGTTAATGTACCACTGGTTTCCTATCTATTCATCTGATGATGGGCAGTTGGTTTGCTTTCAAATCTTGTTTATTGTAAATAATATTGCAATGAACATTGGGGTGAATATGTACTTCTGAATTAGTGTTTTGGGTTTCTTTAGATAGATATCCAGAAGTGGAACTGCTGGGTCAGAAGGCAGTTCCTTTTTTAATTTTTTCAGGGCCCTCCACACTCCGTTCCATAGTGGCTGCACCAATTTACAATCCCACCCAATAGTGTACAAGGAGTTTCGCAGACCAAAAAAAAGCTGTAAGAATACATCTCCACCACACCACCATTACAAGGGATGCTAAAAGAACTATTTTAGAAGATGAAAAGAGAGAAAGAGAAGGAACACAGGTACAAAGGGGGAAAAAATGGCAAAGAATAAGTACCTATCAATAATACCTTAAATGTAAATGGATTAATGCTCCAATCAAACGCCAAAGTGTAGCTGAATGGGTAAGAAAATATGACCCACATATATGCTGTCTATAAGAGACTCATCTCGGAAAAAAAGACCTTCACAGACTGAAAGTGAAGGGATGGGGAAAAATAGCCCTGGTTGGTGTGCCTCAGTGGACTGAGTGCTGGCCTGCAAACCAAAAGGTCACCAGTTTGATTCCCAGGCAGGGCACATGGCTGGGTTGTGGGCCACGCCCCCAGTAGGGGGCGCATGAGGGGCAGCCATACATTGATGTTTCTCTCTCTTCCTCCCTTCCCCTCCCTAAAAATAAATAAAATCTTAAAAAAAAAAAGAAAAGAAAAAATATTTCAAGGACATGGACATGAAAAAAAAAAGCAGGGGTAGCAATCCTTATTTTGGACAGAACAGATTTCAAAACAAAGGTCATAAAAAGAGACAAAGGAGATCACTACATAATACTTAATGAAAAGGCCATCAAAAAGATATAATCCTTGTAAACATATATGCACCCAACATACCAGCACCTAAGTATATAAGAAAAATCTTGGAGAACTTCAAGAAAGAAATCGACAGCAACACATTCATTGTAGGGGATTTCAGCACCCCACTGTCAACAACGGACAGATCTTCCAAACAAAGTATCAACACGGATATTGTGGCCCTGAAGAACACTCAAGATTAAATGGACTTAACTGATATATGCAGAACCTTTCACCCCAAAGAAGCAAAATATACATTCTTTTCAAATGCACAAGGAACATTTTCAAAGACAGAGCACATAGTTGGACACAAAACAAGCCTCAAAAAAATTCAGGGAAGGTGAAATCAAATCAAGCATTTCTCGGATCACAATGGCTTGAAACTAGCCATCATCCTCAAGAAAAAAACTAAAAAACATTCAAATACATGGAGACTGAATAACATGCTATTAAATAATGAAAAGGTCAACAATGAGAACAAGGAAGAAATCAAAAAATATCTGGAAACAAATGAAAATGAACACACAACAGCACAAAAACCTATGGGACACAACAAAGGTGATCCTGTGAGGGAAGTTCATAGCAATATAGGACTACCTGAGAGAGAAAGAAAAATCTGAAATAAACCACCTGTCCCTACATCAATAAGAGCTAGAGGGACAACAAACAAAGCCCAAAGTGAGTAGCAGTAAGAAAATAATCAAGAACAGGGCAGAATTAAATGACATAAAGACTAAAAAAACTATTCAAAGTATCAATATATCCAGGAGCTAGTTCTTTGAAAAGATAAACAAAATCGACAAGCCTTAAACCAGACTTATCAATAGAGAACCCAAATAATAAAATCAGAAATGAAAGAGAAGTTACAAGCAATACCACAGAAATACAAAGGATTGTAAGAAATTACTATGAACAACTATATGCCAAGAAATTGGACAACCTGGGCAAAATGGACAAATTTCTAGAAACATACAATGTTCCAAAACTGAATCAGCAAGAAGCAGAAAGCCTGAATATATGGATAACAACTAGTGAAATTGAGGCAGTAATCAAAAAACTTCCGGTACACAAAAGCCCTGGACCAGGTGGCTTCACAGGCAAATTTTACCAAACATTTAAAGAACTAACTCCTATTCTTCTCAAACTATTCCAAAAAATTCAAGAAGGAAATCCCTCCAAACTCTTTTTATGAGGCTAGTATTATCCTAATTCCTTTTTTGGTAAAGACACAACAAAGAGAAAACTACAGGCCAGTATCTCTGATGAACATAAATGTTAAAATCCTTAACAAAACATTGACAATCTGGATCCAACAATACATTACAAAGATCATACACCATGAGCAAGTTGGATTCATCACAGGGATGCAAGGATGGTACAATATGCACAAATCAATGAACGTAGTACACCACATAAAATGAAAGACAAAAATCACATGATCACATTAACAGATGCTAAAAAAGTATTTGATAAATTACACCACCCATTTATGATAAAAACACTCAGTAAAGTGGGAACTGAGGGATCATACCTCAACATAATAAAGGCCATATATGAGAAACCTACAGCCAACATCATATTCAACAGGCAAAATCTGAAAACTTTCCCTTAAGATCAGGAACAAGACAAGGGTGTCCACTTTCACCAACTGTATTCAAAATGGCATTGGAGGTTCTACACAGCAATCAGGAAAGAAAAAGAAATAAGAGGCATCCAAATTGGAAAGGGGAAGTAAAACTGTCATTATTTGCAGGTGACATGACAGTGAACAGAGAAAACCCAAAGGGTCCACCAAAAAACTACCAGACTTAATAAGTGAATTTAGCAAAATAGTGGGATACAAAGTCAATATTCAGAAATCAAAGGCATTTTTGTACATCAATAATGAAATAATCAGAAACAGGAACAAGGAAAAAAATACCATTTACTGTAGCAACAAGAAAAATAAAGTACCTAGGAATAACCTTAACCAAGGAGACCTATAATTGGAAAACTACAGCACACTGAGGAAAGTAACTAGGAAGACACAAGTAAGTGGAAGCATATACAGTATTCATGGATTGGAAGAATTAGAGTCATTAAAATGTTCATACTATCCAAAGCAATCTATAGATTTAATGCAATTCATATTAAAATATCAACAATGCCATATTTCACAGATCTAGTCCAAATCTTTCAAAAATTTATATGGAACCAAAATTGACCCTGAATAACGTCAGCAATCTTGAGAAAGAAGAGAAAGTAGGAGGGACCACATTACATAATATCAAACTATACTATAAGGACACCGGAAATCAAAACAGTCTGGTGCTGGCATAAGAACTAACACATAGACGAATGCAACAAAATAGAGAGCCCAGGAATAAACCCATGCCTCTATGGTCAATTACTATTTGACAAAGAGGACAGGAGCATTAAATGGAGTAAAAATAGCCTCTTCAATAAATGGTGTTGGGAGATCTGGACAGGTACATGCAGGAAAATGAAACTAGATCACCAACTTACACCATACACCTGAATAAACTCAAGATGGATAAAAGACTTAAATGTAAGTTGTGACACCATAAAAGTCCTAGAGGAAAACACAGGCAGTAAAATTTCATATATCCCATGCAGGAATATTTTTGCCTATACGTATTAAAAGGCAAGGGAAATAAAGGGAAAATTAAACAAATGGGACCACATCAAATTAAAAAGCTTCTGCATGGCTAAAGAAACCATCATCAAAATGAAAAGGGAACCAAGTGCATGGGAAAATATATTTGCCAACAGTACCTTGGACAAAGGTTTGATCTCCAAAATATGTAAAGAACTCATATGACTCAACACAGAAAGACAAACAATTCAATTATAAAATGGGCAAAGGACCTGAACAGACACTTCTCCAAGGAGAACATACAGATGGCCCATAGACATATGAAAGGATGCTAAGCATCACTAGCCATGAGAGAGATGCCAGTTAAAACCACAATGACATACCACTTCACACTGGTCAGAATGGCCGTCATTAATAAATCAACAAACAAGTGCTGGTGAGGTGGTGGTGAAAAGGGAACCCTACTGCACTGTTGGTGGGAATACAGACTGGTGCGGCCACTGTGGAAAACAGTATGAAATTTCCTTAAAAAACTAAAAATGGAATTGTCTTTTGACCTTGCAATTCCACTGCTGGGACTGTACCCTGAGAATCCTGAAAGACCAATTCAAAAGCACCTATGCACCCTTATGTTCACAGCAGCGTTTCTTCCAATAGCCAAGTGCTGGAAACAGCCTAAGTGCCCTTCATTAAGTGAGTGGACCAAAAACCTCTGGTGCATTTACACAGGGGATTACTACACAGCAGAATACAGAAGGAACTCCTGCCCTATACAATGGCGTGGATGGAACTGGAGAATATTATGCTAAGTGATATAAGCCAGGTGATGAAAGACATATATATGATCTCACCTATAAGTGGAACCTAATCAGCAAAACAAACAAGTGAGCAAAATAGAACCAAAGGCATGGAAACAAGGAACAGACTGACAGTGACCAGAGAGGAGGGGGATGGGAGAAAGGGATAAGGGAGGAAAGAAAGGGAAGGGGCTAGGCAAGGAACATGCAGGAATGACCTATGGACATGGACAGTGGGGCGGGGACTGACTGTTGGAGTGGAAGGTGGGCTGGTCGGAGGAGGGCAAATGGAAAAAAATGGGACAACTGTAATAGAACAACAAAATATTTAAAAATAAAATAGAAAAGTTTAAAATAATTTCTTCATGGAGTTGTTGTAAAAATTATGGTATCTATGAAGTGCTTACCCCAGTACATAACCAGAACGGGTACTTGCAAATGGTGGCTGTTATGAACTATAAAATATTGAATATGTGTTAAAAAATATTTAGTATAATAACAAGTATAAAAATAATAGACTGAAGTCTTGACAGCATGACTGAAAATTAAGACTTCTACCAAACAAAAATATTATGTTATAATCTATGTACCTGCAGCTTTTGAAATTCTTCCCTTTCTTGTCTTGATTCTTCAGATTTCCTCTTTTGGTCTTCTTCTTGTTGAAGCTGGTGAGCCAATTCCAGATCTCTAGTACATTGGACTCTATCCAAGCCTATTAGATATTTTTAGTGTTTAGAATAACTACTAAAATCAAAGCTTATCTATTACATGTTTACATATGTACTTTTTAAATGGAGTAAATGCTACTACCACTTTGCCATCTGCACATGCCTATGATGTCATAAAAACAGTATGTATAAATCTAGCAGAACTTAAAACTAATTCTATAAGGGTACAACCCCCACTTAAATCACTAATATTCACTGAGTGTTTAGGCTGTGACAAAGACTGTTAATTAATTACTTCATTTGGATCTTTGTAACAACCTTAAGAAGACAGGTATCACCTTCTTAAGGAACCAAAAGTTAGAGAAATTAGGTAACACCCTCCATTGGTGTCCCTTATTAACACAAATGAGATAGACTGGTTTTTAAAAGAAATACTGGGAGGTGGAGGAAATACTAAAGGGCATAGAAATATGTCTGCGAAATACAGGTATTAGATCATGCAGGTATTAATTATAGCCTGGCCCCAAATAATACAACGTCGCAACACCTTTGCTCTATTTCTCCTCTCTCCAGTGTTCCACATATCCATTAACCAGTGACTTCTGGCCAGTATCTTAACTTCTTGACCTCCCAATTTGGTGGTTTAATTATGTATTTAAATATCCTTTCTTTCCTTTCAAATCTCTCAGTTTCTACTGCATCCTCCTATTTGTTTCTCACATCTGTTGTTGGAGATACGTATTTCACAACTGATTTTTAGTGTACTTATGAGGCTATCAGCAGTGATATACTCAGACCATATCTTTCTCTCATTATTCACTATGAGCTCACAGAATAATTTATGCACCCAAAGATAGCCTACCATAAACAAAGTAAAAATGATCAGATATTAAACTTCAGAGGGTTATTCTTCCACAGTAGTTAGTAAAGAACCAACAGTAGAAAACTGTTCCATCTTTGCTACAATAATTCTCATTGTGGGATTACTTTGAGTGAGCAGGTAATGCTGTCTGCCCATAGAGATAGCTGACTGGTACTAGGGTCACTGATACTGGACACTAAAGGCCCCTGCATTAACATGTGGGATCTATGTACCTTAAGAAATGGAAATCCATTAGAACACAATTGATTTCTCTGAGGGTCTCCTTTGTATTTCATTTCAGTGGGACTGTGCAACCCACATAGGATTTTTCCACTTCTAAGTCACTGTAGTGATTACTTAAAAAATACCACATGAAAAAAATAGAGGAGACAGAGCAAAACTTTAGAGTCACTTATAAAACTAGTAAGTGGTAATGTAAGAAACTTGGCTAACAGCTAGAAAGGCACTTAGAAAACTTTTCAGCCACACAGTTCACATTCTTTTAAAAAAATTATATGTGCCATATGGCAGCTTCCTAGTTCACCAACAATTTTGGCTGTCCAAATGCTAATTTCAGTTACTTCTAGCTGCTGAAAGAATGGCCTCAACTTAAAAATCAAACAGATTTTTAAAAGTCCACAATATTTCATTTTCTTCTGAATATTGTTTCTCTGGGGCAAAACTTGGGACTCACACTTTTGGTTCAGTTTTTGGTCACAACAGTTTATCCCTGACAATTTTTCTGCAAAAAAAAAAAACTTATTTTAAAAAGTTGTAACTGTAATAGAATTATTTAAAGGGTCAGATTAATTTTTAAGCAGTATGTTTCCCCCATCACTGTGTATCACTAATCTAAAACTGAGATGTGTTCTAGGAAGTAGAAATTAAATGACATTCTTATTTTAAAACATATAAGCATACCTTGTCTAAAGCTGCTTTCTTCCAAATGCAAGTCAACATGTTCCTGGAGAATATGGTAATTTGTACAGATGAGCCCACACATAGGACAGTCATACAGTGTCTGACCACCGTCTGTATTAGAGATATAATTTAATTGGTTTTATTTTTAAAACTTCTAGATTTTCACCCCAAGTCAAACACTATTTTGGTTTCATGCCAAAAAATGTCTACAAGTTGAAATGCTGAGTGTTTGAATGTTCTCATCTGAGGATTAGAAGCCACAGTTTAGATGGTAGACATTTACAGACATGCTCCAGCGTACTCTTTTCCTACTTCCATCTCTTTATTTTTAACCAGCACATAAGAGATTTTTCTGTCACTTGAAAATTTAAAAACAAAATGGAAAAATTTGATGCAGCATAAGTATTCTCAATTTAGGAAAGAATTTGGAAATATTTAGTTATATTATCTGTATGATAATAAAGCTGCAGAATGTATCCAGATAAACTACAACACTAAATAATTTTCTTTCAGTTTTGAGATATAACTGACATACAGCAGTATATAACTTTAAGGTGTACAGCATAATGAATTACACATATTGTGAAATGATTACTAAAGTTTAGTTAGTATCCATCATATCATATAGAAATAACAAAAAAAAATTATTTTTCCCTTGTGGTGAGAACTTTTAGGGTTTACTCTCATGGCAACTTTTAAATATACCACAGAGCAGTCTTAGCTATAGTCATGTTATGCATTATATCCTCAGAACTTTTTTATCTTACAACTGAAAGTTTGTACCCTTGGCAACCTATATCCACTTTCCTCACCATTCACCTCTGCCTCTGATAATTACAAATTGGATCTCTTTTTCTATGAGGTTTTTTTTTATTTTTTAGATTCCACATATAAGTGAGATTGTACAGTATTTGTTGTTTTTTTTTAAGGTTTTATTTATTTTTAGAGAGAGGGAAAAGGGGAGAGAAAGAGAGAGAAACATCAGTGTGTGGTTGCTTCTCACGTGCCCCCTCCTGGGGACCTGGCCTGCAACCTAGGCATGTGCCCTGACTGGGAATCGAACCAGTAACCCTTTGTTCTGCAGGCAGGTGCTCAATCCACTGAGCCACACTAGCGAGGGCAGTATTAGTTTTTTTATGTTTGATTTATTTCACTTAGTATAATGCCATCAAGGTCCATACATATAAACACAAATGACAGGATTTCCTTCTTTTTATGGCTAACTAATATTCCATTATATATTTGTACAACATCCACTATCCACTAACCTTGTTAAATAAATAAAAGTTCTTTGTAGTTGGATTTAAAGCTAATTTTCTACTTCTAGGGTCAAAATGGAAGACTGAGCATAATCACAAACCTTTCTTACCACTGTAATAAAAGAAAATATTAATGACAAAAATATGTTTGATCAGAGGTTGCAATCAAGTTTTAAAAATTAGTTGATATATTGTATAGCAGTGAAAAGGTAAACTAAGGTACTGAGCTATTCACTGATGTCCTCTCCAAGGTGAAATTTACTCAAAAGAAGAAATGAATTCAGCAATACTTTGACAAGTACTTTGACACAGACAAGTATTGTTTTAGAGATGAAGATACACTATAGGCTTTGGTAATGAGAGCTGTAGAGATTCTAACAGTTTAAGAAAATCTGGATATAAAGAGAGATGTTTCTCATTGCCAAGGCACATAAGTTGGGGAACTTCTCCATCTAACTGTAGAACAAAAGAAGTATAAACATTTCGTTGCATAGGAAGGACAGAAATATGAGCTGACTGAGAACATACCGCTGTTGGAATAGCCTGCTAACAACTACAAAAAACTTTGGAGTTCCACTGAAAACTGTCACAGATAACTGACAACAAGCATCCCAGTCTGTGAAAGGATTTGTATGACCTCGAACTATCATGCATTACCAAGCAGATTTGCAGGGTATAGAATACCAAGGAGGAAACGTAATTTTTTTTTTAACCTTGACAAATACCAGGTAGTTTTCATGGATCCTGCAAAAGGTGCTTCACCCTCCAGCATTCCACCCTCGGTGGAAGCCAAAGAGACCTCTGCCTTACAACTGGAATGTTTCCAGAATTTAATCCATGAGTTTTGGATATTGAAAAGGAAACAAAACTGAACCTAACCCTATAGTTTGGTTTGTCATAGTGTTAGTATCGCAGCCTACAACTAAGTCCCTAAATGCCCCTTTAAACTAATTTTAAAAGAAATCCAGGTTTTGCTTTTATTTGATGGTGAATTGGTTGCTCTTGTGTTTTATGGGAGGGGAAAAAGATATTTTTAACCTTCATACATACAAGCAAAAATACATTTGGTGCTGTAAGTCTTCAGAAGCTAACAGCATTAACATTGTAAGTGAAAGAAATGCTAGAGATAAAATACCCACAGAAGTATATGATGGGCACATTAGCAGGCTGGATATGGCTAAAGAAAGTCTGAACTTGAGGATATCATTAGAGTTTTTTCCCAAACTGAAAAGAGAAAGATCAAAATAAAAATTTAAAAATAAAAGAAAATAGAACAAAACATCCAAAGAACTCTTACAAATCAGTAAGAAAACCAAAAACCAGATTAAAATATGGGCCAAGGACCTTCACAGACACCTCACCAAAGATACACAGATGGTAAGCATAGGAAAAGATGTTCATCAGACATTATTAGGGAACTGCAAGTTAAAGCTACACACGTATTAGAATGGCCAAAATCTGGAACACTAAAAATACCAAATGCTGGCCAGGAATGAAATCATAGTATCCTCTGATCATAAGACTCAAACTACAACTCAGTAAACTCAAAAACAAAAAAATCATAGTCTGAGACAGTCCAGGTGTCACTGGGTTGGTGTTGTAGTTCTCCTCAGAAAGGTAATACAGCTACTCTCCCTGCAGCTGAAACATTTAGTATCAGCATCCAAATTCTTTCCCACTATTATATTTTTATATTGCAACAACTGCAAAAAACAATGTTATAGATATAAACTGATTTTTAAAAGTTATAGTAACCTGATTTACAAACCAACTTTTAGGACACCACATGTTAAACTGAGATTAGTGTTACTTATTACATAAAATGAACACTTTACCTTCTACTGGAGTGTCTAAAAAACTGGCATGCTTTGTTTTCACATGAGTTTCCACATCTTGAGCACAATCTTCTATTTTCCCACAGAATGGACATTCAGAAGGACTATACGTTGTATCATAAATTGATTCTTTTATTTGGGATAGGTCACACTGCTTTTCCTTACTTCTCAGGAACTTTCTAGATTCAGACAAGTTCTCTGAATAAAAGGTTTTCTGTTTTAAAGTGCCATCCTCAGGCAGGCTTTGAACTGAAATTTTTGGATTAGATGCACAAGCAGAATGCATACTTGAATTAATGTCCATTCTACACTGCTGGGTATTGTCCTTCCCGTTATCGAAAGTCCTATACTGTATTTTATTGGTCTTCTCAAAGTTTCTCTCTAGTTCATTTTGCTCAAAATGAGCAGTTTCAATATGAAAACACATTTCATCATAATTCACACCTGACAACTTGCAAAATGGACATATAACTTCATTTTCCATGTGAACAATTAGGAGATGAGACTTCATGTCCGGTTCTGAGGTTACTGTTTCACCACAAATATCACAAGACAGCATGGTACATCGGGTGGCTAGAAAACAACACGGTATTAAGTTAGAAAGTAAGGTGAAGAAAAAGAAAATGCATTTTATAAAATGATTTGGAACAATTAAATGTGTTTAAAACTTGATTATTTAGATGAATACATTTTCTATGAACTTACTGCTTCTGAAATAAAAAAACTTAATAAAACTCAACTAAAATTTCCCTACTGCTTCAATTTTATGATTTTAATAAAACGAAGGCAATAACGATAAAGCAAATTAAAATAATTTTTCAAATATTTCAAAAACTGTGGTTTGAGGTAGAGAAAAACATTTATGAAGTCATCCAGGTAAATCAGGTTAAGAGAAAACAAAGAAGGCTTATCAACTGATGTATCTAAATAGAGAAACTAAAATTTGTTAACAACGGGGAGGATAAATACATCTTAACAATAGCAGTTACCAGTTAAAGAGCTTTATGCATATCAAACTAATTTAGGTATAACTATTATTCTACATAGAGTACACCTTAGTTCAGCTATGTCACCACAGCTAGAAAATGGTTACACAAAGTGCTAACCCAGTGAGGCGCCAGAGGCTGTACTTAACCTAAAGCACAGAAGCTGAGTGAGCACAGTAGAAAAGAGCGCTGATTATAACCTGGATTATAATCTCAGGTTTCAGAACTTTAGGTAAAACATCTCACCTCTTTGAGGTTCGATCTATAAAATAAGTTACAAGAAATCGTCAGTCACTTTTGAGTTTTGTGGACTAATAAAGTACTAGCTACAGAGAAAACGCGATTTTCCTAGGAAATAATTTTTTTTAAAAAGCAGTCACTGCCACAATCGTCCTATTACAGAGAGTTCAGCTACGCGTTATTTAAAAATAAACAGGAAAAGAGAAGAAAACTATTCCCATCATTCCAATAAATTTAGTTTTATAAGAACTCCCTACGCTGTCTTTATTTTTCTCATAGCCCTCCAAACAAGTGAAAACAGTCTCTGATTTTAGAAGGAAATTCCCCCACAGCCCCAGTGGAAAGACCATCACGCCGAAAGATCCAGCGGCGGCCACTGTGCCCTGAGCTGGGCTTCCTCTTCGGTCCCGCAGCTGAAACCCTCTGGCTGCCCGCAGAGGAGTGCGTGCGCGGCCTCGATTACCTTTCCCGGCCTGAAAGACGAAAGCAGGCCTCCTCTTCACCCAGAGATTCACAGTTAACCGAGAAAAGAACGAGCGACTCCAAAAGCGGAAGACTTCAATCTCCAGAATCACATTCAAAAAACCTTTTCCTCCGGTCCCCGGAAGGGAAGGGATCCCAGCATGCACCGCTCCACGCCGGGCAGGGTTGCGGTGCATTCTGGAAGCCGTAGTCATTTCTCCATCCTCCTATCAGGACCCCGATCCCTAACTTTCTAGGAGAGACTACACTGTGACTTCTTTCTGAATGAAAGGGCGGGTCCTAGAGCAACGCCCGAGTCCACAGCACCTACAGCACCCACTGCCTAGGGCCTGAGTATCGCTCTCTTGTATTGTCAGTTAAGGCATTTTAATACTACTAGCTGTCACAGTGTAAACTGTGCTCTTCAGGTGGAGGATGACTAAGATAGGTTTTCATTCAACAAATATTTAAGGAGTGTCTATTAGAAAGACCTTCTCGGAACTGGGGCTGCAGCAATAATAAAAATACACAAAATTCAGGCCATTTGCAGCTTACACTCTGAGGTGGAGAGAAAATGAATAAACTGATCATGGTAAGTGCTATGAAGGAAATAAAACTGGGTTATTTATATAAAAGACAAATGCAGTTAGCAAAGGTCTTTCAGAAGAGGTAATTGTGCTTATGAACAAACTTTGCACCAACAGGAGGAAGGGCATGCCAGGCAGAGAAAATAAAAATAAGAACAAAACCTTTAAGATTGGACCTGAGTATAATGTTCTAGAGGTGGTTAAAACATGAAGTCAGAGTTGCAGACAGGGGCCAAATTATGTAGGGCCTTGTGGAAAACTATTGGAGTATTTAAATAAGAGAGTGGCATGATACGATGATATACTATATATTTTAAAAATCATTCTAGGTGTTGAGTAAATAAACATGGTAAATTGAATATGTACATTTATATCCCCTGCCTCTCAAAATCTACTAAGATGACAGTAGAAGAATAAAAATAATAAAAATAAATGCTGAGAGTTTAACAAAATTTGAAAGCCAGAAAAAGTATGGCTGAGTAATAACTAACTTAGTAAGTAGAGAAGTCCACAAAACAAGTCAATTTATATGCCAGAACTCTGGAGATGTTAAAAAACTAACCAGATACTTTTGAGAAAGATGGTAAATTTGGGCCTGAAAAAAAGAAAATTTTACAGAAATTCTGAATAAAGGGCAGTTAGAACCTTCTTTCCACTTGTCCTCCCTCCATCATGACTGCCAAGTGACTCATCTGCCCTTCCCAGACAGAACACTACAGGTTTAGTTTATGAAGAAAATGAACCAGAGAGGCTATGGGAGAAGTGCATAGCTAAGCATGAGGGTCAAGGTGTTGGACTGAATATGAGGCCCCTAGCCATTTCTCCCCATCACATTCTGATGTCTGAAACTGCCTCCAAGTCAGGAGATTGGAGAATTCTCCAGGGAAAACCATTGCTCCAAGAGAAAAGACCTACAGATCATGACTTTTAGAAAACCCTCCAGTGAAACAGCCAAGATCTCATTTTATAACTCTGTAGGGAGGCCGACAATCAATGAGTAAACAAGTCCCACTAATACACAGGCATTCAAAATAAGTTCGTTAGTGCCTCACTCTTAAAAATGGATACTCAAGAATCACCAGGCATTGGAAAACAGCCTATGCAGGAAAGATGAAAACCAAAATGATAAAAAAGAAGTAAAAAAGTAAACTCTGAAGAAACAGAGATAATGAATAAAGGAGAAAAAATGGAAGGAAACGATAATATTTTCACAGAGACAAGTAAAGGTATTTAATCTCTGAATCAAAAATAGTAGTTTTGGGGATTAAAAAAATAATACACACATATATATTCAATAGAGAGGGAGAAGACAACCAAAAAACTTCTCAGAAAACAGAAATAACAAGAGATGGGAAACAGGAGCTTCTTAGGGATAGGAATCATGTGTTTTTTAATCCTGTATATTCCGTGCCTAGAACTGCATCTGGAAAAGTCTGTTTTCAATACTGTTTGTTGAATTTGAGGATGGTTTACAAGGCTATATGTGTGATATAATAATTTAGAGTACTTTATCTGGAGTTACTTATTTCATATATCAGTGACTACTCTTTTTCTTGTTAAAAATCCACAGATGTGATAAGACTTCAAATTTAAATACATAGAAAATTGGAAAGCTTGAAACAAAGTGGAGCATATAGAAAGAAGTTAATGCACCTGAAGACAGAAAGAGCCTTTGTAAAGCTCCAAGAGGTTGCTTATTTTGTACTTTGTGAACACTGCTGTAACTCCATTATCTAAAACAATGCCTGGCACCGATTAGGCCCTCCATCAACAGTGCGTTGTAGGATGGATGGATTGATGGATGGACGGGAGGAAGGACGGACTAATGGAGAAAGAACGAGTGAACAATCGACGTAGAACCCGCCCCGAAGGACCAGGGCAGTAGGACACACTCCAGCGGCAGGGACTGCGCGGGTTTAAAATCCCGCAGTCGGTGCAGACACCGGCTCCTCCTTCGGTGGGTGCGGCTGGGGTGCGCCTCCTCTCCGCCCCTCTGCGGGTCGGTGCAGCAGCCGCCGCCGCGAGCAAGGGCTTCTGGGAGCCCCGCCTCGGGGTCTCGGGGAAGGGGCGCAGGTGGCCGCCATCTTGAGCTGTGAATCTGGTTGCTACGTTCAACGCTAGGGGCGGAGTGACGACCCCGCTGTTAACCCGCAGCAGACACCGCAGCCTGAGATTGGAAGTCAGGGCACCGGCTAGTGGCACATTAATGGGTAAGTGGGAGTGGCACAGGCCAGGTTGGATGAACCTCGGGTTTGGTCCCTTTGGGAGTTCCTAATTCCTGGGGCCACTATTTATATTTACCCCTTTCCTCCCAAGGGTTCAGAACCAGTCTAGCCGGGGTTTTCTCAGGATCCCTTGAGAGGAAACTGCGGTGGCGGGGGTGTGGCAGCCGGACCATGCCCTGCAGTCGCGAAGGCGCGGGGAGTCCAGATCCTCCTAGACTGCCAGGCTCGCCCTCGGAAGGCGCTTGAAGCAGCCAATTTCATTCTCTCGCCGCTCTGTTCCATTTCTCGGTAGTTTCTCTTTTCGGTACGTGGTCTTGCAAACGTCACTCACTTCTGGGACTCAGCATTTATCTGTGTCTTGCAGCTTATCAGGAGTACCATAGTGTCCAGAGTTTAGGCAGGGTCGGTCCCAGGGGCCTACATGTCTTACCCTCTACCTCTGCCAGCTCTCCTCCTCCGCTTTAATGCAGGTGCCTGGAAGGACTCGGTCCCTCTGCCGCCAGGTGTGGGATAGATACCTCTCTTGCGAGTCTGTCAGCTCCCCAGCACGAAAGTTTAATAGCGTTTCCTCGATAATGCCTAAGAAGTGAAAGGATCTGAAAGCTGTGAAACCAGATAGTGATACTTCTAAACAAGATGACATTGACATTTACTCTTGAACTTTTTGAACACATTAAAAAAATTCTTCTGACTTGATGTCTTTTCATGACAACTCTGAATGACTCACATTCTGTAGGAGAGTTTCTTATTTTCTGGATAAACGAGAAACGATTCTGTCCTTTAGATCTTGAATTTTGTTCAGTTGTAGGATCTGTAGTCGACCCACTTTCCCCTTTGTACCAGTCCTGTAATTTTCCTAGTAGGCACCCAAACCCATGGAGATGGAGGGTTACTGATACAAGAAATTACGTTGACATATTACAAAATTTTTGGTTCCAGTTATTTGCCCAACCTCAACACAGGTTTTCAAAGAGCTGAGTCAAAAATAAGCTTATGGTAGAAGAAATTCATCTGCTCTCAGCCTTTAGAGTGTCTGAATAGCGTTTCTTATATTTTTAATAACTTATACAAGACAGCAAGCAGCCTTTAAAGTATAGTCTTTAAAGTTAATTTCCAGAGGATGAAACAATCCCACTGGGTGAGGAAACTGTAGAGATCATTTTCCTTAGAATTTATGTCCTCTTTAAAGCAACTACAATGAAGATATAGACAAAAAGTTAGTACTGTAGAAGAAAAAGAAACAAATGATATATTAGTTGTTGGGACTAGATTTTATTTGGTTAACATGTTTATATAAAAAGGTTTTAATGTGGTCACCTATGTCAGCGATTTTCAACTGGTGTGCTGCAAGAGACACACTGGTGTGTCACAAGAATTTTCAAAACATGCAATGCCTGGCTAGTCAGGGGCACTGACCTCTTTTTCCTAAGATTGTCAAATAAAAAAATGACAACAGCCAACACAACAATAGCCATCCAGTGTGACTGAATCAAAATTATACTTTTTTTTTGTCAGATTGACAAATAATATATGTTTTGATGTGCCACAGAATTTTAGTAATTTATGTGTGCCATGAGATGAAAAGGTTGAAAATAGCTGAGCTAGCTTAATGGTTTTAGGAATAGTGTGTATAGTGTATGTGTTGGGGAGGCATGAGATGATTCAATCAGACATGGGGAGAAAAATATTAGAACTTCTATTAGTTTAAAACTATTACTTTAAAATTTTTCTATTTGTGAGTTTTGTAATGGGATAGTTTATTAGGCTAGTAATACATGTTTATAAATAAACATTCTGAGAATGAACACGCAAATATATTATGCATACATAAGGATACGTAAACAAAAGTTTAGAGGTCAAGGGCCTACCTAAATGATGTCTAATGTATAGTTGATAAATATTTTTAAGAGGATTATTGCTGTGAAGATTTTATTGTTAAAATATACTCATTGAGCATACAGGGTGGGGCAAAGGTACGTTTACAGTTGTGAGTATGGGACATGCAAGTGTTTATTCTTGCATTATTTATTAATTATTGTATTATTTTTCGTATGACAACTGTGAATCTACTTTTGCCCCACCCTATGATTCAACAACTAATGGGGAAGTGCAGTTTGTTGAAGATCAGTTATGAACTCTGACCTCTATTTTTCCCCTTCAAGAGACTAAGCTCTTATTAATGAGGCAGAATTTTCATATATGAGATTAGAGAACAGTGCTGAACATTGTAATTAATAAAGCTTGACCAGCTGTTTCTAATAACAAATATTTGTTGGTGCACACAGTATTACTGCAGTCAATTCATTAAGTATTTTAAAGAGGGATTTAGGTGGATTACAGCTATAATTTAATTGCTGTAATACACATGTGTTAAGTTGAAAGCTACAAAGTACCTTTTAAATCATTCTGAAGTCCTCAGTCCATTCTGTTCTACATTTAGCTCCACCACTAATAAAATTTCTCTCACTAACTTTACTAGTGACTTAATTATCAAATCTTTCTTCTCGTATGGTACGTGGCTTATTGTAGACACTTACATGTGCTGGATGAATCAGTAAATGCGCAAATTGAGTGGACTGTTTTTAGTGCTAGTGCTACTATAAGTGAAATATTCCTTTATCTTTTGAATTCCCTTCTCTTTAATGACTCTTTATTTCCTCCTGATTCTTTTGACCTATTTCTTTCATGTTTTTATTTTGTCCTCACCCAAGGATGTGTCTATTGATTTTAGAGAGATAAGAAAGGAGAGACAGACAGAGACATTGACATTGATGTGAGAGAAAAACATCAATTGATTGCCTCCTGTACGCATCCCTGGTGAGGATCGAACCCATAACCTAGGTATGTGCCTTGACTGGGAATCAAACACACAACCTTTTGGTGTATGGGACGATGCTCCAACCAGCTGAGCCACCTGGTCTGGGCTAACCTTTCTTTTTGGTTTCCTTTGCTTTTTCCTCTTCCACTAAAATGTGAACATCTTCAAGATTTCTCCTTTGGTCATCTTTCTTTTATAGCTCTGCATAGTGTTGGATGATCAGTCAAGACTGTGCCCCTGAGTTTTAACCCATATTTATAATCATCTGTAGATCAGAACCTCCTATGTGTGCCCTAAATACTATACAGCTATTTGAATGGCTACAATTAACAATAGCAACAAAATCCTGACAATACCAAATGTAGATAGGATGCAGAGCAACAGGAACTTTTATACATTGCTGATAAGAATTCAAAGTGGTAGTCACTTTTCAGTTTGGCAGTTTGTTATAAAATGTGATGGTTGTACTTGCCATATTATCATCTACCAATCCTATTCCTAGATATTTACTCAAGAAAAATGAAAACTTATATTTACACAAAAACCTGTACATGAATATTTATAACAGATTTATTTGTAACTGCTTTAATCCAGAAACAACCTAAATGTTCTTTAACTAGTGGTATACATAGATAAACTGGTATACCCATCCACTAGAAAACTACTCAAAAATAGGAAAGAATAAACTGTTGGTATGTGTCCACAATATGGACCACCCACAAATACACTATGCAAATAGAAGCCAGTTTAAGACTACATACTGTTTTTATTCCATTTATCTGAAATCAGGAAAAGGCAGAACTATGGAGATGGACGACAAATCAGTGATTGCCAGATGTTAAGGGTTAGAAGAGAACTAATAGGAGCCCCTTGAGGAACTTTTTGAGGGGGGCAATAGAGCTGTTCTGTACCTTGACTGTGATGATTATATGTCGGTGCATTTGTCAAGTTCATAGGACTGTATACAAAAAATGATTTTTACTGTATGTAAATTAAGAAATAAAACAGGTGAATGAATTACATTTTTGTCTCAAAAACAAGTAGGCAAACAAACAAAGCCATCACGCTGATCCTCCATCTATATTCCCTGTCTTGGGTTATTTTGTCATTATAGTAAAATAGCTCAAGCTAAAAACCGTGTGGTCATCCTCAACTCCCTTTGCTTCCTCACCACACATTCTTTACATTCACTTGGCCTCTAGTTATTGAATCATTTTCCAAAATGTTTTTGGAATCAACCTGTCTTCTATATTTCCAGTGCTTCTATTTTAGTTCAGGTCTTCATCAAGGTCTGAAACATCCTTCTTTTTAACTCTTTTTAGTTCTGTTCCTTAGGGTTGCGTCCAAAGTTCTCTACCAGATTACAGGAACCTATGTGTTCTTACCTACCTTTCTGCCTTTATCTCTTGCCCCTTCTCCCATGTGTTCTTTCGTTTAGGCACACTAAGCTTCTTATTGTTTTGGGTTTATGCCAGGCTTCTTCAAGAACTCTGCCTTTACATATGTTCTCTCTGCTTAATATGCTTGTTACTTTCCTGTTCCTTTTTCATCCCATTCCCTGGGAAATTCTTGCTCATTCTTTAAGAGAGGATAATCATGACTACTTTCAGAGCTTCTTAAAACACAGTTTATTGCTATGTATTCTATATTCTCACAAGATTTAATGCATATGTTTTAGTGTGCTTTCCTACTAATTTGCCAGTTCATTAGTCTATCTCTTCAACATCAGGAATAGCAGATAAATGTCTACCTCTTCTCTGTGTTTACTTTGTATGTGCTAATTGATCACAACATTCTCTCTGGTTGGACATGAGTATGTTCTCAAAATTTATAAGAATAATATTTGAAGCAGCCATTAATTATCTCTCATGTTAAATTCAAGTTGAAATCCTGCATTAGACTCATTTTTTATGTGTAAATCCAGGATAGGCTGCAATATCAGTAATTTAGTATTCATCTCATAAAAATGTCAATATAGTATTAAAAGGAGTGTATAATTCTTTTTGTAAAAGTAAAACTACGACATATACTTCAAATATAAAGTTTCATATTTATATAAAATAAATATTTTTAATATGCTTATGAAATGTTTATATAAATGTTAACATTTTTAAAATACATTTGTAATAAAAGTATTTCAAAATAAAGTGCACAAGATTTCAGTATTTAAAAAGAACTAATTATATATAGTTATGAAATCAGGTATTGCAGTCATAACTCAAGTCATGACCTGTATGGCCTTAGTTCTTTAGCATCACCTAAAGAAAATGAAAGAAGCCAGACCCTAATAAATATTGGAGGGGTGCTTATGCAGCCTAATGCCATATTCCATTGAAAGTAAGACACTTTATTGCTGGCTAGCTCTTGATCTTGCCAGGGGCTCTAATTTAGAAGTTCTTTTACCCAATTATTTCATGATTATTTCCTGTCTGACTGGTTTTCAGATACATCCCACTTCAGAAAGGTTGAAGTACCAGGGATAGGGGGCATGCACCTTAGCATCAGTGTTTAGGGTAATGACTTTGTGTTTAGAATATAATCTATTATTTATTTGATAGTTTAGTAGTAAAATATTAAGTCATTTGGCTAAAATGGAAGTGCAGGAATGTGTTCTTTGCACATAATTTTCAGAACGGGTTTTGTTGGTATGTTTAATCTATGACCCTGAATTTAGTTGCCCTAGGGTAAGCATCTCATGTTGTTTGAGAATTATAAGTATCCATTTTTTCTCTCCTAATCTTAAGATGCCATGGCTAGTCCAGGGAAAGATAACTATAGAATGAAAAGTTATAAGAATAAAGCCCTTAATCCCCAAGAGATGCGTAGACGAAGAGAAGAAGAAGGAATACAGCTTCGAAAACAAAAAAGGGAAGAACAGGTAGGTGTTTTAAAATAATTAATTCTGTTGAACACAAAAACATTATATACAGATTTTAGACATTGTGTTATTATTGCTGATTCTTAATTTTAAATGAAGAAGTGTTTTAGGAAAGTGAATATAGACATATCTATTATTTAATTTATTGGACTTCAAAAATAATATTAGCAAATTTATGAATCAGAATCCTGTGCTATTTATAATCCCTGACAGGAATAGCTTTTCTATTTTATTGACAAATATTTTATGTTAATCATATTTCTACCTCAGTACTAAGAAATTTTTATTCTTGAGCTTATTTAGATCACTTCTATTTGTTATAAAATTTGCCTCCTTAAAAACATTAATTATATTCATTTGTTGCTTTGTGGTTTTCATAGCTCTTGCCCTTAAGTTAATTACAGTCTTCTCCATAAGCTAATCATTCTGATCTCGCTAGTCTCATCATCCAGATATTTTAGCCTTCCGCGTTTGCACTTTGTCTATATGACATCAGGAATAGAACAATTTCTTAAAAGAGCACATCTCAACATTTTTCATTACAAGATATAATTATAAATATAATTATAATTATAAATAAGGAGGATGTAGGCCTCACGTAAATGAATTAAAACTAATGTGTAAAAAGGACTAGCAATGAAAAAAAGAGAAAACAGCCTGATTTAGAAATATGATTATGATTTCTCATTTTGCTATCTGTAGTATCTAGCACAGTCCCTACTGTATTATAATAGGTACTAAAAAATAAAAATCTGTTGAATAAATGATTAGAAATGATTGAAGAAGAGTGGTATTTATTTAGCTATAGAAATATAACAGCTTTTTTTACCCTCAATTTTGATTTAGGAAATATACTTTTATTTATTTTATTTCTTTACAAGTCATGTGGTATCTTTAATGACAGGATGAAAACAGTAAAGCAATATTACTATGGCAATTTATATCAATCATCCATTAAACATCAAAAACATCTGTTCTATTATAGTGTTATTGTAAACGTCAATGAAGGGTAAAGTGGAAAGTGATTTCCATCTACCCAAGAGGCCTACCACATTTCCTTTGGCATTTCAGGGCTTTGCAGACACAGACTATTCCTACAGTATTATGAAATAGGATTTTGTCCTAATTCAGTTTTTTCACCTTGCAGATAAGAAAATTGCAGAGAAACCAAGTGTTTTTTCCCCAAGGTCCCAGAGTGCTAAAGGCAGATCTTGGACCCAGAATCCAGAATTGTCCTGACCCCAGATCGAGTGGTTTTTAATGTTCAAAAGCCTAAAGACTCCCAAAGGCTTTTGGCTTTGCGTTGGTCTTTGGGGGCCAAATACACACATGGGTTGATGAGTTGCAAATTCCAAGAGGGACAGATCTAGAGCTCTGGAGAGAGAGGGACTAAATATTTGGTGTGTTACTCAAGTGATTACATGCTTTTAAGTTATTTCCAAAAATAGTTTCAAATGAAAATCTTAAGTGTTTTATTTTAAAGTGTCACTAACAGAATAGGCAAAGAAAATGGAAGGTTCATTATTTCATGTTTAGAAAAGAAGAATGGGAATACTCTGGTTAGGATGACTTTTCTGTTCAATCGCCCACTTCCTAGCTATTCTCCCAAGACAGTAATTGCAGAGCACCAGCAATAAAGTCATTCTTGTATCATCTGTGTTACATATGTGTACATATACTTTTTATGCTTCATACACAGATGTTCCTAGCGGGTCTTGTTTTGCTCTGACTCTCCCAGAAATGGGCAGGAGCAGACAGAAAACAACATTGGGACTGTTTGCTAGAGCTGTCATTTTACAAAAATCCATATTACTTCTCTCTTGCTCTTTTCCCATGGAAGATGTTCCCTGCTGCCTTGGCGACCAGCCCTCTGCCCCTTATAGGCTGAATATTAGGACTAAGGGAGATCAGCCGCTCAGTGGAAGAACCAGAAATGACTGAAGTTCCATTCCAACGCAGATATTCTGCATATCCTGACTTATAAATATAATCCTTCCTATATATCTCTTTGAAATTGATAGCCTTGCTGATTGAAACCACTAAAGCAGGTACTGTTTGATCAAGGAGGTCTTTCCTCAGCTAGCCAATGTCAGGCTAGTTATAAATTTCAAGTGGGAAGAATATAAAAATGGGCAGGAGAGGGGAGAGAAGAAATGAAACGAAAAGAAAGAGAAGACAAAGACTGAGAAATGGAGAATGGAGTGAGGAAGAGGGAGGGGCAGAAAGAGAAGGGATAAAGAGAAAGGAGAGGAGAGTGAAAGGAGAGCAAAGAATAAGACACGATAATATTTGGGATGGCACACCATGAAGTTGATTGCTGGAGTAAAAAGAGCAAAGATTTTTGGAGCCTGAATAACTGTTTACTTTCAGCGGGACCTATATTCTGTGTGTGATGTTGAACAAACTAAATGAACTTGCTGTCTCACAATTTACCCACCTGACAGAGAAGGATAAAACACTGCCTGTATTATTTTGTGGGGTTCTTGTATGATGAAGTGACCCATAAAATGTACCTTTAAATCTCCCTTAGTTACCTCACCATGTCTCTTTTCTTCTCTGTTTTTTTCTTTATTTTTATCCATTCCTGAATTAATAAACATAGGGTCATCATTCCTGAGAGAAGTTCTCTATTTCCTTCTTAATCTGATACACTAATTCTGTTACTACACTCCTTTATCTCTCCTACGTAGCAGATGTACTTTTTAATTAAGATTTTCTTGGAGGAATTCTTAGACATCTCATCATTCAGTGTGGGCATATGTGCTTTTTCAAATGTTGTAAAATATAAATGTGTATTCTTCTCATGGGACTGGTCTTTAGTATAAGATCTGAGATTAAGAACAACCAAAAGCTTTCTACAGGACAAGAGCTAACCTAGCCCAGAAATTCTAACTTCTCATAGATAATTTAGTTCTTCATGGTAAAATGATTGGGAAATACTAAAATATTTAGATTTTTAATGATAAGATTACTAGCTTGTTTTGTTCACTTAAATGAAAAATATAATTTCATGGGAACTCATTGTTCTATGGAAAACTCAATGTTTAGAGTGATTTCTCTGTATTACAGCTGTTCAAACGCAGAAATGTCTCTTTGCCCAGAAATGATGAATCTATGCTAGAAAGTCCTATTCAGGATCCGGATATCAGTTCCACTGTTCCCATTCCAGAGGTAGATATTAAAAAAATCTATTTCAAATTATACCTCAACAATATTTCAGAAATACTGTAAACACAGCAAATTAATTATATTTTCTTTTCTGTGTTTTAGGAAGATGTTATCACCACAGATATGGTTCAGATGATTTTTTCTAATAATGTGGATCAACAACTAACAGCAACACAGAAATTTAGAAAGCTGCTTTCTAAAGGCAAGAATTATTTTCAATATGCTTACTTGATAATACAACATTCTGTACTAGTGTTTTATTTATAAGCCGTTTTTTATTCTGAAGTACTGTTCTTTACTAGGAGGGTCTTAATTGTTCTTAAAAATATTATTTATAAGTAACATTAGTTTTCTAAGCATTATCAAAGTAACATGTATTGATTATAGAATATTTGCAAATATAAAAAAAATGTAGAAATCATTATTCCCACTGCTAACAAAGTTTTAGAAACATGTTTTTATAGTTCTGTAGAAATATTTTTCAGACACGATTTTTTAAATGGAAGAATGACATTAGAGTATTAATATAAAATAACTTAATAGATCAATGAGACCTTAAATTTTTTCACAATTTTTGATTATCATAAACCAAGCTACATAAATCCTTGTACAACCCAAAACTTCCTTAGTACAAATTCCTAAAGTAAAATTGTGGGTCAAAGGAAATAAACAGCGTTTTAATTTACACTCAAATCTTCTGATTGTACAAGTATTCATTTTACTATATTCTTAAAAGCACTACTATCTATAAAAAAGAAAAAATGCTTATGTAATAGTAGCTCATTGTGTGGCATTTATTGAGCACTTAAGTTGAATGTTTTTCTTTAGTTATTGACCTTTGTAATTTGTCTGTGTTATTTGTCCAATTTTATATTGAATTTATAAAAATTTCTTATTAAATACAAATTTAACTCTATCTTGTTTCATACATACAATTTATAGAATTATTCCAATTATACTGAGTTGTATACATGAACTGATATAAGATTTTTATTTTTATTTTGTTAAAGATTTTATTTTTAGAGAAAGGGGAAAGGAGGGAGAAAGAGAGGGAAAGAAGCATCCCTGTGTGGTTGCCTCTTGAGCACCCCTTACTGGGGACCTGGCCTACAACCCAGGCATGTGCCCTGATGGGGAATCGAACTGGCAACCTTTGGTTCACAGGCCAGCACTCAGTCGACACCAGCCAGGTGAACTGATAAGATTTTTAAAATGCCTTTGGCTAGCTGCCTTATCATCCTAAGAGAGGCAGAATTAAATAACAAAAGAGAAGTAAAAGAAATCTTGTGTTCAGAGCCCCATAGATGACAAGGCTTTCTTACTGCTGTTCTCGTTTGTAAGTACATTTTACTTTTGTTTTCCATTTCTGCCAAGCTAATATAGCTTAGAAATGATTTCCTCTTCCTCAGCATACTCCACAGTTTTTGTTTTTGAAACTGGGATTATTTTTTGTATTAGGTTATTATTTAAAAGGTTTTTTTACATTACCATATTCTCTTTCAAGATTTGTTTTGTGTATGCATTATAATGAATTAACAGGATTCACTTAAACTTAATACTGTTTAAGAATGTTAAAGTATGCCACCAGTGTTTTTATACCACAACTTCCCCATTAAATTCTTTAATCTTAACCTCATTTGCTCTAATAGCTCATGGTATTCTGGGGGTTTGTTTTTTTTTTATTGTAGTATCTTTTCATAGAGCCAGTGACCTTTTTCTTTTCTTTAGAGTAGGATTATGCTTGCTCAAGTTGGGCACATAGCAGGAATTAATAGATGCTTTCTTTTACTGATTGTTGTGAATTCCTGCCAAATCTTTCAGACCTAGAAAAATAGTTGATTTACTGTAATTTTACTCTCCATCACTGTAGGAAACATGCGAAAGGAGCTAGAACTAGAACTCCTCTGACTTAAGTCGTGGTGGTGACATTTTGCTAGAACTTCCTTTTTACTTCTCTATCATGGCCTCTTTTGTAGATGTGAATCACAAGTTACCCTTTTCTTAATATCAGTTTTGTAGAAATTTCTCTAAAGCTTTTTTGTCATGGAGGACTCTTAGTTTTAAGTACTGAAGCAGATAACCTCTATTGTACATTTGTTTATATTGCCATGTTGGCTAAAGTCTTCTCTATAAGAGTTGATCACTTCTCTGTAAGAGTTGATATAGGTTATTATTCTATCAATTAATATAACAGCAATGTAAGAGTTAATAATGGTTTGTGATACCTGTTACATTAGCACATGATCCAAGAACACTTCAATTGCTTTATTTAGATGAAAGTAACCACGAAGTAATTTTCCAGGAAAAAACCATATTTGTGTTCTTAAACATCTTATCTATCTATCTAGTATATATATCTATATATTTATTTATGTACGTATTTTGGTATAGTTGACAGTTTCAGTACCCACTTCTCTCACTCTATATCCAGGAAACCCTATGTGTTCTTTCTTCTCACAACCTCTCTGTTCTCTCCCCTCAAATAAAAAGAGCCAAGCAAAATTTTTGGCCTTTAAAAAAAAAATGGAAGAGTAGATTTAGAATTCTTTTTTTTGGAAGAGAAAAGTAACTAGTGAGATGAACGTGGTCACAACCATATAATTTTGTTATAATTTTTTAAAAGATGAAGGTAAAGGCATTAATTATATATATTGTTTTATCGTGTTGGTGTTTTGTAGCTATAACAAGAGTTTAACCTGGGGTCTAGAATTTACATACTGAAGAATTTAGACTTTTCATTTAGAACACCTAAACAAAACTTAAAAGTGTATGACTTTATTAACTTTGTACAAATAACTTAATGTTTGAACAGATTAAAAGGATAGCAAATCTGTGGGAAAAAGAAAAGAAAGAAAGAAGTCTATCCCTAAATAAACCTTTCTTAACAATTGAGAACATGATTTCTAAGATTTAAACTGATTTAAAACTTAGTAAGGTTTTTCTGTATCAAAAAGACAGGATTTATACAGATCTTTTATGGTCACCCTTCATTTATTTATCTTACTGATTAAACAATATGTTCACATTCATATATGAGTTATTTATGATCAATAACACAGTCAAGCAGAAGAATTAAGAAGAAAAGGAAGAGTAAAAAGTGGACATGAGATTTTTCCTGTGTCAGTAGGTGGACAGATTACTAAATAATAGATAAATTTGGACAGTGGGTACAGGGCAAGGGCAACGTATAAGCATAGTCATATTATGAGTATGGTTTTGGTTATGCTACATTTTAAAGAAGCTGTGAATAAAAATGTGACCAGTAGACACTTAAAATGTGGTCTAGACTCTAAGAAGAATTCAGTAATTAGAATAGATTTATGAATTATCACAAACGATAATAAGTGACAAGTGAATTAGCAAAACAGGTACATTTTCCAGATAGAGAATAAATAACAGGGAGAAAACTAACCCAAAGGACCATCAACAGAAAAGTTCCTGGAGAACCACAGGAGTATACATTTTGCTGAAGCCTAAGGAAAAGAAAGAGTTTTTGGTTCTTAGATCGGAGTAGCTGAAATATCTTTTTTCAAAAAATTTTGAATGTCTTTGTCTTAAAATTTCAGAGATTTTATGATTCTCGAAAGCCCTATGTACTTTATGAAAATTTATTGAATTCTAGATAGTCCAATAGCATTTATGTAAATAATAAATAATACCCTGACAAAATGAGAGGCATTAGGCAATTCACAGCTGATAGTGAAGGAGACATCCCTGGAAATTGGGATATGGTTATAAAAAAGTAGTAGAAACATTACTCTTCAGTGGTATTTTGAGTATTGGACTGAAATAGCTCCCATGTTGTGAAGGTGACCTCCTAAATAGCCTTTAACTTACAAAATTTAACTATTTGTACATGTAAATATTTAATTTATTATTTTTATTTATTTATTTTTGTTCTTTGTTTTTGTCTTTTTAATTTACTGGGGTGACATTGGTTCATAAAACCATAGCAGTTTTCAAGTATAGAACTCAACAAAACACCTGCATGCTGTGTAGTGCACCCATTGCTTCAAGCAGTCTCTTTCTGTCCCTATTTCCCACCCCCTTTTTTGCCCACCTTCACCTGTCCCCCTCCTTTTTTCTAAATGTTCTTGTTATTATGGTTACTGAAAGAGAATTTGCTTTGCACTAAACATTGCAAATATGAGAACATTTGTTTTCTTTAATGACATTCAGCTAAGTTTTAAACTTGGTCAGTGGGTCTATTAATGGACACAGATACCAACCAGATCATTGTCTTTTTTTTTTTGTCTATGTAATAACTTAACTTTTTAAAATTTTTAGAACCTAATCCACCAATTGATCAAGTTATACAGAAACCAGGAGTTGTACAGAGATTTGTGAAATTTCTTGAAAGAAATGAAAATTGTACTTTACAAGTGAGTCCTATAGTTTTCTTTCTTGTTTTCCAGAAATGACATGATTAGAGTTTCTAATGAAAGCAACTTCAGCAATATTGAATATATTGTAAGCTTCAATGAATCCTTGGTCATGGTTGTAATGCTTGTTTCTCCTAGGAACTGTTACTTTATTAATTTTGAGAAAAGTTTATAAAATTATTTCTAACGTTAATAAAAAAAGTTTTATAGTTTTCAACCTTTAATAACTTACCTGTTTACAGAAAGTTAAGGAAGACTTCTCAAAGGTAGTGTTACATAGCTAATCTTGGGGATAGATGAGAGTTTGGCAGGCTGAAAAGAAGAAAATTAATTTCAGGTTGTGAGAATTGCATGTGTAGAGAGCACAGAGTCCTCAAGAAGAATACTGGGAACTTGAGTATTTATTAATTACTATAATTAAAACCTAATGAAATTCAACAGTATGATCTTGGGACAGCTATGTGCTGGGCCGTATTACCCAAGCTGGTACAAAGTGTGCCAACTCAGAACAGTGTAACAGAGGACTCAAACTGGAGGCCTACAGGTTAGTTTGGCCACAAACAAGTTTTGTTTCTTCTCCACATGTTTTAAAAGATATGAATTAGATATTGGACTTTTAAAAAATTGTGAAATTTCAAATGAAAATCTAGATTTTTGGCATCTTTTGACAAATCAGAAGAGATGGCATTGTTGCCAATAAGGATGGTCTAGTGGACCTGAATAGATGCTCTCTCTTTTTTTTTTTGAAAGTTATTTTATTTTAAAAAATCACAGCCACACTCCAGTTTGCCACAGTTTTCCAACTTGCTCATATGACTCTTTATGTCACTTATCTGTTCTATAGCCTTTTGAATTCATCACTCCTCACTAATGCATTCCCCCAGCTATACCTAGGAGATTTTAATGGAGTAACCTTTTAATTGTTCTTGAGTTTACTTCATTATCTATAATTGGTTAGGACTATGTTTTCCATTTTTTAAAAATACAAATTCCTTTCTTAAAATTTTTTCTTAGTCTCACACAAAATAGTAACTACTTTTCATGCCTTCAGGGTAATATTTTTAGTTGCATTTTTTGTTTTATTAATGATAATAATAACTACCTTAATGTGGAAAGTTGTCTATGCCAAATATTTTTAAAGCTATAGTTACTCCTTAGTTTGCCTGTGGATTCGCAGGTCATTTAGTTTATCGTTTGAGAGACAGTTTGAATTTTTTCAGTTGCTTCCATTATAAATCTATCACATGTAACTATATCCAAATTCTAATTGAATTGTTATGACTAACTTCTCTGAGGCTCTGCTGTTTAAAAGAATACCACAGGTCCAGCCTGTGGCTCTGCTGATAGTGAACTCTTTGACCTTGAACAAATCACCTAAATCTCGAACATCTAATTTTCTTATCTCTTAAATGAGGAGGTTCTGACTAGATGATTGCTAGGAAAACAAAACAACCTTTTATGATTCTAAGTTTTATAAATATACTGTGGTTCTATTAAGTAGTGTGTCATTAATTTTAAACTGCTTGCTTTAGAACATTTGGCTCTTATTAGTACACATTAAGAGTTTTGTGAATAATAAATTCAAATGTGTTCATTTATTGTTCATGAGTTTGTAAATTTTAATTATGTTTCTCTCAGTTTTTAGTTGCTCAGATTGAAGAGTTCTTTTTTACAAATAAGGTTTTTTATCTATGAAATAAGATTTTACATTGAATCTTACTAAATATAAGGTAGTCTTTTTATCAGACTTGCCCACCTAAGTCTTTACTCCCCCTCTTCTTCCCTTCTTCCTTTTTCTGACATTTCTTTGGTGCTTTCATTCTACTTTTATTTTTCCTTAGTTTGAAGCTGCATGGGCATTAACTAACATAGCATCTGGAACATTTCTGCATACCAAGGTAGTGATTGAAACTGGGGCTGTCCCAATTTTTATCAAACTTCTTAATTCAGAGCATGAGGATGTTCAAGAACAAGTAAGTTTCTGTTTGAACTGTTATATTTACTAGATTTTAATTTTCTCATAAAAGTACCAATTGTGATTATGATTTGAAATTTATTTTTACCAAATTGCCTGTATATTACATTTGTTAAAATACAGTAATTTCTATCATGTCAAGTTGGAAGGGAGAACTAACAGCCTCAGGCATCATCCTGCATTATATATGTGTGATCTCAGTAATAAGTACTATACCCATTTATAAAAGAGCATAACAGAGAACCAGAAAAGTTAGTAATTTACCCAGAGTCACAAAATGGCTAAACCAAATTTCAAACCTGGGATGTTTTGACTCTATTCTTTGAATGTATATATTTTGTTGTTTCTGTTAAAACTATTACATGATTTTGGAAAGAACCATTTTAAAATAAACTTTATGAATAAATTCTCATAGTTGTAAGAGAGAAAATTTAGTCACATATAATTTGTACCATCCAAAGAAAACCAAATTTTTTGGTATTTTGTTTTGAATCCTTTTAATGTAAAATTGATCTGATACACACACACAGACACACACATATTTATATTTTCCAATTTTGAATCCTTTTAATGTAAATTGATCTGATACACACACATATTTATATTTTCCCATTTAACACTAACATTGGGAGCCTTTTCTTATGGCATTAATTATATTTCAAGAAAATTTTCTCATTACTCATTATCCATTCAACTATGTATCATAATTTGTTTCTCAGTTGTACATTGGAGTTACTTCTAGTTTATCAGTGTTATTAATATTATGATAACATCATTAAATATTAGCTTTTATGTGCTTCTTGATGATTTAATTAGGGAAAATGACTTTGCCCTGTCAAAAGAAAAATTTTTAAAGTTCTTGTTACATATTTCAAAGTTGACCTCCAAAAAAGTTATAGCAGTTGATATTCCCACCAAGAGAATATTAGACTTAACAGGAAGAAAAATGTCATTACTTTAAAAGAACTTTCTTAAGTAGAAAATAAACTTAGGTCTAGAGAGGATGTTAAAACTATTAACTGATGCTTTAAAAGTTAAAGTTTTCCCAATAGAAATGGTCACACATCTACTTTTGTATTTATATGAAAAGTTTGAAGTGAGAATATAATAAAATAATTTGCATTTATATAATTTCTCATCTAATTGAAATTTAAAAAGTAAGTAATTTGATCTTTCACTACCATTTATTTAAAAATGGTACTTTTTTTAATTTTAAAAAAGTCCTATACATCTCTGTCCTACCCCTGTAAATTATTACTGTTTTATTTAAAAACGGTAGTAAAAGATCAAATTATTTACATAATGAACCTGGACTAATTCTAACGTTAATTTTAAGTATCAATCCAAGCCAATTCTCATACTAGCTTTACCTAACTTTTCTATGCTTTGTCTTTTTCTTTTGCAAATCAGTTTCTTCCCAGTTGGTGGATTCCTTGTCATAGGAGCAAACGTCTAAATAATTGGAAAATTCAGTAAATAGATATATTTTGCCTCTCCTTGAAGATTTGGTATTTCTTTATCGAACAGAATAAACATTTCAGTAGTATGTAAGGAAATTTTTGAAAATGTACTATCCTTCAATTTGATTAAAAACATTATTAAATAATACTTCTAAAGTTTTCCTTTCTTATTGTTCTGGCATTTTTTTTTAACATCTTGAAAACTTTGTTCATTCAGCTCACAAAAACCTCATCTTAAGAGGGAACATCTTATTTAAAATATTGTGGTAATGGAATTTTTTTTCTTTCCTTTTCTAAGGCTGTTTGGGCACTTGGTAATATTGCTGGTGACAATGCAGAATGTAGAGATTTTGTTTTGAATTGTGAAATACTTCCACCTCTTTTACAGTAAGTACTTCAAGTTTATCACAGTTAAAGTAATGCTACTCTGCACTATATTTCTATATACATAATAAAGTTCTTAAGTGATGTTTTAAAATTTGACTTACGTTTAGCCATGCCCACAATAGCTTGAAAATATTAGAAATTTATTTTCCAATTGTTTCATATCTGTCTTTTATGTTCTGAAACTGTATTTCACAGTGGTCATTGCTTACTTGTTGCTTACTGTGTTAAAATAATTATTCTACATAAAAAGGGGGATGTAGCAATCTTTAATACAATAAAAATTTAAATGTTGCTAAAGCAGGAAATCTTTAGTACATGAACAAATGGTGTATTTGATTTCATGTTTTTATATTTGATTTTTAAATGTTCAGAGAAAAAAGCAGGTGTGAGTACTTCAATTTTTTTTTTCTTTTTCAAGATTAAGGATTGCATTGAAACTATAGATTACTTTAGGGAGTATTACAATCTTAACAGTATTAAGTCTTCCATCCATGCACATGAGAAATCTTTTAGTATACAGCCATATTTAATTTTATTGCTCTAATTTTTTTAGTTTCTTAAGATGAAGATTTAGGTTATTGATTTGAGATTTTCTTTTTTAATGTAGATATTCACAGCTATAAATTTCTCTCTGAGCATTGCTTTCACTGCATCCTGTATGTTGTATTTTAATTTTAATTTATTTCAAAATATTTTATAATTTTGTGATTTTTGTCCAATTGGTTAAGAGTATGTTACTTAATTGCTGCATATTTGTGAATCTTATAGTTTTCCTTCTATTAATGATTTTGAGTTTCATTTTTTTGTGGCCAGAGAATATACTTTGTATGATGTTAGTCTTTACAATATACCAGATTTTCTCGGTTATCTTATGGTATATCTTGGAGAGTGTTCTACCTGCACTTGAGAAGAATACTGCATATTGTGCTATTATTGAGTATAGGGTTGTATAGGTGTCTGTTATATTTAAGTTGACTTACAGCATTATGGAAGTCCTCTATTTTCTTACTGATCTTCTATCTAGCTATTCTATACATTATTGAAAACAGTGTAGTGAGGTCTCTAACTGCAATTGTACAACTATTTCTTCTTTCAGTTCTGTCAATTTTTGCCTGTATATTTTGCTGCACTGTAATATCTTACAAGTTTATGTGTTATATCTTCTGATGGATTGACTTTTTATCAATATATAATGTTCTTTGTTTCTTAAAACAATTTTTGACTTAAAGTCAATTTGTCTGATACTAGTATAGCTACCCTGGGTTTGGGTTATCATTTGCATGGCATATTTTTTTCTATTCTTTCACTTTCAACTTATTTATGTCTTTGAGTCTACAGTGAGTATCTTGTAGAGTTTATAATAGATGGCTCATGGATTGTTTGTTTATTTTTGTTTGTTTTTTTTTAAAATACATTCTGACTGTGTGACTTTTAATTTGAGAGTTTAATCCATTTACATTCAATATAAATCTGCTCAGGAAGGATTTCTGCCATTTTGTTCTTTTCTATATATCATATATCTTTTTTTACTCTCAATTCCTTATTACATTTTTCTTGGTTTAATTGATTTTTAAAAATATACTGTGTTGATTCCCTTCTCTTTTTCTTTTCTGTGTATTTTTTTGTTATTTTCTTAATGGTTAATTTATGAAGTAAGGGTTTTGAACTTATAGCAACGTTGTTGGAATTAATACCAATAAAATTTACTCTCAATATTATACAAAAAGTCCTGTGCATCTCTGTCCTACCCTTGTAAGTTGTTATTGTCACAAATTACATAATTATACATTGTGCACCTATTAATACAGATTTATAATTATTGCTTTGTCTATTTGCCTTTAATTCATATAGAAATAAAAATTACAAACCAAAAATAGGAAAATACTGCCTTTTATATATACACCTATGTAGTTATTTTTAGCAGCTTTCTTTATTTCTACATGTGGTTTTTTAGTTATTGTTTATTGTCCTTTCATTTCAACCTAAATGACTCTTGCAAAGGAGTCTTACTAGTGATGAATTCCTTAAGCCTTTGTTGCTCTGGGAATCTTTTACTTTCTCCTTTATTTTTTAAAGATAGTTTGCTAGATATAGAATTCTTGGTTGATAGTTTTTTTCTTTTGGCACTTGAAATGTATAATTGCATTGTCTGTAACCTCTGTGTTTTTTTTGTTGAGAAATCAGCTGTTGATTTTAATGAGGGAGTTCCCTGTTAGTCAAAACAAAGGCGAACTGCTTGCACTAGCCCTTCAGGGGGCACCCAGACGGGTCAAAACAGGCAAACACAATTCTGAAAACAAAGTCTTCTTAGTTCCTTTTGGAACCAGGAACTCACAGTGGGAACTCCAGCTTTTGTGTACAAGTGTTCTGCCAGACTGGGGAAGGGATTAGGTAAGGGTAAATTACGCTGCCAGAAAGCTTTCCTGCTACATTTCAACTCTCTCCTGGTTAAAAGTTTTCTTGACACACTTTTGACTATCTTTTGAGAGTTGGGACAAAGTTGATTTTGACAGGATTTGTAAGTTTTTTCCCTGTTTCTGAGAAGAGATGGACCCTAGAGTTCCCTTTTCCATTATTTTTGCTGGTGTCATTGCAGAATAGGGATTTTTTTTTTTAAACCTAGGTTCTCTATACTTCTAGCAGGTTGGAGATAAAAAAAATACTAAGATAGATAATTTGTTTAAAAAAAAACAAAAAAACAAAAAAACCCAGAAACAAAAAGCAAAACCCAACATCTTTTTTTAACAGACGATCTTTATTCAATTTGATCCTACATTCCTTGCCAATGAATTTGTATAATGTATTATTTTCATGGTTAAAAAAGTAAAAGAAATCTTCTACTCTATTAAAGTATATAGAGATAAGTCAATTTCCCATGACACCATTTATTTTGAACCTGTTTTATGTCTTGTAAGAATCCACTCAGATTGTAGATTAAAAATTTTTTAAATAAAGCCATGCTATATTTTTGTTTCTGGAAATATTAATTATGATTTTTTAAAACTCCCTTTTTTTTATTTTACCAGTTCATTGAAGGCCTTATAAAATACAGGGTCCAGCAGAAGTAACATCTGCTTGAGTGTGGTTGATAGGGTAATAACATGAGTGTAATAATTTATAGTTTTAATTTGAACATCTCACCTAAAATGTCATATGGTGTGCTTGAGTAGGATATTGTTTAGTTATATAATTATATGCTTTTGATTTTGTAATAAAAGATTTTGTAATAAAACAGGAGCATTATTTGTGCTGGACCCCGTATATTGAGAATTATGTCATGAGAAAATCGCTAAAGAGGAAAAATGAAAGTGAAGTGATAATTCCTTTTTTTTCTTGGCAGGTTATTAACAAATTCAAACAGACTTACAACAACCAGAAATGCTGTATGGGCCCTCTCAAATTTATGTAGAGGCAAAAACCCTCCTCCAAACTTTAGTAAGGTATGAGTAAAAATACACAAAGAATCTGTCTACATAAACTTCTAAGTCTCCTTGTAATAGATTTTTAGAGGTTGAAGGGACTTTATTCTTATTTTAGTAATTATTTTCCTTACTGACTAGGCAATATTTGTACATATACAAAATCAAGAGATAAATAGTGAAAAGGGAGTTTTCCTCTCTACACTTATGACACCCCATAATTCTTTCCTTAGAGGTAACCACTGTCCCCAGGTGTTCATGTACCTTAGCATTGACTTTAGAAGTCAACTAGTTCTTGTCATTTAGGAAATTGAAGCCCCACAAAATATTAAGGTAGTTCATCCAGATCCACTGTTACAAAATTAGAAATGTAGTCCAGAGTGGTTTGTGCTTTCACATTGTACTTTTTATCTATTAGAATGTCTTTTCCCCTATCTGCTAATATTCTGCTGCTAAAAGAATAGATTATTTATAAGTTCCCAGTCTAGTTGTCTTACCAGTTAGATGTTCTTAGAAATACAGAATGTGGGTAAATTTTGGGGATACCATTTTACTCTTTGTTTTCAGTGTCTTTGTGAATTAAAGGGAACAATGACTACCACACTAAGAGAAGCTCAAAATCTGGTAAAAATTTAGTGATATAGTTTCTGGAGGCAAAAGTAATAAATACCTAATTCAAAAAAGATGATGCATGCATTAGTATGCTTTCTCATTAATACTTTAACCATTTCGGCTTTCAGAGTTTTGGATGTAAGCACACTTCATCTGAATTGCCAACATGACTTTAAAATCTAATTATCTGTTGATCTTTTACCATAGCAATCATAGTTCAATCATAGTTCAAAAATTCCTCTAAACCTTCCATGCCTATTCTGTCCTGTATTTATTGACAAGTATATAATATGACTAAGGAGCTGGTTTAAGACATTATAAAGTATGTTAAAAATAAAAGGAGTAACAGATTTATTATTTTAAGCAGAAATTTGGTTTAATAGGTATACAATTGACCCTTGAACAATGCATGAGTTGGGACACCTCACAGTCAAACTCTGCATGTAACTTTTGATTCCCCCAAAACTTAGTTGTCCCTCAGTATCCTCTAGGGATTGATTCCAGGAACCCACTTGGATACCAAAATCTGCTGATGCTCAGGTTCCCTATAAAACTGGCATTGATCAGTGCATACAGTTGGCCCTCTGCATCTGTGGAATCTCAACTGTGCATGGAAAACACTACTGGTATTTATGAAAAAACTCCACATATAAGTGGATTTATGTAGCTAAAACCTATGGTCAACTGTACATCTTAAAAAAGTTTTGAGTAAGCTATACTTCATGGAAACAAATTATGAAATAATGTCGTAGCAACTGCCTTACTCAGTTTAGAAGGATTTTGTATTATTTTCAGTTTAATAATAGAAGGGGAAAGAATGAGTATTTGGACTGGGTATAATACAAAGAAAACAATTTTGTGAGATTCACAAGTATCCTTCAAATGGCCTTTTAAAATAAATATTTAAAAACTCACGATTTGGCGACGATTGTTTAGAATTATAAGGAAAGAAAATGTTCATATTTTGTCTGAGGAGATAAGGGTCAATGTATCTGACAATGATGATTCCTTTACCTGCTCTTTATATGTTTTGACTTGTGTATGTAAAATTATGTGTGCTACTTATATTCATGGTTTTAGCAATCAGCAATTTTTTTTTTTAATTTTGCCTCTAAAAATAATATGGAGTTACCCATATTTGAGTTTTTACCAAGGGACTTTGGTTTATGCACTGCTTTTCTCCTTAAATTCTTTTTTAAAAAATGCATTGTTTTTGAGAGTTTTTCCCTTTTAAAATAAAGGGCATGCATCCATATGTGTGTATGTAGAGTTAATTATGTGATAGTAGTAGTGAAGATATAATTAGCTTAAAAGGCCATGTTTGGTTTTTCTTTTTTTTCTGCTTGTAACATTGTTGGATTTGTTCTAAATACAGTATTTACATCTTTAGATCTTTTTCTTCTAGTTATATGACATGGACTTGCCATAGGCAAGCAGTAAAGATTTTTTGTTAAGGTTTGTAATAACAAGCACCTTTTATAAATTACTCATTTTTTTAAAGTTTTTTTCATTTGGATAATACTTTTGAAATTGATGAGGTATGTTTTTCCTGAAGAATTTCCCTTTTGAAAGGTACTGAATTTTATAAAATTTATAATCTATAAAACCTGTAGTCTAAACTGCATTTTTCTAAGTTTCCTTTTTGAAGTTACTACCTTTATTGAACCAGTGTAAAATTCCCTCGATAAAATAATTATAGTATGGAAAAAATAATTATATTATGGTAGAAGAATGTAGAAGAATGCCATTTTTCTTAAGGACATATATGCTAACGTATTTAGCGGTGAAGTGTCATAGTATATTATCTGCTGTTGGTTCTTAAATAGGCCAGTAAAATTTTTTAAAAGTATATATTTTCTGTATATATGAAGCTGAGGAGAGAGCAAATATAGCAAAATGTTAACTGCATATGGGTGTTTATTGTACTTTTTTTGGTAAATTTTATATAAGTTTGGAATTTATCAAAATAATATATTGAGGAAGGCCATATGTGTATCACCTCCCTTGGTACCACCTCGCCTATGCTACCTTCTGTCTATTGCCTTGGTAGCTAACAAATCTTGCTTCTCTCTTTGCCACCCATCATTTCCTATACCCAAGGTGGCAGCCAAGATGACCTATTAAAATGTAGGTTAATACCACATCTCTGTTCAGGACCCTGCCATGGCTCTCTATATTTTTTATTCAGAGTAAAAGAAAATTGTTAAATATTTTATAAGAGTTTTCATCACCTGGCTCTTCTATTATCTCTCTTATTCATGCCTACTATTTTTGTTCCCACTTCACTCCAGCCAGCTGGCTTACTTGCTGTTTCTCATACTCATTAAGCATGCTCTTGCCTTTGCTTTAGCTGTTCCCTCCACCTGTAACAAAATTTCTTTATCTCATGACCTCTTTTCACTCCTAAAAATTATGGGGACCCAATAACTTTTACTTATATAGTTTATACGTAGCAATATTTACTATATTAGAAATTAAAACAAAAATTTTAAATATTCATTTAAAATAACAATAACAAATCCCTTGTGTGTTAAGTAACATTTTTTTTTTTTTATGAAAAACACTTTTCAAAACAAAAATTTTGTGTGAAGAGTACTGTGAGTTTACATTTTTACAGATCTCTTTAATATCTGGAGACATATAACTAGATTCTTATTTCTGACTTCTGCATTTGATCTATTGTGATATATTGTTTTAGTTGAAGTCTTTCCAGATAATAATTTTTTTGATACTATACCAAAATTTAAGTGGTAGGTTATTTCAAAGGTTAGTTGTTTTAAGGAACCTGAAGTCGTGTTTTTGAACTTTTTGTACTCTCTTAAATTAAAATACATTGGTCTTTCTTGCACTTTGAATGGATCTTTTTCCCATGCATGATTTTGTAACTTTATGCATTGGTCATTTGGAATATGTAATTCACTGAATTATGTATCACTTCCAAGTGTTGACATTTCATTATACAATATTTTTTTTAAAAAATCACAGTATCACCACCAATGTTGGGAACCTGTCAAATTAATGGTGGATAGAAGATTTCCAAAATTCTAAAATTTGTTTGAAATCTCAAAATTTATAATTGGCAACAAATATTGTCCATTTTTTCCTTGAAATGATAGGCTTACTTTATTTTTTAAAAAAGTCTGCCAAAGACCTAATACTGAATAAAGATTAACTGTTCCAAGTTAGAAAAAAAAAAATGGTGTTCCTATGGGGAAAAAAAATGGCTAATTCAGTTTGAAACTCAAACACATGCTTTTCCTGGAGACCACCATTGTACTTTGGTAGGTAGAAGAGCTCTAAATACAAATTTCTCATTTTGTCTCATAACATAGTCAAAAGACATGTTCAAGTATTGGGATTTAATAAAATCAGTAATTTTTACTGCTTCTTCAAGGTAATCTCTTAAATGAAGCTGGCTTCCCTTTCCTCTTTTAGCCACATGTATATTGAGGTGAAAACTTCAAAGATTTGCGGTATATTTTATACCACTGGCCTTGATTTGTGCTAAAGTCATGATAGTTTTACCCACCTTTGCTTTTGTACCTTTAGTACAAAAGTCCAACAAAATGAAAAAGACCACTTATGTGTTAATTATAATTATGAAAATAGTTCAGGCATGAAAGATCCTGAAAGGTTTCAAGAATCCATCAGGGGTCCATGGACCCCACTTTGAGAACCACTGACCTACATTATTATGTCATATCTACCCGACTAGTTCCCTCTATATCTTTTCCTTGTTTGTGAGAAGACGTTGGGGCAGAAATGTTTTTATTTTGCTCTCTTAAAATAGAAATCTGTAGCACTTCATTGTCTTTTAAATAAGTAGAAAGATATATATCAGTTACACTAATTTTTTTAATTCAAAAATTTGTACTTGCTTTTAAGAATTGATGCTCATACTGCTCTGTTTAAGGAAGAGGAGGTGGTTGACAGGGGTGAAGGCATGATTGTTGGGGTAGGATCCAGTTGTGCAGCTGCTTCTTCCTAACTTAAAGGTGAACAAACCTGTTTTGTAAGTTAACCGATTTCTGTTCCTAGGCCTTAAGGTCATCCTTACAGGAAGGCCCAGAAGGGAAGATAAGTAATTTCAGAAGATTATAGCATATATACTGGCAATCTTTAAAGTAGAGGTGAAGAGAACATTAATCTAAAATATTAGAATATAAAAAAGCTGTCGTCACTTTTTATTTGTGACGTCTAACATACATCTCTTATCTGAGAAAAGTAAGGGATATATTAGGTTGATGGTTTAAAAAAAAACTTTAAGGATTATAGAATCAATACTAATGAACAAAATAAACTGAAGAACAAAGTAAAATCAGAGGCGTGAATTCATGGAGCAGACTGACAGATCTCAGAAGGGAGGAGGCATGGGAGGACTAGAAGAGATTAGCCAAAGAACATTTATGCATATATGCATAGCCGATGGACACAGACAACAATGTGGTGAAAGCTGAGTCGGGGGCTTAGAGGAGGAGGAGGGTGAGGTTAGGTGGAAGAGGGTAGAGGGAGGAAAATGGGAGACATCTGTCATTGTGTCAACAGCAACAACAAAAAAACCTGAGTATGACAATAAAGAGAGCCAACATTTCAGTGCTTACTATATGCCAGGCATTCTTACTAATTTATGCTATATGCATTCTTATTAATTTAACAGTAATGTATTAATTGTGATTTATAAATGAAGAAATTGGGCTTTAGAGACATTGGGTTATTTGTCCTTGGTCATGGCTAGTGAGTAGTGCTTGAACCTAGGTCTGTCTAATTTGAAAGGAAGAATCATAGAATTTATCTAATTCAGGTTCTTTGATTCACAGGTTTGAAAACTGAGTCTCAGAGAGATGAAGTGACTTGCTCACCTCACAACTAATTAGCAGTAGTTACGCTAGAGGGAATAAAAATCTGTTGTTGAATGTGTCTTTTTAATTGAAGATTTAGGGTTTCAGTACATTAAGAAGTACTATTATTAGTGACTTCCATTTAAAATCCTTTCAGATTTCTTTTTGTATTTTTTCCACCTTTACTTCTCAACTGATTATTTACTTCCAATAATGTATATGTAATAAGTAAAGTGGGATTCAAGTTGGATCATATTCCATCATCATCATATTAAACACTTAATGGAAGCATTTTTACTTCTCTAGTTTCCATATGCTGTTTGGGGGGGAGGGTATGATTTACACATAGGGGGTCCCAGATACATGTTTCATTATTTTAAAAACTTTAAATTAGCCCATATCTTATTCAGTGTAAGATTAATAGGGGTCATAATCAGTGTCATGTTTATATTTGATCATAATTTTTAAATATTTAATTTCTCCAGTATTTTTTGTAGCATTAAATTTTAATTTTAAAACAAGTTTCTATATTTTCCTAAAGAAATTTGGTTTTAGATAGAGGAAAATTTTAAACATTGCCTCTTTCTTCCCTTACAGGTTTCACCTTGCTTAAATGTCCTGTCGCGATTGTTGTTTAGCAGTGACTCAGATGTACTAGCAGATGTGTGTTGGGCCCTTTCTTACCTATCCGATGGACCCAATGATAAAATTCAAGCAGTCATCGATTCTGGAGTCTGTCGAAGATTGGTGGAACTTTTGATGTAACTATAATTTATAATTAATAATTATATGATTGTGAGTTTAGCAGTTAAGAGTAATGGCCTCATAAACATCTTGAGAATCACTATGTACAGGAAAGGTTGAAAACCCCACTTTGCAGAATATCTGTAGTACTGAAAAGTTGACCCTTAAACTTGTATCTTATAACCTCTAGTTGGGACTAATTATCACTTTGTTAATGAATTTCATTAGTGTAAGCTCTTTATGAATGAGAGGGACTTAATTCATGAAGTATGTATGGAATGCCTGTTACCTGCTAGGCTGTTGTGCAAGGTACTGACATTGAAATAGAGGACATAGTTCCTGCTCTCACAGAATGAGTAATCTAGTTAGTTGTTCATTGCAGTAATTTGTATAAAAGATCACGTGGTAAAAGTTTAGTATTTTATTTGTATTAAAGATAATATGTTTCTCTGTGCTGAGCTACTGTTGCTGTCTTTTTAAAAAAGAACAGAGTTTTGATACAAAGAAGTTAAAAACTTATAAGAAAAGTTGTTTTAAAAAGGAATTATAATTTCTTCATCCCTTTTAAAAAAAGTATTATCTTCCCTCCTTTCTTCTTTTGTCAAAAAAATCATTAGATAAGCCCAAACAAGGTAAATGCACAAGGAAAGAGAGGTCTGATAGGGGTTGTGGATCCTGCATGAGGACAGCACCCAAGGACGGTGGGCAGGCAGGTCCCATGGGGGAACTGGAGTCCACGCTTAAGGCTGGAGCCAACTGGAGTGAAGCAGATAAACAGGCTGAAGCAGGGGAGGGAGCCAGCACACTGTGACATAGCAGCCTAGCTGGATTAGAAGTTGGGTCATTCATAGGGAGATTCTGATAATAGAAGCCAATTTCTTATTCTGAGAGAATGGATTTATAAATATGGAAAGGAGGAAAGCCAGAAAAATCTTGTGATATTAAATTAGAGTTGGAGGTATCAGTGTGAACTCATGGCTTTCTACATGAAAGAAATATATTTGGAAACAAATATATAATGAAAATATCTGTGTTTGTCTGTATTTATGTCCTCCTAAAAGGTCTGGGAGCAGTGACACATTTATACTAACAAGCTGAGCACACAACGCCCAGACCTTGTTTTGAAATACTGCTCTTCACTAACAGGAACCAGGATTCTTGGAGAAATGGCTGATTCCAGGGCTGAGACTGATAAAAAATAAGATGGACTCAGGAAGTAATGAATGCTAAAAGAAGGGATAAATGTTGAAAGAACACAGAAGCCCCCCTGAAGGGATTCCTACTGTTCAAACTTGGGATGATTTGAGCTTTGAAATAAATTATAGTAATATATTTTAACTTATTGAATAAAATAGGAATCCATGAGCCCACACTAAAATAAGTGGATAGAATAATTGATAGAAAAAAGCATGTAGTTGGAATGATAATGTTAGAAAATCATCATTGGCAACAATACTAATAATTACTAATAATTCAGACACTAAACATCAAGAGATGCTAAAACTATTGGTGAAAACTATGGGATTTTACATAATCTAAAGGTATTTCCTCATAAAATATGAATTATAAAGGGAAAATAGTAATATGAAATTGGAGAAATCTGGCAGAAACAGCCTTAATTAAGCAACCAGAGTTCAGTGTCGTCATAATGGATAAAGCAGTTACCATATGCTATCCAATTCTGGGTAATGAAAAGACTATAGCATTTGTATTATTCCAGCCAAAGTATATAACTTGGGTCTTAATCATGAGGAAACATTGGTCAAGACCAGATAACTAGCTTGTGATCTTCAAAAATGCCAAGACCATGGAAATAAAAGACCTGACAACTGGGTGCAACACATGGTCCTGGATTACATTCTCTATTGTGGCGATAATTATGACATAATTAGTGAAAGTTGAATGGGTTCTTTGGATAAAGAGTATATAGGACTTTTTGTATTATTTTTGCAAATTTTCTGTAAATTTTAAATTCTTATATAGTGTGTAAGTTAATATTTTTATTATTTTAGGCATAATGATTATAAAGTTGTATCACCTGCATTAAGGGCAGTTGGTAATATTGTGACTGGTGATGATATTCAAACACAGGTGAGTTCAGACATTTTAATATGATAAGTTAACATAAAGGACATTAAGGAGTTTATCATGTTTATACTACTTCATTAAATGTTAATCAGGACTTTAGCATTAACATCATTATATAGGCATCTGTGATGTAAGCATATTCTTTTTTTTTTTTCCATCTTCGCCTGAGGACATTTTTTCATTGCTTTTTAGAGAGACTAGAGGAAGAAAGAGAGAAAGGCAGAGAGAGAGAAAAACATCAAGGCGGGAGAGAAGCATGAATAGGTTGCCTCCCGTATGTATCCAGATTGGGGATCATAGGCACCTGGACCAGGGATTGTACGCACCCAGACCAGGGATCGTACGTGCCCAGACCGGTGATCAGATCCACAACCTAGGTATGTGCCTTGACCAGTAATTGAACCCGCAGCCCTTCGGTTACGGGACTGTGCTCCAACCAACTGAGCCACACTGACCAGGCCATGTAAGCATATTCAGATTCAAATACATCAATGTAAAAGCACTCTCCTGGACCCAATCAGTGTGAGGTTGTACAAGATAGGAATTTGGCTGCTGGGGGATTTGCAATTCAGTTGGAGAGAAAATATATATTAAAACAAAGTAAATTACCCTATGTAGTGTATGTTTTCTGAGAGCTCTTTGGTCAGTAAATACTATAAAGGTTTAAAAAAGAAATCAGTGTGCTAAAAAATTGTTGTAGATTCCATAAAAGAGTTGGAATTAAAGCTAGATATTTAGAGAAGAACTTAAGTAGACTACAAGAGATTTATATGTCAGATATGTGTGAGGTATGTGTAAGAGACATTAAAAGAAATTGTTAGTGAGAGGATGATTGATTATAAGTAGGTTCAAGTGGAGTTAGACAAGGAAGGCCTTTGTAGTAGATTGAAGGCCTAGATTATAAGAATGAAAGGAAAGATAGCAAGGAAACACTCCTGAATTGGTAATTAACTATGTGTATGAGATCTCAGAAAAGGTGTGATGTAAAGATTGGCATCAGATCTGGGATAACCTTTTTAGAAACTTACATTCTGTAACACATTAGATTCTCTTTTGTTTACCACCATATAGTAAACTTTTTATTCTTACCTACATATTTTGTTTCATTTTAACCTTTACAAATTCTATTTAGATATCTGCCTTAATTATTAAACAGTTGATCCTTAGAAATCGATAGTTCTTTTTTAAGCATGGCTCTTTAAATAAAAATGCCCCTCAAATCATAAACTGTTTTCCACAGAATTTCAGTACTTTGCTTCATACATTCTTCACCAACTGTATTTAATGTTAAATCATGTGGGTATTATGAAAATAGGAACATAATCTTGCTATGGAGTAAGAAACGTAAAGAAGGAAAGCAGAATATATTTCTTTACAAAAGTGGGACAGTAAAATTTTTAATGAAACTAATAGACTTATTTCGTCATGTTCAGATTTCTTAACATTTATGGAATTAGGTATTTTCAAACAGTTTGATATATATATATTTTTAAATTATGTTTTATTGCTCATGCTATTAAAGCCGTTCCAATTTTCTCCCTTCACCCCTCTCCACCCACCACCCCCGACTCCCTCAGGCAATCCCCACACCATTGATCATTCCATGGGTCAGACATATAAGTTCTTTGGCTACTCCTTTTCCTATCCTGTACTTTACATCCCCATGGCTATTCTGTAACTCTCATTTGTACTTCTTAATCCCCTGATATCTTTATCCATTCTCCCCCACATCCCCTCCCATCTGGCAACTATCAAAATGCTCTCTGTATCCATGATTCTGTCTCTGTTCTTGTTTGTTTAGTTTGTTTTTTAGGTTCAATTGTTGATTGATAGGTATTTATTGCTATTTTATTGCTCATAGTCTTGGTCCTCTTTTTTTCAAAGAAGTCCCTTTAACATTTCATATAATAATGGTTTGGTGATAATGAACTCCTTTACTTTTCTTGCCTGGGAAGCTCTTTATCTGTCCTTTGATTCTATACGATAGCTTTGCTGAATAGAGCAATCTCAGCTGTATGTCTCTGCTTTACCTGACTTTGAATATTTCTTGCCAGTCCCTTCTAGCCTTTCTTCTTTTGAGAAATCAGCTGGAAGTCTTATGGGAACTCCTCTGTAGGGAACTAACTTGTTTTCTCTTGCTGCTTTTAAGATTCTCTCTTTATCTTTAACCTTTGGCATTTTAATTATGACATGTCTTGGAGTAGGTCTTTTTGCATCCATCTTGTTTGGGACTCTGTGTTTCCTGAATTGGCATGCCTATTTCCTTTACCAACTGAGAAGTTTTCTTTCATTATTTTTTCAAATAGATTTCCAGTTTCTTGCTCTGTCTCTTCTCCTTTTGGCACCCCATGATGAGAATGTTGGAATGTTTGAAGTCATCCCAGAGGCTGCGTACACTACCCTCGTTTCTTTTTATTCTTTTTTCTTCTTCTTGTTCTGATTGCTTGTTTTTTTGCTTCTTTATGTTCCAAATCATTGATTTGATTCTCAGCTTATCCACTCTACTTTTGTTTCCCTGTAAATTGTTCTGTATTTCAATTAGTGTATCCTTTGTTTCCGATGGATCTTTTTTATGCTGTTGAGGTCCTCATTAAGTTCCTTGAGCATCCTAATAACCAGTATTTCGAACTCTGCATCCGATAGATTGCTTATCTCCATTTCATTCCGATCTTTATCTGGAGTTTTGATGTGTTCTTTCATTTGGGCTATGTTTCTTAGTTTCCTCATTTTGGCAGCCTCCCTGTGTTTGTTTCTATATATTAGGTAGAGTTGCTTTGACTCTCTGTCTTGATAGTGTGGCCTAATATAATGGGTATCCTGTAGGGTCCAGTGGCCCAGCCTTCCCTATATCCCAAGCTGAGTACCGAGGTGAACCCTTTGTGTGTGCTGAGTACACCCTCCTCTTGTAGTTGAACCTTGGTTGCTGTTGGCAGGTCACTGGGAAGATTCACCTAGGCCAGGCAGTTGCACAGACTGACTGTGACCACTCTCCACCAGCCTCCACCCTCCATGGAGAATCAGTTGTGTGGGAGCAGGGTGGTGATGCTCCAACAAGGTCTGTAGCTGTTCACTTGATGCTTAGGCTCTGAGGTTTCCCAGGTGGTGCAGAGCAAGGTCAGCCCCCAATTGTATTCTTCCCAGGGCCACCCTGAATGAACTATAAAGCAATCTGAGATGGCTGCTAGTTGTGCTGCGCTTGGGTTCCTACATGTAGCCAAACTGTGAATCTAGTCAGGCTGCTGCTAGTACCAGGACAGAGGCCACTTAGTAAGAGGTACTGGGACTAGGGGCTTACTAGGGGCTTGCTTGTTTGATAGGATTTAGGAAGTGGCAAAGTATAAGCCAAGACCAGCCATTCATATGTAAAGTAACAGTAAATAGTTTGGATGGGCCCATAAGCTGGGTGGGATGGAGTTTCAGGGGCTCTACAGGGTGAGCCACCAGTGTTAACCAGGTTGATGGAATCTCAGATATGGCACCCGCCTGCTGGTTCTGTGGCTCTGTGTGGGGAGGGCCCAGAAAAGGGACAATGGCCTCTGCCCACCTTTCTGACTGGGAGAAAGCTGTCCCCTAGCTCTCACTTTGATTCCAGACACTTCAGTTCCTCCCTGTAAGCCACTAGTGCTTTTTAAGCTGTTCCCTGGTGCTTGAGCTCTGAGGGAGTAAGTCTGAGTAAGTCTGTGTGTGGGTTCTTTAATTGGAACTGCTTGGAACTCCAGAAGTTTCTTCCACTGACTCAATACCTGCTGGTTTTTGCAGCTAGAAATTATGGGGACTTAATCTTCCTGGGCTGGGGGCCTGCTGTGGGGCTGGCACTCCTTGTTCCCAAGATATCCCTCCTGAATTTTTATCCACCATATGTAGCTGTAAGACCAGTCAACTCTGCCTCACTGCCCTTCCTACCAGTCTGGATCGATGTGGTTTCTTTAATTCTGTAGTTGTTAGACTTCCATTCAACTAGATTTCTGATGGTTCTGAATAATGGTTGTTCTATGTTTTAGTTGTGATTTTGATAACTATATGTATTTTTTTTATCAGTTCATTGGACAAAACTAGAGGATGGATCCTGACCAGTCACTAAATCTGTCCTCAAATAGTTATTTCAGTTAAACTTTGAGTACATATGTAAACTTAAAGGACACATCTCTGAGTGTCCTGCTTAGTTGCATTTTAGTACATTGAGAACAGGGCTCTTTACTACACCAACATTAGAAAGATTTTGGCAGTGGGAGGGAGGGTAGAAAACAGCAAGTGCCTAAGTGATACTTTGACAAGAATTGTTTTTCTTAATTTTTTAGGATGGTTTTTATATTTCTAAATAATTCATTGGTATAATTTAGTTTAGTTTTTTTCTTTTTCTTTTCTCTCTCTCTCTCTTTTTTTTTTTTTTTTTTTTTGCTAAAAAACTTTCCATTTCTAACTTTCCTTTTAGGTAATTTTGAATTGCTCTGCATTACCCTGTCTCTTACACCTATTGAGTAGCCCAAAGGAGTCAATAAGAAAAGAAGCCTGCTGGACCGTTTCTAACATTACTGCTGGAAATAGAGCTCAGATTCAGGTAAATCCCTTTCAGCTCTGAGGAAAAAGGAAGATCTCAGAAGTCAGTTTGGGAAAGAAGTCAGCATTTTATTAGTGATTTTTTTTTTTAGTGAGTTACTGAAAAAGATTATTAAAAGATTCTTGAAAAGTATTTTAAGGACTATAGCCTTTTCTTCTCTAAAGCAAATACTTACAAATTTCTAATGAGGAATAGCAATTACATATATTAATATAATAGCAATTATATACATATATAATTGAAATAGCAAATATATGTATAAATTGTCCATCACAGTGCCTGACCCATAAAGGTTAATCTTTAAAAAGGGGTTGATTAAGGTGAACTATGGGAGCCTCTGGATCAGCAGCATCTTGCTTAGCCCTACAGTAGATTAGTGTGGCACACGCAAGATAGTGGAGGAGTAAGTGGAAGCTACATTAACCTCCTCCCAGGACCAATCTGGAAGTACAACTAAATTGTAGAGAAAGCATCCAGAATAACCATCTAAACACTAGCTGGAGACAAGCCTTATAACCATGGAGAGATAGAAGAAGCCACATCAGCACAATAGGACTGGTAGGGAGTGCAGAGGAGGCGCGAGAGGGCTAGCAGGGTTCCCACGGGAGGCAGCTGAGGTGTTGGAGAGATATTTCAGAGGCCAGGGGCTTCCCTCTGAGAAGTTTGGGGTCGTCTCAACCCCCCGCTGGGCTCCCTAACCTATAGCACCAGAGCTTTAAGGCAACCCAGGTAACATCCAGCTCTGAAAAGCAGTCGGGTTTCTATCCACCAGGGAGAGATGGCTGGAGAAACAGAGAGCCTCATAAAGGGCTAACACACAAAATTTAGTCTGCAGCCCCTTACCCTGGGCTCTGGCAAAGGGATGGCAGAGTGGAATAGATACACTTGGGGAAAATCTGGGACTGGTGGCTCGGCAGGGAGAACTGAAGGAACATCCACCAGAATCCCTATGCTGAGTCATCCGCCATATGGCAGAAGCCATCTTCCTCAGGCAGAGCATTCCCTTCCAAGTTCCATCAGCCTAAGAGGAGGCAATAGCCCCAGCTGAAAGAAGTACTCTGCCCTACCCTGTGGAGCTTAAGGCAGGCTAATGACTATAGCTTGCAGCTCTATCACTGATTAATTTAACAGCAGTGACAGATTTTGAGGAGTTCTGAGACTTCAGCCGATCCTCCCTGGCATCTGGTGCTGGTTAAAGCCAGCCTCAGTGTGCAGCTTGGTTCTTTCTGCACATACCCACGCCCAGCAGAGGAAGCCACAAGCTGTGAATCACTGATAGCTCCAAATAGATTGATGAGGACCAAACACAAGCAGCATCTGACAAAGGGCTACACGAGAGTCTTTGCAGATCTACCTAATACATAGAAACAAATACAAAGAAGCAGCCAAAATGGGAAGACAAAGAAACAAACCCCAGTGAAAGAACAGGAGAATCTCCAGAAGATGAACTATGTGAAATGGAAGCAAGCAATTTATCAGATAGTGCATTTAAGAGTAATGCTTATAAGGATACTCAACAGCATGGAAAAAGACATAGAAACTATAAAAAAGGACCAGTCAGAAATAATATAATACCTGAAATAAATGAACACTGGAAGGAATAAACAGTAGAATAGTTGAAGCAGAGGATCGCATCAGTGATTTGGAAGACAAGGTAGAAAAAAACACCCAAGCAGAGCAGCAAAAGAAAAGAGAATTAAAAAAAAAAAAATGAGGACAGCTTAAACATTTTGGACAACATGAAGCTTAACAACATCAACATCATGTGAATACCAGAAGAGAGAGAGCAAGCAAGGGACTGAGAACCTATTTGAAGAAATAATGACTGAAAACTTCCCTAACCTGATAAAGGAAAAAGACACACAAGGTTAGGAAGCTGAGAGAATCCCAAACAGTTTGGACCCAAAGAGGCTTACACTGAGAAAATAGACTTTATATCTGACAAAGTAGACTGTAAATCCAAGGTTTTAGTAAGAGACAAAGAAGGACACTATATAATGATAAAGGGAACAATCCAGCAAGAGGACATAATCCTCATAAACATTGACATGTCCAACATAGGAGCACCTAAATATGTGAAGCAGATCTTGATTGGCATGAAGGTAAAGATGAACAGAAATAGAGTTGTAGTCAGGGGTTTTAACACCCCATAATACACCATTGACTTCAATAGATAGAGTTTCCAGACAGAAAATCAACAAGGGGACAGCAGCCGTAAACTACACACTAGATCAAGTGGATTTAATTGTCTTCTTCAGAGCATTTCACCCCAAAGCAGCAGGATATACAATACTTTCCAAGTGCATGTGGAGTATTCTCTAGGCTTGAGCACATGTTAGAACACAAAACAAGTCTCAATAAATTTAAGAAGATTAAAATCATATTAAGCATCTTCTCTGACCACAGTGCTATGAAACTAGAAATCAATCACAGGAAGAAAACTGAAAATCAAGCAAAGACATGAAAGCTAAATAACATGCTATTAAACAGTGAATGGGTCAACAATGAGCTCAAGGAAGAAATCAAAAGATAACTTGAAACAAATGAAAATGAGGACACAACAACTTAAAATATGAGGGATACAGGAAAAACAATCCTAAGAGGGAAATGCAGAGAGTTACAGATGTATCTCAAAAAAAACAAGAAAAAGTTAATAACCAATCTGCCATTACACTTAAGGGAACCTGAAAAAGAACAACAAAGCCTAAAGTGAGTGGAAGGAAGGAAACAATAAAGATCAGAGCAGAAAGAAACAAAATAGAGTCTAAAAAAAATGATACAAAAGATGAATTTATCCAAGAGCTGGTTCTTTGAAAAGATAAACAAGAATGACAAACCTTTAACTAGACTCATCAAGAAAAAAAGACAGAGGACCCAAAATACAAAATCAGAAATGAAAGAGGAGAAATAACAGCTGACACCAAAAGGAATACAAAGGATTGTAAGAAAATATTACCAACAACTGTATGCCAACAAACTGGACAACCTGGACAAAATGCATAAATTCCTAGAAACATACTATTTTCTAAAACTAAATTAAGAAGAATTATAGAACCTGAATATATAGATTACAACTTGAAGCAGTAATCAAAAAACTCCCAAAAAACAAAAGCCTTGGGCTAGATGGCTTCACAGGTGAGTTGTATCAAAAATTTCAAGAACTAGCACCTCTCTTTTTGAAACTATTTCAAAAAATTCCAGAGGAGAGAAGGCTCTCAAACTCCTTTATGGGGCCAGCATTATCCTAGTTCGAAAACCAGATAAAGTCACTACAAAGAAGGAAAATTATAGGCCAATATCCCTGATGAATAATAGACACTAAAATCCTCAATAAAACATTAGCAAACCAAATAGAGCAATGCATTAAAATGATTTTATACCATAGTCAAGTCGGATTTATTCCAGGAATACATGGTTGTTAGATTTACAAATCAATAAGTGTGATTCACCACATAAACAAAATGAAGAATAAATACCACATAGTCATATCAATAGATGCAGAAAAAGCATTTGATAAAATCCAGCACCCATTTATGATCAAAACTCTCATCAAAGTCAGATAAGAGGGGATATACCTAAACATAAAGGCAATATATTACAAACCCACTGCCAGCATCATATTCAACAGGCCATCTACAAGTGTTCACCTTAACATCAGGAACAACACAGGGATATCCACTTTCTTGTTGAACATAATACTGGAAGTCCTAGCCACAGCAGTCAGACAAGAAGAAGAAATAAAAGGCATGCAGATTGAAAAGGAAGAAGTAAAACTGTCTTTATTTGCAGATGGCATAATACTCTACATAGAGAACCACAAAGATTCCTCCAAGAAACTAGTAGAACCGATAAATGAATTCAGCAAAATAGCAGGACACAGAATTAATATCCAGAAATCCGTTGCATTTTTATATGCGAATAATGAAACTATCAGAAAGGGAAACTAAGAAAACAGTCCCATTCATAATTGCTTCAAAAAGAATAAAATATCTAGGAATAAACCTAACCAAGGATGTAAAAGACCTGTACTTGGAACATTATAAGACACTGAAGAAAAAAACTGAAGACACAAATAAGTGGAAGCATATACTGTGTTAATGGAGAGGAAGAATTAACATCATTAAAATGTCCATAATACCCAAAGTAATCTATAGATTCATTGCCATTCCTGTCAAGATTCCAATGACATATTACACAGAACTAGAACAAGTATTCAGAAATGTATATGGAACCACCAAAGGAAGGCATAGCAACTGCAGTCCTGAGAAAGAAGAATAAAGTTGGGGGAATCACACTACCTAATATCAAACTGTACTATAAGGCCATAGTAATCAAAACAACATGGTACTGGCATAAAAATGACACATAGCTCAGAGAAATAGTTAGAGAGCCCAGAAATAAACCCACGCCTTTACAGTCAATTCACATTTGACAGAGGAAGCAAGCACATACAATGGGCTAACACTAGTTTATTCAATACATCATTTTGGGAAAATTGGACAGATACATGCAGAAAAATGGAACTAGACCACCACCTTACACCACACACAAGAAAAATTCAAAATGGATTAAAGACTTAACTGTTGGACCCAAAACCATAAAAATTGAAGAAGAAAACATAGCAAAATTTTTGACCTTGCTTGTAGCAATATTTTAACAGATATATCTTCCCAAGGAAAAAGGAACAAAAGAAAAAAATAAATGGGACTACATCAAACTAAAAAGTTTTTGCACAACAAAGGAAAACATCAGCAAAATAAAAAGACAACCTACAGAATGGGGGAACATATTTGCTTATAGGGTCTGATAAGGGTTAATATCCAAATGTTCTAAAGTACTTATAAAACTCAAGACCAAAAAACAACCCAATTAAAAAATGGGCAATGGACCTGAATAGACACTTCTCCAGAGGACATACACATGACCAAGAGACATTAAAAGATGCTGAACATCATTAATCATTAGAGAAATGGAAATTAAAACCACAATGAGATACCATCTCACACGTGTCAGAATGACTGTCATCAATTAATCAACAACTTGTGCTGGTGAGGATGTGGATCGGGGCCCCTTCTGCACAGTTGGTGGGAATGCAGATTGGTACAGCCACTGTGGAAAGCAGTATGGAGACAGCTGAAAAAATTAAAAATGGATCTGCCTTTTGACCCAGCAGTCCCACTTCTGGGAATATATATATATATGAAGGAACCCAAAACACTGATTTGAAAGAACATAAGCACCCCTATGTTCATTCCAGCATTATTTACAATCGCCAAGTTATGGGAACAGCCTGAGTGTCCATAAGTAGATGAGTAAATGAAACAACTATGGGACATTTACACAATGGAATCTGCTTGGCCATAAAAAAATACATACACACGCTTTGTGACAGTATGGATGGACCTAGAGAACATGCTAAGTGAAATAAGCCAGTTGGAGAAGGACAAATACCATATGATTTCACTCAAGTAGAATCTAATGAATAAACCGAACTAACAAGGAAAACAGAGACACTCATAGATGTAGAGCAGGATGACAGCTAAGGGAGGGAGGGGACGTTCGGATGTGGAGGGATAGAGCAAAAAGGAAAACAGACTCGTGGACATGGACAACAGTGTGTTCATTGCCGATGCTGGGGTTTTATAAGGGGACTAAATGGCAAGGGAAAAAATACAAACAAAAATAAAAGGGATTGATTTTTGTTTTTAAAAAGTTACTCAGTGATCTTCCTCTAAAAATTCTTAAATAATGATTTATTAGGGCCTTCACCCTCCTTGAGCTGGTAATTACTTGATCAGTATTCTGCCTTATGTTTTATCTTTAAAATTTATATTCTTCTAATGTGTTACCCAGTATTAAAAAGAAAGCATGTGAATGTTGAAAGATTAGGAAAAATATTTCTAAAAAGCCTGACTTTTAAAGCCATTGAGTTTCAAGATTCTTCTACTTACTACTATAATTAAATCTGTATTTGCATTGACTTTGCTGTATCATTTTTCCTCTTTAGACTGTTATAGATGCAAATATTTTTCCCGTTTTGATTGAGATTCTTCAGAAAGCAGAGTTTCGCACCAGAAAAGAAGCAGCTTGGGCTATAACTAACGCAACATCAGGAGGCACTCCAGAACAAATAAGGTGTGATACAGGTTAAAAAAAAATTTTTTTTTTAATGTAAATGGGACATTTACAAGTTTGAAATAATACATAGTTTTTATTTGTTGATAAAACTAAAACATTATTTCTGACCATTTAGTAAGCAATTTTTATGTGAAGTAATAGCATTTGTTATATCAGTTATTTATTTATAGTAGTTTTTTTTTCCATATAAAATAGGATTAACATCATTCTCTTTGGCAGACTATGATTTCAGAAATTAAAAATCTGAAAGAATAAGTCTATGTCAATTTGAAATATATACTGTTATGGGCATTAAATATTTCTTAGACCATAAAAATCATATACATTTAACTTTATTGTATTGAAATGTCTAATTTGGATATCTCCTTATATAAAACAAAATTTTAATAGACATTTATTTTATATAATAATGCTCTTCTAATCGCTGTTATCCCTACCTGTAGATAGGTTCTTTACTTTTATTTTTCTGTAGTAGTTTTCTTTTTTGTGATAGCTTTTTTAATATAGCCCTTTTATTATTTGCTTGTTTTTTGTTTTTTACTAATAACACAAATAGTGGGTACATGGGCTTTGAAATCAGCCTGCCTCCCCATCCTGTTCCTTGAGTAAAAGTTGTGTGACTTTAAAATCATTTAACCTCCCTAATCCATAATTTTTTCATTTTTTAAATGGATTCAATAATAGATAGTACTTCATAGTATTATCTTGACAATTAAATGCAGTTCATACATTTAAAGTGCTTAGCATAGTGACTAAACAACTTCTATGCTAAGACTATCTGCTATTATTTGTAATTATCATAACTTTTATTATCAGTATTGCTTTCTAAGTCTCTCTTCATCTTGTGCTGTTATTCCCTCCTCCCTATCCCCCCACCCCCTGCCCACATAGCAAAGTTAAGTTCCACTTTGCACTTCTATAAAAGCCTGATTTCTACACACATTTCTTGTTTTGAGGATCCCTCCATGAAACTCAGTACTTCAAGTTTTTGAAGTGACTATTTAGGAAGTATTTTGTAATGAGTATTTTATTTCTAAATTTATGAAAGAAAAAGTCAGGCTACTATGCTATTTTACAAATCACAGGATTTTGAAATCTACCTATTGTGAGGTCATTGTTCATTATTGCCTTTATTTGTGCTGTTACCTTGCTCTTCAGATTCATCTCTCTATATGTTAATGATACCTTTCTCTGTTTTTTATTTTTCATTTCACTTCTTTGCTTTAACCAATATTTTCATTTCATTTGTGTCATGAACACAAGCAGTAATAAAATAAGCCTTTTCCTTTGCCCTGGCTTGTATTCTTTTTAATGCTAATGTTATTTTTATCTGCTTTGAGACCCAAAGTTTGTTTGTTCGCCTACAAACAATTGCATTTTTTTCAATTTCTTTTCATCATTGTGTCTATTCCATATATTACTCCTTAAGTTTATTAGTATGAATCAAGTATCCAAACTGAGGTTATTTTTCTAACCATTTTCACCAATTCATTAAGTCTACATGTATGGGTTTTGCATGCATACCACTAATATTGTTGCATGTCTAACATTGCCAGTTGTGTTAAATCGTTTCCATTGTTGAGCACCATTAATGCATCAGGTGTTTTCATGTCTTTTATTTCCTTTAACCTCATAACTCCATGAGATAGTTATTCATTCAATAAATATATTTGATGAGTTATAATATAGTATATGGCAAGTGAGTGTTCCAGTAAAGGTATGTACACATTTTTTTAAGGGATGGAAACTAACTTATATTGAACGTCTGCTGTATTGCTGTATATTCACAGCAACCCTCTGAGTTTAGTACTATCATTATCCTCATTTTAAGATGGGAAATAGTCACAGAACAGTTAGTCAGAGTCACACAAAAGGAGTGAAAATGGGATTTGAAGCCCTGCAGTCTGACTTTAGAGTATGTGGGGTTTTTTTTTTTCTTTTTTTTACTTTTATATTTAATATGGCCTTTTTGCCAGGTTAACAAAGCAGTTACTTTATTTACATTATAGAGAATGGAAAAAAAAGTTAATAAGCACTAGAAAAGAACAAAGCATTATGAAAATGATTAATTTCAATGAATACTGTTTATTAAAGTTATTCACCACATGGCCCATTTTGTTCCTGGAAGCCTTCTATGCTTTTGAAACAGAACATATGTTTCAGGACATTAGCTGTGATTATTTTTGTAGGAGATTTTCTGAAGCTTGATTTGGATGGCCCTCCTTCCTTTCCATTTCTACTTAACCACCCCCCCCACCACCCCACAATAGGACCCCTATATGTGTACATAGGCTCACCCTTAAAAACAAACAAAAAACTTCTAACCCACTTAGTGTTGACATGCCATGCAAAAATCAGTCCAAATACCAGTTTGCTTGTATGCCTTGCGTGTATATTTTTGTAACATTTGTAAAACCATTCATTGTTAATTATGTTAAATTATGAGAACAATAGAGTAAAATACGTTTTTAGGTTTCTATGTAAGTGAATAATTATTTTTAATGTTTGAGTTAATAAGAATACTTTTCTTAATTGTTTATATAACCTCTCTCTGAAGAATATTTTCATGTAATTGCTATAAATAATATTTAAGTCTTTTTCAATGTTATTTCTTTCCCCACTTTTTTTTTTAAATTACTCTGAAGGTATTTGGTAGCCTTAGGCTGCATTAAACCACTTTGTGACCTATTGACTGTTATGGACTCTAAAATAGTCCAGGTGGCTTTAAATGGACTTGAAAATATTTTACGTCTTGGAGAACAAGAATCTAAGCAGAATGGGATGGGTATTAATCCATACTGTGCTCTCATTGAAGAAGCATATGGTAAGCAGTCAGTTAAAAATTTATAATTACAGTCAATTCTTTTTAAAATTAAGGTATAATTAACATATAACATTACACTGGTTTCAAGCGTGTACAACATGACTCAATATTTGTATATACTGTGAAATGATCACCACGATAAGTCTAGTTAACATCTGTCACTATACATAATTATAAAAAATTTTATTCTTGCGATGAGAACTTAAGATTTACTCTCTTGGCAACTTTAAAAAGTACAGTGTTATTAACTATAGTTCCCATTCTGGACATTGTATCTTATGACTTAACTCCTTTATAACTGGAAGTTTGTACCTTTTAGCCCCTTTCACCCATTTCACCCACCCTCCATCCCTGCCTCTGGCAAGCACCTATCTGTTCTCTGTATGTATAACATTTGCTATTAATTTTTATGAATTCTTCATATACTGTGGATATTAATTCCTTGTCAGGTATATGACTTGCAAATATTTTCTCCTGTAGGTTGCCTTTTTATTTGGTTGATGATTTCCTTTGTTGTGCAGAAACTTTTTAGTTTGATGTAGTCCCACTTGTTTATTTTTACCTTTGTTGCATTTGCTTTTGGTGTCAAATACAAAAAATCATTGCCAAGACCAGTGTCAAGCTTATCACCTGTGTTTTCCTCTAGATGTTTTATGTTTTCAAGTCTTATGTTCAAGTCTTTAACCAATTTAGAGTTTTTCTGTATGGTGAAAGACAGTGGTCCAGTTTCATTTTTTTCATGTGGCTGTCCACTTTTCCTAGCACCATTTATTGAAGAGACTGTCCTTCCCTTCACCCCCCTCATTGTGTATTACTGACTTATTTTGTTGTAAATTGATTTACCATATATGTGTGGGTTTGTTTGTGGGCTCTTTGTTCAGTTCTATTGGTTGGTTTTTATGCTGGTACCATACTGTTTTGATTATTATAGCTTTGTAATATAGTTTGAAATAGAGGAGTATGTTCTTTTTTATCAAGATTACTTTGACTACTCTGGATCTTTTGTGGTTTCATACAAAGTTTAGGATTGTTCTATTTCTGTAGAAAATATCATTGGAACTTTTATAGGGATTGCACTGAATTTATACATTTCTTTGGGTAGGTACTATGGACATTTTAACAATATTAATTCTTCCAGTCCATGAGCCCAGAATATCTTTCCGTTTGTGTCTTTCAGTTCTTTCATTATAGTTTTCAGTGTACACATCTTTCACTTCCATGATTAAATTTATTCCTAGATTTTTTTTTTTTTGGATGCAATTACAAAGGTATTATTTTCATAATTCCTTTTTCTAATAGCTTATTAGTGTACAGAAACACAACAGATTTTTGCAAATTGATTTTGTATCCTTAAACCTTACTGAATTTATTGATTAGTTCTAACAGTGTTTTTGGTGGCATCTTTAGGATTTTCTACATATAATATCAAGTCATCTGCAAATAATTGACAATTTTGCTTCTTTTTCTCTGACTTGGACCTCTTTTATTTCTCTTTGGTGCCTAATTGCTCTGGCTAGGACTTCCAGTACTATGTTGAACTAAAGGGGTAAGAATTGGACACCTGTGGCTTATTCCTGGTCTTAGAGGACAATCTTTCAGCTTTTCACTGTTGAGTATGATGTTAGCTATGGGCTTGTCATATGTGGCCTTCATTATTTTGAGGTACTTTTCCTCTATATCCACTTTGTTGAGAGGTAGTCAGTTCTTAATTATCTTCCATAAGCTTTTTTCCCCTCCAATTCCATAAAAATATTGTGTAAAAGTAGTATAATATTTTAAAAAATATTTTTTAAGTTATCCTTTATTACCATAGCAATTTCTTTTCATTATTTGACTTCCTTTTTACTTTGTCATTATGCATAAATACTTTACATTGATATGACTGTAGTGCATATGTAGATTTGTGTTCCACTTTTTAACATTTTGGATAAATTTTATATTTTTACATAATATTTATAACTTTTAATAGCCATCTAATGTTGAGTGAATATTACAGGTTTTAACCATGTTGAGTGAGGTGTTAGCCATGTTTTTGTGGTTTATCACTAGTTTGTTTCCATTTTCTTTACCACTTTACATATGCTAAAATAAGCATCTTTCTGAATATATTTTCTGTTGAAGTAATATCTCGGTATAAATTTTTAGGAATACCATTGCTGAATTTTAGGCACAGACTTCTTTTTAAGCTTTTGGTATATTTTCTAAGTTTTTTTCCTAAAGGCATGTTACTTGACAGCATCATTGGCATTGTATGAATCTAAACCTCGTGTTTTGTTGATTTTGCTGATTTAGCAGATACAAAATGGTATCACCAAGTTACTTTTATGTGTCTGTTTTATTTCATGTAGAAGGTAGTGTGTATTTTCCATGTGTTAGTGTATTTCTTCATCCAAATTACATGTTTACTATACTTAGTTCAACTTATCTCTTGATCTCTTTTTTGTAAAAATTTGAGTTAATTTTTATTTCACAGTTTAATACTTTTCTCCTTTTTTTACCTTTTTATTTTAATAAGGTAAACCATGTTCATTAATGTTTAATAAATGACTTAATCTAATCTTGTATTCCATCAAAGTTCACAAAGTCATTGCCCCTCCGGAGATTTGATGAATTCTGTTTTATTGGCTAGATATTTCTGATTGGATTCTTAAAACATTTAACTCACATAAATCTGTTTTGGGATAAAGCATGAGGCTAAGTTGATTTTTTGCTTTTAATGTATTTCTGTTAACTATTCACTTCTGACCTATTCCATTATATAGCTGATTCAAGCTTTTATTTACAATTCTTAAGCGAAGCCTGGGATATTACTTTGTTTTTATTTTAGAATTATAGTATCTCTAGTTAAGACATTGTATAGTTATATTCATCAGATTTAAGAGTATTTCCTTACTGTGGTCATTATTTTGACCCCAAGTTATAGTTGAGTTTGGACTATTCTATGATTGTATATAGATATGACTCCTTTGCTAATTCTTTCTATTATGCAATAATATAATTAAAGAAGATTATCTGTAATTAAAACTATTTTCAGCATCACTGTTTTTCCTGTGAGATACAGATTCTCCTATCAAAATGGACTTTTTCAGTTTCATTTATAAGTTGTGCTTTTTGTAAATGATATGGCAGTTATGTTGTATTTGCGAATAGTACTCATTTATTACATATTGATATTCCCTGGCTCATGATAAGGGAATGTGTGTGTTAGGTTACACATGTTTTACTTTTTCCATTCATTTTTGTTTTGTTGCTTTCCCTTTTTGTGCTTTTTATTTAGCATAATTACTCTGGAAAGAACCTGTGGAGTTACTTAATCTAAAACTGTCACTTACGATGTGGGGATTTCTGGAAGTGGTGAGGGGTGCTGAATGGAGGTGTGGGAAGAGGGGGAAAAACTAGAACTCTTAACGGCATAAACAATGCAGTATAATTTAAAAAAATAAAAATAAATATAAAGCAAAACATCAATAACAGAATGAAATATTAAATTCAAATAAAAATGTTTAAAAAAATAAAGTGGTTGGGCCAGTGGGGGCAAAAAGGAATAAAAAACAAAATTGGGAAGCTAAAGTATAAAGGAACAAAAGTTATTTGGGCAAAATCGCACAGCTTAGCAGAGTAGAGTCTATGATCTTACCCCCGGCCTGTGCTACTTCCTCTTACCAGAATGCCCCACACACTCATTTCTGAAGTAAAAGACATCAGTGTTAGCTACAGTTTGTGCAAAAATTAGATAAAAATAACAGTCCCATTGCCAGTGGACTGATGGATGCTATTGATGCATTATTTTGATTTAAATACATGTTGAAACTTGAATAACAATTTTTATATATACGTTTTGAATAATAGGTCTAGATAAAATTGAATTTCTGCAAAGCCATGAAAATCAAGAAATTTACCAAAAGGCTTTTGATCTGATTGAACATTACTTTGGTGTAGAAGACGACGACCCCAGCATTGTACCTCAGGTGGATGAAAACCAACAACAGTTTGTCTTTCAGCAGCAGGAAGCACCAATGGAAGGGTTTCAACTTTAGCTTTGTGGAGGAAAAAATTCACGGATAAAAAGTGTAGTTTCAGATATCTCCTCTTTGTTACTGTGTCAGTAGGAAAGTTTGATGTGTCTTTATGTAGAACAGAAAAGAAAGAAGTTGATGCACTTTTAAAAGCAAAACAAAAGTTTCCATTCAGCTGCAATCTTTCAGTATAGTTTTGTTTTTTATTTTGATGTGCCTGTATTTGTCTTTTATTGTTTTATCTATCTCTTAATCTATTTATGAACAATTAAATACATTGTGAAATTATTTATTAACTTAAGCTTGAAAAGGAGAACTTTGGTAAAGTATTACATATGGTTCAGAACTTTTTCTAGCATTTTTGGAAACTGCATACTAGCAGTACAGATATTTATAATTGTATTCTGGCAGTTAGTCTGACGGGCCCAATCTCTACTAAATCTACCTCTATCTTGAAGCAAAAACAAAACAGAAAAGCTTCCGAAGCAATGAATAGTGTAAAAGCTAAATTAGAATGTGAAAATAATCTATGACCTTACATTATAAATCACTGTGCTGTAGGTTATACTTTGCAAAAAAAAAAATTACAACAAAAAAATGCTATAAAGTTTATTTATAAAACAGAGAAGAAGTACTGATAATCAATTAAAATGTGGCAATTGTGAAGAGAAAAGTCATTCTTCATATTGAACACATTAAAATGATTATACAACATTAAATATTTGCATTTTTAACATATAAATGCTATTATATTAGTATATTTTGTAATTTCACCAAATGTGCTACCATTTTTGAAATAGTTTTATAATTTTTCACTCATTTTAAAAAGCATCATTTTAAAGGATGCCATCATGAATCTAACGTAGTGCTGCATAGCAAAAATAATACTGTAATTCTTTCTCTGATTTTTCAGAGCAGTAATTGAAAGGTTTTGTTTTCTGTTTACTGAATAATTTAGGTACTTGAATGGCAAAATTATCCTGAAGAAGTCAACTATGATGTGCTAAAGTCTATTAAATATACTTAATGTTTGGACACTAAAAGATGATATTAATGAAAATTGCTAAGGATTCTTTCATATGGTTGAAATCTCTATTAGGAATTTTTTTGGTAATACTTAGAGCGTCATTCTGCTGTTAACCAATCAGTACATTAAATTACATTTGTATCAGATTGGTCAATATAATGTATGTGTTTTATGTATTAAAGGCAAAACCTCTTCAAACTGAAACTTTAAAAAAAGTTTCAATAGGAAAATTACATATTTATTTATGGATACGTGTGTGTGTTATTTTCACAGTACTATACTTGGTAGAGTTTTCTAAGCAGAAATGGTACTGTTGAACTCTGTCTTTTCATTCATAGTTATATGCAGGCTATTTACATTTCCAATTATATAATTAAAATAGTTATTTAAAAATTAGTTTACAACTGTTTTAAGATGGAAACTAAAGCATTTTTGGTATGATTCATAGTCTATTCTGTAAAGAAAGGTTTCATTTATGATAGCATTTATAATGTTTCTGCTGGAAATCAGAGGCATGTTACAAGGAGAAAATGTATATATGAGTACTTTTAAATAGTATGACACCTTGTAAATTATATATCATGAAACTGAGCTTTTGGCAAGACACTTAAAACCTACAGCTATAAAATACAGGTTTAACTGGTGTCCATAATGCTGACTGTATCTGCCAAACCTCTTTTATATTAAGTAAAGGATTGTATCTGTGCCCTTTCATTGTAGTAGAAATTATGAAGTTTAGCATAAAAGGTTTCTTTTGCACTATGTATGTTCAAAAGAACAGGGTGGCTATATTAAAGATTAGCAAATTGATGGTGAATTTATCAGATAAACACTTTTTTTGTGGTATAGGTGATTCTAAGTAGGAGGTGACAGGGTATTCCACTCTTTCTATTCAATTGAACTTAATAATGCAGCATAATTCATAAACTAGCCAGCTGTGCCTGCTCTTGAGGACCCTGTAGTCACATTAACAAATCTCTAAGCCACGTCTTTCAAACAAATAGTTCTCATAGATGAAAAAATAATAATGTGTTTGTGCACATGCACACACGTATAATGATCTGTAAGGGTAAGATTTTTAAATTTTTGCCAGTAAAATAAAAATTATATCTCTAAGTATAGATATGACCGTATTTTAAGCAAATATAAAATATTTAATTTCATGGATCTGTTACTTGGGTAATTAAATTGATTAGATTTGAATGAAAGGGACAATAATAATTGGGATCAGCTATGGACGTGGTGATTATTGAAACAAGACTAGCAAATATTCTGTTATTAAAAATTTTTTTCAATGTGACTACTTTCAAATGTACTATTTAAAATTATGCTCCAAAATGTGTTTTCATTAATCTTCCCCACTGAGCCTTGTGGGGGAAAAATGTTTTTAACTTGCTCTCTTAAGATTCATTATATTTAAATCCAAGAGAAACTGTGCCAAAAAAAAAAATCAAAAATTAAAACATGCTAAGGGGAACACATGCAACATTAATGCAGAAATCAGGAAAATACTTGAAAGAGTCCTTTACATTTATTCAAGTAAATTTAGTGTTTTATTTTGTCTGAATTTGAATTTTTACTAGTTAATCTATGCAATGTGCTAACGTGTGTTATATTTGTAACTGTTTTATCTGTAAGTCTTATTTTGAAAGATGTTCCTAGGACTTAATTCTTCGTGTCATTTTGTTCACTAGTACTGGTAGCACCAGAACAAGAAAGCAAAAAATAATAATAGTAAAATTTGCTGGCACAGAAATAACATATCATTTGGAAACTGTAAAACCTATTTGCAGTTAAAGCTTGATTTGTTTGATAAAAGACTAAAAGAAGCATTACCTTTGTCTTCATAGTTTTCTTCTCTTAAGGAGCATTATGGAAAAAGTAACTATAATACAAAGTCTTAATGGATTTTTGTTGCTTTTCTAAATTCAGCAATCTACCAGCTGCTTTGTGAAACTGAAATCTAAGTATTGTTAACCTTTACTCATTTTAGCTCACAGCATTACTGTTTTATTTAATGTGACATATAGGAAGCCAACATGATAGGTAGGGCTCTAAAAGGATAATGCATCTTTAAGTTCTGGTTGGGGAGTGGGATGGGGGGAATATTGTTGCCTAACTAAATAAACCAACATTTGAGCAGTATGCAATATTATGAAATGTTACAGCACTCTATTAAAAATAATAAAATACTATTTTACAATTGCATTTATATGTGTGTGTTTCACTTATTCTCAGATTATATGTATATTACTAGCAGAGCAAAAACAGATATCCTCATTAAAATTCCATCCACTTTCTAAAACCAGTAAGACTCTTGTTTGTAGCACATCTACTTGAAACAGTATGTTGCTTATATTTTAGAATCTTTATATTTTGCTATAATAGGGAAAATGTCTAATTTACCTATGTATCTCAAGCCTTGGCAATTAGTGGACATTCATACCTTTTAATTGAGATCACTTTTTTTTCTGTTACTTAATGCAGCACAATGCATTTATTTAAGGAATAGAGTTTTACACCCACTAAATAGAAATCAGAGTGTTTAACTTTCTTAATGTACTTTGGAACATAAGGTCACACAGTAGCCAAGCCTAAGTCAGCCCTCCTAACCTGGTGCTTTTATCTGCTTTCACCACCACGTCTTTTTGTTTTGGCTGGCTTCACTCCCTTCAGTAATTGAAACTATCTTAATCACAGAGTAGTGAAAGTAATTGGATCAGTTATTTTCAGGATTCAGTGTTCCCAGTAAGGAAGTCTGCAATTTTAGTGGCAGGTGAATTACTAAAAACGTATGAAAATATAATGTACAGGTCAATAAATAGACTTCATTATGCAGTGGAGTTCAATTTCCCAGAAATCCCTAAGTATACCCTTTGGTACGTTCCCACAGAGCCACTGGCTAGGGCATAGATAACTGCCCAGATTTGGAATTTCAGGGTCATAGGGTAGTTCATTTTTTAACTTTTTTGAGGAACCTCCATACTGTTTTTCCATAGTGACCAAGGACTCCCTTTTCTCCACATCCTAACCAACACTTAATCATTGACTTTTAGTAATAGCCATTCTGAGCAAACATTTCTTTAAACATTTTAATGAGGTATGTCTTCAGTCCTCACAATGGCATTGCCAGACAGTCATATTACCTCCTTACAATACATACATTTATGGACAGTATCAGTACCCACTCCACCATCAACCACTGAACCTTTGACATCCTGGCTCCATGAAGTTATGCCTTCCAAACCCAGGTTCCACTATTATAACCAAGGCTGTCTCGATCTGACTAGCCAATGGTGCCAAATGCTCACCTATAGCTCCTGATTAGATGGCAAGATCAACTTCATCTTGCTCTCACAACCGCCTTTTATCGAAGCCCTGGATTCTCACCACCCTTGAGGTTAAAGGTATACTGACTGTTTTCTGATAACAGCCATTGGCTTTACTCACTGTTGCAGCCTAGACACATTCCTGTGTACATCCAAGTCTAGCTGCCTGTGGAGCTTTCTACCACAGGCTGACTATAGGTGATGCTGGGAACAAAATGCATCCAAGTGCAGAAAACCCTTGAGTCTAGCTTCTATGGACTCAGCCCCTAATTTCCCAGATTGCTGTGAAGGGTGCACAGGCCAATTTTGCAGCTGGATACCATGGTACTGGTTACCATGAAGATGATGCCTTTTGATGAACTGAATCTTTTACCAATATGTTGTGATCCTCCATGTCTTGTAATTCATTTTCTCTTAAAGTTTATTTCACTTGATGTTAATATAGCTACTGTAGCAATATTGTGCTTAAGAATTAATTGCTGTATCTTCATTTTATTTTCAACTTATTCTATTTTAGTTGTGTACTTTGTATGCAGAATATTATTATTTTTAATACATACTAAGTATTTTTATATTACTAGAATTTGTTTTATTCTTCTGACATCTGGAGTCATTTTGACTATATTGTCCTATTTCTCCTGTTTTTTTCCTTTTCTTTCCTTTCTTGGCTTTTGACTAATTTTATTTATTTTTTTAACAATCTCGACTTGTTTGAAAGTTCCTATTTTTTCTAGGTTTCCCTAGGAATTTTAACATACATATTGAACTTAACAAAATCTCAAGTTGATACCTTTACCTTCCTCTCAATGAATACAAGAATCTTACTACTCTACAACTTACATGCTATGTATTTTTTCTGACCCAGAAGTTAGATACTTTTAGAGTATACAGTCAATGTTTATTTTCACCATTTTTTTTTCACTTGAATCTAACCATTCACTTCTCTCTCTCTCTCTTCATATGTACATAAAAAAGTTTCTTCTACTGGTTCTGTTTCTGTGGTAGAACCCTAACTGATACAGGCACACCATGGTTACCACCACATCTTCAGTCCTGCAACAGTTTAAGTTTTCTGGGACTCTGGCTTCATATGGATAGCCATCCTCTCAGATTTTACAGGCCTCATGTTTTTGTCTGTTCTTCCTAGCATGTGACCCCTTAGGATAGCCAGATGTCTGCTTGGCAAAAAGCAGCCAGCCTTATATTGGTTTAATACCCTAGACTTTTGCTTTCTTACTATCTAAAGCAAGGATCTTCCTTCTTTTCCCAACAGTTCAGTCAAGTGTTTTAAAAAAATGCTCTAAAAGTTACTTTATTCAGAATTTTTAGTTCAATACTAAATGACTTCTCTGGACATTTAATTTTCCATCTAATCAGAAATGGAAACAATCACTTATTTTTATAAACATTTTTTTTGTGTGTTTTTCTGTAACATTTAGAATGTCCCAGGAGTCTTTAAGCAGGATGCACAAAAAGACTTTCAAGGAAGCATACAGAGTAAGATATTTTTAAGAGAATTGATTTCCAGATTTTTAAACTCTACATATACTCTTTCCTAAACTGATTTGTCTGAGAAAAGACTGTAGTGTGCTGGTCCTTTCTCACCTCTTTTCATAATCAACTTTGTATTTTTGTGCCAAAAGGAAGCGGGGGAAGGGGAGAGAGAAGGGAGGGGAGAGGAGGAGGAGAGAATGGAGAAGGGAAGGGAAATGAAGAAAGAAAGGGTATGTGTCATCCATTCTGAGTCACTCATGCTTTTCTCTGTGTTGCAGAAAACTTCTGGGTGACAAAATGGATAGTTCAGCAATGGATAGTTGCTGAGACAGAGTTCCATGAGGGCAAAGAAAAGAGAGCTGATGTGTGAAAAGCTAAAGTAGCCAATGCCTTGGTTCATCCAAGGAGTGGACTCAAAAATGCTTCCTGCCTTCTCTCTCTATCCTAGAGTTGAATTCAGAAGTGAGAATATCATCACAAAAATGTGTATTAACATTTTCATTTCCAAATCAGAGACTTTTTCTAACAAAGTATAAGTTTAACTTGGCTCATTAGTTTGACAACAAGGGCTGGACTTTTCCTTAAAATTACAAAGCAGATACCCTCCATAAAGTGAGTGAGCTATGCCACTTCAAGGTTATGATGGAAAATATATGCAAGGTACATTTAATACATAATAAGCTGGAAATTATGCTATTTCCACTACTTACAGTTATGATTTAAAAATTATAAAGATGTCATACATATGCAATTTATATACTGTTTTAAACCAATGTTATCCCAATAAATTTAATTAAAAATACAGGTGCTAAATTAAAAATGCAAAAGGAGAAGAGACATAATTTTAAAAGGTGTTTTAGGACTTACTCAAACAAGTATGAAGACCACTGACCCCATTTTTCTTTCTTTAATGTTTGTCTTTTTAAAATTCCTTTTATAAGTGCTGTCTTAGTACTTTCATAAAATAGATTTTGAAATGAATAGTTCTTGGTTTATAAGAATTTTTAAACCTGTTCCACCTAGTTGCAAACTATAAAAAGGATAATTAGAAGGACTATTCAATTACTAATACAGTAGAACTTTGGTTCAAAAATTAGATTTCAAAGACCCCTTATTGATTTTAGTTCAACAGCATTTTAATGACATACACAGAGTGTTCGTTTTAGCATTCTCTGTAATGACCAAAAACCGGACTGAATAGCCAGATAAATTGTGACATATTCATACAATGGCATATTCTAACACTGAAAGTAAATGAATTCATGCTACACATAATTTGTGGATAGACCTCACAACATAATTTTGAGTACAAGAATCTACACTCACAAGTGCATACTGTGTAATTCCATTTATATAAAATTCAAAAACTAATGTGATAAAATTCACAACGGTGTTTACCTTTGGAAGGCAATGAGTGGCAGAGGGCAAAGAGGAGGTTTCTGAAGTGCTGCTGATGTCCTGCGTTTTGACCGGGGCAGTGGTTACGCAGGTGTGCTCGCTCTGTGAAATCTATTTATTGTGTCCTTGTCTGAATGTATGTTTCAATAAAAGTTTACTAAAAAGTAAAAATAGAGTGCTTCTCTGTGCTTCTTGTCACTTTAAAAATGCTATGGCAAATATTTTGTTAAATATTCTATTTTACCTATCTTTTATTGTTGCTTATAATAGTGATGATATTCTGATCAACTCTTCCTCACTTAGAGTATCATTTGGCCTTAGCCTGCGCAGCCAATGCAGCTTCTTCACGCCACTTAGCTTTCTTTGCCAGGTTCCAACTTGTTAAAGATTCATGTCTTTCTACAGCCTGCAAAAGGAAAAAAGAGCATTGTAACTCTTGAGGAAAAATTTGTGTTTTAGGTAGAGATATATATATATATATATATATATATATATATATATATATATATATAAAATATGAGATTCTGTGAAAAAGAGAAAAGTAATTTAAAACATCACAAATAGTATCCAAGAAAATGATCCTTTGGTATAGAAAAAAATGCTTCAGTTGCTAGACTTCCAGTCAACAGGGCAGCTGATATCAGAAATCTGCCCCACCCTCTCTTGGCACACACAGATATCATTGTTGGGAAAAAAAGTAACAAAAATATTAGCTCAAAATAAATAAAGGAAATCCTCAGGTATGAGAAATGAAAAGAGCTCAAAAGGCATGAACTGATGAGGAATGAGAAAGATTCAAGCCAGGACAGAAAGAAATGGATTCATTTTGGGAGCATCAGGAAAAGGTACTGGTTTTAACAGCAGTGGTCCGGGACTTCCGCCTCCATACCAACAGCCATGCCCAGGATTTGGGTCTTGGGCAGAGAGTTGAGCTACCAATAAAAAGTTGGAAGTATTAGGAAAAGGTACCCCTACAAAATTTTTAAACTTCTCTCATCAGCCACAGGAACTATTGAAGAAAATAAGCATTTACCTGAGAGAAAAAAATCATCTGTGGAAAGAAAAGATAATTAGTATCATAATTAGTAAGAACTCTAGCTACAAAATAGATCTGAGGAAGTAATCTAAATGCAGCACAAAGATAAAGATACAAAAAAATAGAAAAGAGAAGTTAAGATACACGGAGAATAAAATTAGAAGTTGACACATACATTCATAATAGGTGGAGAGAGAATAGATATACTGGGGGAAGAGGCTATATTTAAAGTTACGACAGGGAAGGGGAAAGTCAAGGAACATATAGCAAGGACTCATGGACAAAACCAAAGGGGAAGAGCTGAGGGAGGGAAGGTGGGAGGGGGCAAGGGAAAGAGGTGGGGGGAAGGCAGAGACAAATGTATTTAAAAAGTAAATAAATTAATTAAAAAATAAAAAAATAAAAAATAAAAAAAAATAAAGTTACGACAGCTTAGACTTTTTCAGAAGGGAAGGTATATGAGGGGGGACCCAAAAAACGAATTTATAAAAAAATGTGTATTTATTCTTACATGTTTAAGCCAAAGAACTCTCCTTTTGATGCAATACACTATCAAGATACTTTTTCCACTACTCAAAACAGTTTTTGATCTTGTCGATGTTGATGCTTTTTAGTGCTTCTGCTGTTTTTTCTTTCATCTCTTCCACATTGGCAAAATGTTTCTCTTTGAGAACTTTTTCCATCCAGGGAAACAAAAAAAAGTCACTTGGGGCGAGAAGAGGTGAATAGAGAGGGTGGAGCATGGGGGGTCATGCAGTTTTTGGTCAAAATTGCTGAACACTCAGCACAGTGTGGGTAGGTGCACTCGTAAATCACCCGTCATGAGACGGGCAAATGCTTTGAAAGACTCTTCAAAAAAAGTTCACTGAAGCTGAATGCAGCCTCTCACAACACCAGCTGGTACATTGACACAGAAGGGTTCCTAGAACACTCACCTTGAAGGGAAGACTGTACTACAAGGGGTCTGCCCTCCAGAAGATAATTCTGATTTTTTGGGGGGGTTCCCCCTCATAGGTTCTCAGATTAAAGAGCATACAATGTCCTTAGAAGAATAAACAAAAGTTTGACATCGGTGGCTAATAAATACACATCTCACAGTTAATATATATGAAATAGAAGGCCATCATGCCTACCAGTCCTTTCTCCAGGCTTACCTCAGTAATGGCACCATCATCCATCTGGATGTTCAAGTCAAAACCCCACGCTTTTGGGTTTCTTTGTTCTGTTTTCACACCTCTTCTCATTTTGAATTCATCACAAAGTTCTATTCTTTGGGCTTCCCCAAGTATATTTTAGATTTCTAACCTTTCTCCACCTCCATCTGCCACAATCTCAGGCAACGTACTTGCATTAATGACTCAATAAAAGGTGAATTGGAGAAAGGCAAGAAGGACAGCAGTGAGACCATTGTAGATGATACTGCAATGAACCAGACAACAGACCAGGGAGATATCAGGAGAGATGGTGAGGACTGGTCCAAATGTGGATATGTTTTACAATAGAACCAACAGGATCGATAATGTGTCATAACTTCTCATAAATGGCTGGAAAGATGATAAAATAGTGAGTACCTGGGAGAGGCCATTATAGATGGGGTGGTTAGTAAAGCTTTCTCAAAAGAGAATGAGAAGAGGCCATGTATGGCAGGAACAAGGAAAGGAAGGAAAGCCTAGAGAGTAAGAAGAGTTTGGTGCATTAAAAAATGGAAAAGAACCAGTGTGATGATACACAATGAACAAAGAGAACATGGTATGAAACAGGGAGGGTCCAGACTGTAACAGGCTTCAATCTGTCTTTTAAGAGTTAGAAAACCATCAACTTGGTGGGCAGTCATTTTATGTAGGGTAGGTAAAAAACAAGAAATGATCAAATTTCTTTATTTCTATGCTTAAATGTTCAACCCATCAAATATTTAAGAAATTTTCCATTTGATGAGAATAATTTCAAAGCATAAGTCCTTCACCAAGATAATGGAAATAAATGGACATGTACATAGCATCAGTAAGCTTAGAGGCCCTAGTGCATATGTGAATTATTGGGCTCAAATGCTCTTGAAAACCTGGGACATGAAGAAGAGCAGATGATGGGAGTAGGCAAAATTACCATTCTAAATTACCATTCTCTCGGCATCAGCCCAGAGAATTAAGATGTATGGACCCAAGCAAACTATTCTGTGTCTGCAGCTGTCAAAACTTAGTTCCAACTCTTACTGCACTACTAAAACACTATATTCATAAACAAGAAAATTACAATCATACTCTAATGGGCTTAGTTGCAGGTGCTACAATGAATATAGATGCTAATAAACTGGAGTGTGTCCAGAGGAGAGCTTCAAATAGAGGAACGTTTTTAAGGATAGAGTAATTAAGACTAGAGAAGACTCATAGGGATGTATTAGACGTCTCCCAATGTGTGTGGGGCTGCTATTCATGCTAAAAAGTAAAAGCAGATGAAAGGATTTGGGGAAGCAAGAAATAAAATTAGAGAAAAATTAGTGAGCTCTTAATTTCTCTCTAGAAACCACATATTAAAGATAGCAAGAAAAGAGCTTAAATACAGGATACAGAAAAATTAGTCAGTCTTGGTAATTACTTACAACTTTTGCATTTCATGATCTTATGCAATAGCTAATTAAGTTTATAATTTAAGGAATGATTTAGTCTGGATAACTTCCATACAGCAAAGGCCTTCTTGTGCAGATTTTTAATCAGGTAATATATTGTTCTGTTTTTTTGTTTTTGCTTATGTTACAAATGGAAACAAGCTTTTGTCCCTCCTGCTCCTATAGTTAATTAACTGACTCAAATTTCCATGAACAAGTTTATTTCTAGTGTAAATAGATACATGTGGGTGGCACAAGGTGTCTAAGACAAAATCGTTCTTACGTTGGAAGAACAGGTCCCTAAATTGACAAAGCTCATAATATTTCTGAAAATTCACTTCTATTGTTTCCAATGATCCCAAGTGAAAACATACTGTACTTCTGTCTTTTATTTCAAAGTCTATCTTTATTTTAAAGAAGTACTCACCCTTTTGGCTGATGCTATCACTGCAAAGCAGGCGATAATTGTGAGTCCAATCATTATATAACAAGCTTTCACTCGAGCTTTGTTTCTTGCAGCATCTATCATTTCTGGCCTAAATCAAGACACGTATTCTGTTAATTATATTAAAGCATGATGACTTTCAGACTAGCATAATAGACAATGATTTATAATGTAAATATTTCAAAAACTTCCCTGAATGGAAATTGCAGATGTGAAAGACCTCCAAATGCTAGGTCATTATCTTACCAATTTCAAATTAACAACTATTTGTTTTGGTGTTTACTAATGTTAGCCACTGCGAAACCACAATGTAAGTATTTAGTTTCTAATTGCTCAAAACAGGACAACTAGAGATTATGGCCTGACTCTCCATCCTTTTTTTCTTTTTTTTTCACTGATTGGGGAGTAAAAGTAAGAATTAAAGCCTCCCTATGTCTATGACTCATGTTCCTTTGGTCCTTGTGTTATTAAGTGGCCTCTGTTTTTATTTTTAAACAGGTTGTTCTTTTAATTTCATTTTCATCCTTTTGTTTTTTATTGGCTTCCCAATCTCTTCTCGCCACCTCCCCTCACATCCCAATTAAAGAGGCTATTTTACATTTTGTGAGGATGACTATTTTATGCTGTTATAATACATGGTATATTTTTATATTTTTATGAGAATAACTATTGAGAAAAGGTGTTCATGGTTTTTGCGTGAAGTTTTCAAAAGAAATGATTAAAATCACAACAGTTCATCAAAAAGAAAAGATTACTTAATTTTCTTATTATTATTCTGAATTTTTATATGCTTACTTGAAAATTGGGTAGTCTTATTCATTAATAAAGTTATATGCAGGTTGTCCAAAATTTTAGATATACTACTTATAAAGCAGTGTTATAAAAGTACTTATGCCTATAGGCTTTTTATTTTGAAATCAACTTTAACAATTTGCAATGACATGAAGTAGCAGTTTATAAATACACATATTTAAAAAGTGATTCTTGAGAATGTATTCGGCAGTATTCTTTCTTATTTAATGTCAAGTTTAAATAAAATTCAGTTACATTAAAAAATTCCATAAAGACAAGTTGCAATTTCTCTTAAAAATGAAAAACTTTTCTACCAGTTGAAAGAGCACAGAAAACCAGTATCTAGCCTGTTTTCCTAGATTTTAGGCAGATTAATGTAAATTTTAAGATGTTAATTGCAAACAGGTGAATATGAAGACATTATTAGATTATATTTGTTGTTGGCTTTTGTTCCAGATGGAACCTAAAAGATCTGATCTTTTTTACCCATCCATCTGGCTTTGATCTGCCATACCAAATTAGTTTAGCACTGAAAGGACAAATAAAAGAACAGTTATTATTAAATATCATTAATGGCTGTTACAAAAATTATAGGTCCCTTGGTAATTATATGTCCTTTAAGAGCATAAAAAGTGTTTACACCGTACATCTAACACTTAGCATAGAAGGCATACCCCTCCTAGGTAATAATGCTTTTAAAAAATTATACAAAATAAAAAAATGAAAAGTATTCAAATACTTTCATGTTTCCAACACAAACTATAATACTTTTCATAATATCTTGTTCTAAGTTAAATTTCCCTGTTTGGTGTTGCAGGGCAAAATGGGCATATGAGAACTAAGCGATAATAAAAATAACAAACAAACAAACACATAAATAAATACTGGAAGTTTAAAAAATAAAAATAAAGAAAAAAGAAAAACTTCCCTGTTTACAACTTTTTACTCTGATCCTGAGGAAATTAAATTATTTCTATAAAATGAGTCTCTTCATACATACAGCTATGTTAATGCAATAGTGGGCCTAGTGTCTCTTTTTAAATTAAGTAAAATGAAATTAAATCCCCCCTCCCCCCATACCATTTATCCCCTCTATCCCCTCTTCCACCTCCAGGACCTAATGTCTCTTGACATGCATTAATTTCCAGTAATGCTGGTTCTTTACATTCTTGAATACTTTGTTACAGCACTAGAATTCAAAATCCAAAAAAAATTGGGGGATGATGTTTTATCTTGCTGAGGCTAATTTCTGCTTTGGGCTGTCTGCAGTTTGGAATGTACAGCTCTCAAAGAAAGGAAAATTTGTTTTATAATATTAAAAAAAGTCTGTGGATGAATAAATGCTGAAAACACATTTCAAGTCCCACGTTTATTTCAAATTTTATATCTATTCTTCATTGAATAATTTGATCCAAGAAAGGAATAAATGTTTGGGAATTCATCATTGAGTGAACATTTCCTACCATGTTTTTTTTCATTGAATTAAGATACTTTTGGTAACTTTTAAGTTAATAAGCAATGCAAGTGTAGGTAATATGTGCAGAACAAGATGTGGGCCCAGGTTTCATGACCTATTCTAACAGGCACAGAATATATTATATAAAGATAATAGACAGAACACCTTAAGTTCTTCTTTGGTATTATAGTTCTAGTCTATATTTAAAATCAGTTTTAAGAGTATTAGATTGATTTTTTTTTCTTAGTTTCCTTCCATTTTTACCCACTCTCTTGTAAAAATGCTGGGACATTTTGGGGGGAGCTTTGCATAAACTGAAATGCTGAAAGAATAATTTGTACAGGTTACACTTATGTTACATTTACCCTGGAGGTGGAAGTTGTCAGCTTGTTTTATCATTTATAGAACCTTTTCGGGGCCATTTGGGATGGTGAAGAAGCCAGCGATGCTCGGGTCCCAACCCGACTAAATTCGGTGCTCGGAAGGCTGTAGAGCCACCACGTACGCCAGGCCTCCCCCACCCGAAAAAGGTCGCGCGGATGCTGCTCCTTCCCAGAGATTTTCCAGCCGACGCAGGGGCTACCGTCCTTCCTTCGTGGCTGAGCTGCCAGCCGCCCCGCCCCTGGGCGCGCCCTATAGCCAACTGGGCGCACGCGAACACCGCGCCTTCGGTTCGGTCTGAAAGCTCCACCGCCTCGTGGCTGAGAGTTCCGTGGGGGCGGGTGTCTGAGCCTTGTGGGAAGTGATCACTGAACTTCTGGGTTTTCACCCAATTTCAGCAATCTCCCTTTAAACTGAGCTGTCCACTGTTCAGTTGGGGAACTTTATATTCACCCGACTGGGTGGGGGTGAGGAGGCGTAGGTAAATTCCTTAAGGTCGTAGATGTTATTGTAAAGCACTGTGTGGCACTAAAGCGGCCTCCGTTCCAGGGTGAGCCCAGGTTCGGTAGGTTGTGGATGGACCCCACACCCCTCGAAGCCCGGGCCCGTCCCTATCGAGAGCGCGAACCTAGGATCGTGGCACAGGGCACACTTACGGGATTCGAGAGGGGATGTCCTCCATCGCTTTGAAACGCCCGGTCCACAGCAGGATCTTCTTGTCGAATTGGGAAGGCTTGTGCTCGGCGGGGACCTTATGAACCTTCCCTGCTGCGAAAGCGTCAGGGATGGGAGGTGGAACCGAAAGAGCCACCGCACGGCAGATCAGCACGCGCTCAGGCCAGGATCCCCCAAGCCCGGCTCCTCGCCCGCCCTGCCGCAGCCCTCTATCCACCCCTGACTCACCGGGACCCTGAGGCCCAGAACCGCTGGGGGTCCCGCTGCTGGAGTAACGGAGGAGACCCTGGGAACTGGGAGCCGCGACCCGCCGTCGTGGGGCTTCTCGAGGAGCCCACGGGGCGCAGCGGAAGGTGCGCCCCGGGAGGAGGCGCAGGAGACTCCCGACGGCCGCCAGCATCCTGAGCCCTGCTCCCGCGCCTGCAGCCCCGGGTCGAGCCAGAGCGCGAGCTCCCCGCACCCCTGTCCCAGCCCGCAGCTCTCCCAGGGGAGCTGGGATGTGCATCTGGAGCCTCTGACGCACGTACAGTCGGCTCGCGGTCCCCGCCCCCGGCCGGCGACCCGGGACCAGGGCGTCCGGACTCTAAGCACCGATTCCCTCTGCAGGCTGGGCCCAGGGAGCGGCCTGCCTCTGCTTGAAAAGTCTCAGCAGAGACTCACCATCTCTTGAGATAATTCTTTGCAGCTCATTTCAAAGGCATGTATTTCTTTGTATCGAATAGAAACGTGTTTCCATCAGGCTTTCACCCTTTGTTTCCACTTCTTGGTGTACGAAGAATAAATCTAAACTCAAGTGCAGGACACTGCAAATGTTTACCAATTGTATGGACAGTCAACAAACTTCTGATTTTGAAATATTTTCCTTACCACCCCCGCCCCCCTGTTGTCTCTTTTCTAGGCAACACAACCTCAGCTATTCCAACTGCTTTTCTCCACCTTTTCATTTGTTAATAAGACCACAAACTCTCCAAACTTTCTTCAAAATGAGCCTATCTTTTGCCTTCCACCATCTTCCCTCTTCAAAGAACAGGGAGTATCTATCAGCTGGTCTCCAGTGTCTAAATGGGAACAGGGACTCAGAAAAAGGGCTTGTAGGAAAACTGTCTCTGCTGAAGGAATTTACTTACTTTACTTACTCCTGTTCCAGGGATGACAGACCCCAGCCAGGTGGGAGTGCTCTGGGGACCCAGACCAGGCCCAGCCTGCCCTTCTCTTGTTCCCTTGTCTCTGAGATTCCTTCTACACCTAGACATTGCCTTATTCTTTCACTTGAATCTCCAGATATGCATTCCTGCGCCCGCGCCCCCCACCCCCAACTACACTGTCAGGCTATTGAAGGCAAGATCTCTGTACCTCTAAGTGTCTTTCACAAAATGATGTTTAATGAGAGAAGACAAAGCCATACCCTGTAAAGAAATGTGCATTTAGAGGAGTCATTGCAGAAAAAACAGGGACTTTGTCTTCCTACCAAGATTTAAACTCCTGATTTGTGACTTGAGTTGCACAGTCATGAGCAAATCATTTGAGTCATCAGTCTTGGTCTCATTTGTAAAACAAGGATTTCTATCTCTCAAGTTCAATGCAATGACTACAAAAAATCTTACTATGTGCCAGCTACTTCTCAGAGCTGTACAGAACAGTGAACAATGCCAAGTGGAGATTAGTAGAGGAGGAAAAAAAAATAAACTGGATTAAGAAAACCTAAGCAGGGGCAGGGTGGAAGCTAGTTAGAAAGGCTGGTTAGGAGGAATACCCCTCTGAAATGTTCCTGATACGAAACAGCCCTTCAAAAAACGTTATAGTTTCTTTCCTTTCACATTTTGTTTGTTTAAGTACTCCCAAAACACAAGGGCATTTTAATTTGTGAAATCTTTTGTAGGGAATTGTAGGAGACTAAGCTCCCTGACTCTAAGGATTCCCTGGGATGTAGCTGAAAAATTGGCATTTAGTAAATAGTTAATTTGCTAAATAAACTGATACATGAATGTAAGTCATCAATAGTAAAATAAAATAGACTTTCTCTGGGCTAGTTTCTGAAAAGACTGAAACACTTGAGGATGTGCAGCACAATGACCGGAGTGAATGCCTGCCTGACAAAGAATGCTGCCATGCGTACTATTTGATTGTTTCAGGAATGTGCTCCTTAACAATTCTCCCTTTATTAAAATGTGTAATTTTTTCTTTTAATATTTTATTTTTCTTCATGTCACTGAAAAAAAAATATCCATACAGCTAGAAGAAAACATCTCTGCAAAACAGCCAATCATTAATAATTCACCAAGGCATATTAAACTAGCTAAATAAATTTATTTCCCTGGAGAGATCCAAATGTCAGGCATCTACACGTGATTTTCTTTCTCACGTTTCTCCAGCATTGGAGAAGTACAGGCAAGAGAATAAGGGCTTAAGTCATGAGAGAAAGGACGATTTACATTCTAGTCCCTATTCCTGGTGGGATTAAAATATCACTATTTGGCAGTGATCTACTTTTAAAAATTAGTTACAGCTGCATGAGAGATGTTTTCTTTAGTTCTAGAACTGGAACAAATTCAAAAGAGACTAGAATCAACTTCTAATAGAAGGAAAAACTAATTGTATTACATTATCCCTCCCCCCTCCCCCCCCATTTCCTCTTCCTCCTCCTCCTCCTCCTTCTCCCACCAAGGTAGCTCGTTTATGCCTTGAGTGTCTCCTATGTGCTGGGCACTCTTCTAGGCTCTGAGGCTATAGCAGGTAAGCACACAAAAATCTTTGCCCCTAACAAAGTTTATTAATCCACAGTGTTTTCAGTTTAACTATTCCGTACTCTATTGTTTTTCAATCCTATAGTTCATCTGATTTGTATATAGTATTTTCAGTTTTGTTCCTTCAAGGCTTGTTTTCGATTAGTTTGGCTTATGTTTCCATTTCTTATAGTTAATTAGTTACTTCTTAAGATATACTATTATAACTAGGAATACATTCTAAATAAAGTCATGTAGATAGAGTGGAAAGTGTGGATCACTTAGAAATCATTGCTATTTTTTATTATTAAAAAAGTGCTGTGTGCTTGACTCTCAGCTAAGGCAGGAAAGGCAAAGGCTGCTGCAGAGCTGCCCCTGAGAGACTCCGGTCTGGCTGGGAGATTCCCTCACCAGGAAACGCCTTGCTCCCAGGGGAGTGGCTGGGAGCTGCTCTAAGTAACTTGTCCAAACCCTACCAAGTCTCTCTGTAGGGGAAGTTCTAAAGGGACCGTTCACCTGCAGACCCAGCTCACAGTGGTCCCCAGTGCTTGTGGCAACCTTATCAGTGGGTGGTCTAGGCGAGGGCCAGTTGCTGACTGGTACTAAGTATGGGCTTAGGACACCAGAAAAGCTCCATATGAGATCTCAAAAACCATTAATGAGTTCCCACATACATATCTTCAAGTTATTTCTCTTAATTCCCATTTTCATTGCTGTAGTTAAGTCTTTTATTCTCTTTCGGCCATTGCATTATAATGACCTTCAAAGTATATCCCCACCCCTGGTTAATTCTTTCTCCAATCCTTTCTCTGCCTAGCCTTCAAAGATAGTTTTCTAAAACATGAATGTAATCATGTAAAACTTTCGTGGCGCCACTCTTTTTCCTATTCCTTCTCTAACGTTGCACACCACATCCCTGTTCACAGACTACAAAACCACCTCTGGAAAAAATCTTAATGAGGCAGGGAAAACTCTTTCCAAGTCTCCTATTTTGGTATTTTGAACAGTCTGATTGAAATTTTATGCCCTTGTCATAGCCTTAGACCAGTGATTTTCAGTGATGTGCCATGAAAATTTTTAAAACATGCAAGTAATATGTGACTATTTAGTCAGAGGCACTGACCACTTTTCAATAGATTGAGATATAAAAGGAATAACAAGAGCTAATATAACAATAGCCATCTGGTATGAATGAATCAAAATTATACCTATTTTTGGTCAGGTTGGCAAAAAATATATTTTTTGGTGTGCCACAGAATTTTAGTAATTAGTTTATGTGTGTCATGAGAGGAAAAAGGTTGAAAATCACTGCCCTGGACATTTAAAATGTCACTAACCACAGGTAGGTAGGTCGGTCACACTGAATTTCTCTGTGTTAATAAAGATGCACAACAGCTATCAACTAACATCACAGTTTAGTTCTGGCTTGGATGGCTGGGTAAGCCCTGTATGTGTGACCAGTGCTTATCAGGGCACCGCGGAGTTCTGACTGGTTGGGTTACTTGCTGTCCCATTGTTTTAAACATTAGTCTAAGAAATACATATAGAAGAAAACAGGTTAGATTAACTCTTCCCTGCACTGTTCAAAGCCTTTTATGTTTTCCATACTACAAAGCTTTTATTTGTTCTAGAAATAGCAAATGTGGAATGCATGCATATTTATGAAGTACTGTTTATGCAAGCTGCCCTCAGTCTAGTAAAGGGGCATCAGCAATGGCTGCCAGTGATCGATTTCAAACTCCAGAGTTCCTGGTAACCATATTGTATGACAAAGTTAGCTTTTGTGGTCCCAAGAACTAGTAAATCTGCTCCAGACTTTCTACCCCTGAGGCAAAATAACGACTTTGCTTGGTTCAAATCTGCATGCTTCAGTAGAATTTTATGATGACTGACTAGTACTTCTCCAGCTCCCAGGCCCACGCCACCCTTCACATACGCAGACGCAGACGCAGACACATACACACATGCATAGGGAAGGGTCTTGCAAAATTAATCACACCCATTATAAATGTACAATATAATACTTTATCTCTATGGTTACAAATCAAGAAGGCTGTTCTTTCATAAGCATGATGTGAATGATGCCACCCCAAATTCCCTTAAGACGGTTACTTCTTGTCCTGCATGGGTTTGTACAATTCTTCTTCAGATTCTCTCAGCTGCTTGTCTCTCTCTTGGTTTATAAGCTCATATTTTCTCAGAAATAGTAATTGGCCTATTTCAATGTTTCTCCTGCTCAGAAATAAAAAAACCAAAAAAACAAAAATACTACCCAAGTTATTAAAAGAATTTCCTCTTCTGTTTCAGACCTTTTTATTTGGGGGTTGCTCATACTGATTTCTAATTTTCAGTGCTGAGTGCTCAGGCAAAGCTGAGATTAGTTACAAAGTTACAAAGCTGAGATTAAATTTTTTTTATTTTTTTTGCACATTTCCCCATTCCCTATTACCTCACCATTTACAAATAAAAACTTAATATTATTTATGATAATGATAATGAAGATATACAAGAGAATTTGTTAAATACAATTAGCAGCACACTATTACCACAACTCACCTAAATTATCAGAGCACTCCAACAAGTGGTCTGGTTTGGGTTAAAAACCAAAATCTAGGGGAATTTTTCAAGGTTGAACTGGATAGCCTAAGAGACAAAGTATGAAAGAGGTGAAAAATCATTAATTTCTTCATTC